AACTACAGAAACGAATTTGAAACTTGAAAAACGCGACATTTCTGCTCTTTGGTGCTTGGCCACACCCGAGAAAGAGGAGCTTGAAGCTGCAAAAAGTACATCTCCGACATTCTTCCCAGAGGCCATTCTCCGACAATCTTCCCAAAAGCCATTCCAGCAACAACTCTTGCCAACAAGTCAGTCAATTATCTAGTCCGAGACTGTGGATGGACAAAATCTTGCATGACCCCCTGCGTTACACGTGCGCGACGGTTGGTAATCGAGCTCCCCGCACCCGTCTCAATGTTGCGTGCGCATATGGGTGATGCAGGATTTCGGTCATTCACACACATGCACTTTCGAAGCATTGCAAGGACGGCAATGTTAAGATTCAGGGTTTGGAAGGGATGAGCTGCATGATAAGAATGATGCAGGATTTCGTCCATCAACAGTCTGGAGACTTGCAAGTTTTTTCGGAAACTCTGGTCTCTAGACACGGCTGACCAAAGTCAACTGAGGGCCGTATGTGAGGGGCCAGGATGGGGCAGAAAGTCCGGAATGTGGTATTTTTCAAGTTTCAAATTGTTTCCATAGTTTCAAATTAGTTTCCAGTCAGTTTCAAATTAGTTTCAAAATCCAGTTGCAAAATCGCTGTTAAGGGGGAACTGCAATTTCTGTCCGCGCTTTTTGAAAACCAGGAATCTCTGAGATTCCTTCATTTTTTGAATCGCACGTAGGAAAATCCAGTTTCCCTTTAACAGCGATTTTGCAACTGGATTTTGAAACTATTTTGAAACTAATTTGCAACTACAGAAACGAATTTGAAACTTGAAAAACGCGACATTTCTGCTCTTTGGTGCTTGGCCACACCCGAGAAAGAGGAGAGCTTAGGCTTGAAGCTGCACAAAGTACATCTCCGACATTCTTCCCAAAGGCCATTCTCCGACAATCTTCCCAAAAGCCATTCCAGCAACAACTCTTGCCAACAAGTCAGTCAATTATCTTGTCCGAGACTGTGGATTATCTTGTCCGAGACTGTCTGGAGACTTGCAAGTTTTCGGAAACTCTGGTCTCTAGACACGGCTGACCAAAGTCAACTGAGGGCCGTATGTGAGGGGCCAGGATGGGGCAGAAAGTCCGGAATGTGGTATTTTCCAAGTTTCAAATTGTTTCCATAGTTTCAAATTAGTTTCCAGTCAGTTTCAAATTAGTTTCAAAATCCAGTTGCAAAATCGCTGTTAAGGGGGAACTGCAATTTCTGTCCGCGCTTTTTGAAAACCAGGAATCTCTGAGATTCCTTCATTTTTTGAGTCGCACGTAGGAAAATGCAGTTTCCCCTTAACAGCGATTTTGCAACTGGATTTTGAAACTATTTTGAAACTAATTTGAAACTACAGAAACGAATTTGAAACTTGAAAAACGCGACATTTCTGCTCTTTGGTGCTTGGCCACACCCGAGAAAGAGGAGAGCTTAGGCTTGAAGCTGCAAAAAGTACATCTCCGACATTCTTCCCAAAGGCCATTCTCCGACAATCTTCCCAAAAGCCATTCCAGCAACAACTCTTGCCAACAAGTCAGTCAATTATCTTGTCCGAGACTGTGGATTATCTTGTCCGAGACTGTGGATGGACAAAATCTTGCATGACCCCCTGCGTTACACGTGTGCGACGGTTGGTAATCGAGCTCCCCGCACCCGTCGAATTTCAATGTTGCGTGCGCATATGGGTGATGCAGGATTTCGGTCATTCACACACATGCACTTTCGAAGCATTGCAAGGACGGCAATGTTAAGATTCAGGGTTTGGAAGGGATGAGCTGCATGATAAGAATGATGCAGGATTTCGTCCATCAACAGTCTGGAGACTTGCAAGTTTTTTCGGAAACTCTGGTCTCTAGACACGGCTGACCAAAGTCAACTGAGGGCCGTATGTGAGGGGCCAGGATGGGGCAGAAAGTCCGGAATGTGGTATTTTTCAAGTTTCAAATTGTTTCCATAGTTTCAAATTAGTTTCCAGTCAGTTTCAAATTAGTTTCAAAATCCAGTTGCAAAATCGCTGTTAAGGGGGAACTGCAATTTCTGTCCGCGCTTTTTGAAAACCAGGAATCTCTGAGATTCCTTCATTTTTTGAGTCGCGCGTAGGAAAATGCAGTTTCCCCTTAACAGCGATTTTGCAACTGGATTTTGAAACTATTTTGAAACTAATTTGAAACTACAGAAACGAATTTGAAACTTGAAAAACGCGACATTTCTGCTCTTTGGTGCTTGGCCACACCCGAGAAAGAGGAGAGCTTAGGCTTGAAGCTGCAAAAAGTACATCTCCGACATTCTTCCCAAAGGCCATTCTCCGACAATCTTCCCAAAAGCCATTCCAGCAACAACTCTTGCCAACAAGTCAGTCAATTATCTTGTCCGAGACTGTCTGGAGACTTGCAAGTTTTCGGAAACTCTGGTCTCTAGTCACGGCTGACCAAAGTCAACTGAGGGCCGTATGTGAGGGGCCAGGATGGGGCAGAAAGTCCGGAATGTGGTATTTTTCAAGTTTCAAATTGTTTCCATAGTTTCAAATTAGTTTCCAGTCAGTTTCAAATTAGTTTCAAAATCCAGTTGCAAAATCGCTGTTAAGGGGGAACTGCAATTTCTGTCCGCGCTTTTTGAAAACCAGGAATCTCTGAGATTCCTTCATTCCCTTAACAGCGATTTTGCAACTGGATTTTGAAACTATTTTGAAACTAATTTGAAACTACAGAAATGAGTTTGAAACTTGAAAAAACGCGACATTTCTGCTCTTTGGTGCTTGGCCACACCCGAGAAAGAGGAGAGCTTAGGCTTGAAGCTGCAAAAAGTACATTCTTCCCAAAGGCCATTCTCCGACAATCTTCCCAAAAGCCATTCCAGCAACAACTCTTGCCAACAAGTCAGTCAATTATCTTGTCCGAGACTGTGGATGGACAAAATCTTGCATGACCCCCTGCGTTACACGTGTGCGACGGTTGGTCATCGAGCTCCCCGCACCCGTCGAATTTCAATGTTGCGTGCGCATATGGGTGATGCAGGATTTCGGTCATTCACACACATGCACTTTCGAAGCATTGCAAGGACGGCAATGTTAAGATTCAGGGTTTGGAAGGGATGAGCTGCATGATAAAATGATGCAGGATTTCGTCCATCAACAGTCTGGAGACTTGCAAGTTTTCGGAAACTCTGGTCTCTAGACACGGCTGACCAAAGTCAACTGAGGGCCGTATGTGAGGGGCCAGGATGGGGCAGAAAGTCCGGAATGTGGTATTTTTCAAGTTTCAAATTGTTTCCATAGTTTCAAATTAGTTTCCAGTCAGTTTCAAATTAGTTTCAAAATCCAGTTGCAAAATCGCTGTTAAGGGGGAACTGCAATTTCTGTCCGCGCTTTTTGAAAACCAGGAATCTCTGAGATTCCTTCATTTTTTGAGTCGCACGTAGGAAAATGCAGTTTCCCCTTAACAGCGATTTTGCAACTGGATTTTGAAACTATTTTGAAACTAATTTGAAACTACAGAAACGAATTTGAAACTTGAAAAACGCGACATTTCTGCTCTTTGGTGCTTGGCCACACCCGAGAAAGAGGAGAGCTTAGGCTTGAAGCTGCAAAAAGTACATCTCCGACATTCTTCCCAAAGGCCATTCTCCGACAATCTTCCCAAAAGCCATTCCAGCAACAACTCTTGCCAACAAGTCAGTCAATTATCTTGTCCGAGACTGTGGATTATCTTGTCCGAGACTGTCTGGAGACTTGCAAGTTTTCGGAAACTCTGGTCTCTAGACACGGCTGACCAAAGTCAACTGAGGGCCGTATGTGAGGGGCCAGGATGGGGCAGAAAGTCCGGAATGTGGTATTTTTCAAGTTTCAAATTGTTTCCATAGTTTCAAATTAGTTTCCAGTCAGTTTCAAATTAGTTTCAAAATCCAGTTGCAAAATCGCTGTTAAGGGGGAACTGCAATTTCTGTCCGCGCTTTTTGAAAACCAGGAATCTCTGAGATTCCTTCATTTTTTGAGTCGCACGTAGGAAAATGCAGTTTCCCCTTAACAGCGATTTTGCAACTGGATTTTGAAACTATTTTGAAACTAATTTGAAACTACAGAAACGAATTTGAAACTTGAAAAACGCGACATTTCTGCTCTTTGGTGCTTGGCCACACCCGAGAAAGAGGAGAGCTTAGGCTTGAAGCTGCAAAAAGTACATCTCCGACATTCTTCCCAAAGGCCATTCTCCGACAATCTTCCCAAAAGCCATTCCAGCAACAACTCTTGCCAACAAGTCAGTCAATTATCTTGTCCGAGACTGTGGATTATCTTGTCCGAGACTGTGGATGGACAAAATCTTGCATGACCCCCTGCGTTACACGTGTGCGACGGTTGGTAATCGAGCTCCCCGCACCCGTCGAATTTCAATGTTGCGTGCGCATATGGGTGATGCAGGATTTCGGTCATTCACACACATGCACTTTCGAAGCATTGCAAGGACGGCAATGTTAAGATTCAGGGTTTGGAAGGGATGAGCTGCATGATAAGAATGATGCAGGATTTCGTCCATCAACAGTACTACTACTCGTCGACTGGAAGACGTCGCTTAGTTTGTGAGCTAGCAGTTGAAGTTGAAATGATTTCAAACCTTTTTGCCATAGAACAGTGCCTCAGTGCCCGACGTTAACTTGCAGACCAACACCTGTGCTGGTTGACAGGTTTGTTTTCATAAACTCATGCTCACAGCGCAGCAGACTGCATCAGGAATGCCAATATAGCTGTGAGAACTTGGGATTTGAGTGCTGGTGTGCTGCGCAGAGCTGTAAGAATGGCGATGGAAGTGCTTAGCTGCTGAATGAGGGTCCAAAGTTCCTTATGATATTTCATGTTGGCAGAACGGGCAGTGGAACCTTCTTGCTGTCACGTCAGTTTGAGTTTGGTTCCAATAGGACGCTGGAGGGCTCAAGGTTGATAAAGCTGCAGAGTACAAGTCTCTAGCAGACATCAGCCTGATTGGTCAGGATGAGGTCCCTGCATCTGCTTTCCATGCTTTTGGTCAGGCTGGGACTTGGGACGTCTTCTGGCGCTCGGGCCCAAGGGCCTGGCTTGGAGTGGGTGGGCATCAATGGCGGTTTCAGCCAAGATTACTTGGACAGCTTGGGCAGGGTGTGGCACCACACCAAGGACCGGTGGACCTCTTACACGTGGGGCGGCTATTTAGGCGTAAAACCAAGGGATTGGATGAGGCTGGGCCATCCGGAGGGCAACGAGAGCCTCGGCACGTACCAATGCAGAACATGGCCTCCAGAGTATAGCGAGGATTCTGAGGCCTTGTTGCACCACTATAGCCGTGAGGGTGTTTGGGTGAACCAAACCTTTCGCGTCAACTTGCAAGATCCCGGTGCGAAGGTGAGCTACTACACGGTCAAGTACAACTTTTGCGAAACCAAGGACCGGGGAGGCAAGACGTGGGACATCGTCATCAACGGCAAGACCGTCAAGAAAGACTACACTTCGAAATGGGCCCACCACAACACAGACATGTATCATTTCAAGTGCATCCCGACCAAAGACGGCATGATCGAGGTGTCCCTCGTTGGCACTTCCAGCAAAAAACCACAGGTGAGGTTTTCCACCTTGGAGTTTCAGAAATCCACAGAGGGCTGCAGCGAATGTGACGATATTGACGGTTCTTGTGGCAAGGGTTTCTGTAGTGCTTCTACTTTTTACGACCGCAAGCTTGATGGTGGATGGGCCTCTCGTGGCACGTCAACGATGCTTAACCAGCTCGACTTGGAGGAACAGCAAGATGCTGTCGAGTGTGTCTGTGACCATGGTGTTGAAGGCGATTCCTGTGAAGTTGGCGCCTGTGCAAACGTGGATTGCAACGAGCCTTTCGGGGGCTTTTGCACCAATGGGACCTGCACGTGCATCGAAGGTCACTCGGGCAACCACTGTGAGATAGCACCTGCCCGTGACCAGTTCGGCTGCTATGCTCGGGACGAGGTCGTATTGAATCGCATGACGGTGTCCACAGTTTGCCTTCCCGAGCTTATTGCAGGTGCGGCCAGGCACGGCAACCTGTTTCGAGGGCCTTCGCCCATGAGCACAGTGTCCGACAAGGCTTGAATTTCAGCCGTTGACAAAAACATCTTTGGACCCTCAAGATTGAACCCTGGCCACATATGATTCATCTACCTTCTCCAGCCCCTCAAATCCTCAGGTACACGCAACTGCACGAACACATAATTCCCAAGTGCGAAATATGCGAATGCCCCCAAGCCTGCGAGGTTCGGCCCGACACCGTGTACTTCTCTTGGACAGCGGATGTCAAGTATGGCAAGCCTGATGCTGCAGGTAGTGAGGGGCGCATCTACGTGAGCAAGCTGAAGGTTCCCTGGAAGGGCTCCCCAATGCTCGAAAATAGCCTGGCTTTTGAGGGCTTTGTTCGTGCAGGCGGCATCGACATGACAGAGGACGGGATTGTCGGGACACTTTGCGCCAAGTACTGGCAGCCTTGGATAGAGCACAAGAACAGCCATCTAGACAAAGCGGCCATGGTTCTGGCCGTGTGTGAGGTCAACAGCACGACCATGCAGAGACAACGGTTGCCCTGGCAGATAGGCAAGCAGTACCAGGAGTCTGTCACCGCACCTAACACAGGAATCTGGGGTAGCTATCCTCTCAGCGCCTGGTTTGCGCAGAGGTCTGCTGGCTACGGCTATCTCCTGTACTCCCCGGCTCAGCAGATGTGGACAGCCTGGTATGGGGCCACTGTGGACTACCACACAGGCTACGCAATGCATAGCTACCACCGGGATGCACCAGGGATCAGCGACGAGGAGTATGCAGCCTACAAGTACCCTGTGCCACGGGATGTCGTGGAGCCTCGACAGGAATCCGATGGCCCCTGGCGGGACCACCATCGCACGGGTACCGGTGACCATCAGAAGTCGGCCGCCTGGTGCTATCACCCGATCTTGAAGGACATCGGTCTGCAGAAGCATGAATACGGCCCTGTCGTCATGCAACAGTACGGCCTGGCAGAAGACCCCGTGGGTATGCCGCCGGAAGGCGAGTTCCGGTATGTGGGCCACAAGGGGGGCATGGATCTGGTGAACGGCACAAGTGATGACTACGACTATGACTACGGCTATAGTGAAGACGCAGATGTGGCTCGGCAGGCCAATGCTTTGAGACCTTGCGGGGAGGACTGGATCATGGGCTTCATTTCGGACAAGGGCAACATCTGTGCGAAGATTAGCCGTGTTGGCGAGATCCAAGCCTGGAATATCATCGAGCCCTCCATTGCGAGAATGGCCTGCAGCTCAAGTGGCGGCAATTGTGCCGATGGCGAGGAGGGCCGTATGGTGCGAATCGCGCCCCTGGGTGCCCCCGAGCACGCTGCTCTTTGCGGTCCGGACGCGCGTTTTCTTTTCGGCTATGAGAAGTCTGACCGTACACGGTGGCTAGTGGAGCTGGATGGCGACTGCAATGAGGTGTCCGAGAAAATGGACGTCACCGCGTACACACACTGGCCACTCTACCAGGACTGGACCACCACCACTGACGGAGCTGTTGTGTGGATTACCAGTTGGCACGAGGACATCACTGGGAGCCACGGCCCTGTGGGCAGCCCTAACGGTGTCTGGCCTTATGAGTTGAAACCCCGACTAACCGACGAGGTGCCCATGGATGGTGAATACCTTTATGGCCTCACTCCGGATGCCCTCAATGAGGCCAAGGTCACCATCTATTATCCGACCTCAGGGGGCTTTGGCTTCACCACCAGCACTTCTACCACCCCAGTCAGTGCTGTTGGTCCAGCAGTCACGACGGCCAGCGAGGCCACGACGGCCAGCGTGGCCACGACGGCCAGCGCGGCTGGCACAGCCACTTCTTCGCTAAGAGCGAGTACTACTGCTGCAGTGAATGTGCCTGTGACCGCGGCCTCGTCTGGCTTTCAGGGTGCGGGAAACCTTACACTTGAAGGTGGATCACAAGCTGAATCAAGCACGGCCAGGAGATGGATGTCAAGGTTCTGGTGTGTGCTCTTGGCATGGTCCTGTGTGTGGGTATGATATGGAGAAATTCTCGTCGATGGTTATCTGAAAAGCTTCTCACACAAACGAGGTCGGATTGTTTCTCTGGCACGGTTTTCTGGCTGGCGCAGCATCTGGCCTCCAGTGAGCGACATGTGGTGTACAGCTATTCACAGTTATTGCCTCAAGTTAACGCCTTCTTCAGCTTGCTGACGGCTCAGGGTCCTCATGTCTAGAAGTCTACTCGGGTCAACTCAAGCTTGCAGTTCCAGAACCAGTCTGAGCCTTGATGCTGCCAGGTTTGATTTTGCATAGGCTTGAATTCCAATGCCTCTGCTCCAATGTCTAGACTGCCTTGGGAGTGTCGTTTAACAGCATCTGTCTGCATAGCTTTGCAGCGTGCGGTCATGAAACAATTCAGCACACAACCGTGGGGTCAAAACTGTAAAGTGAAGCCCACGGTCAGAGTTGTGCTTTCGTGGATGGTCCATCAGAAGCCTTGGCAAAAATGTCAGGCTGCGTGCCTCTGTGCGCGAGGTCCAAAAAATCAGCAGCAAGGGATGTGTGGTACTTGTGTTTGCAGACATAATGATGGTAATAACATAGGTGGTATAATATCAAGAATAGTACTAAGAAGAATATACAAAGTGGTTCGAGGCATGGATCTTCGTTGACTTCCAGGTAGAAGTCTCAGTGTCAACATCAGCTTTTGACAGCGTGTTAAGGCATCCTCCTCATGTGGTAGAGTGTGAACAAGAGGCACATACGGGACAGCCCTCCACAGGTTTGCAGCAGTGCATGAGCCCTTGGCCCTTGGTGGCTTAAGCTTGGCACTGTTTCGAGACAGGCAGTCTTTCACCACGTATCTCCTTTGATGGGGCATGTGAGGGCCAAGCAGGTTTGTTCTAGGTTTTTTTTGATTTCGGCATGCGCCGGACACTTACTGCGTTCCCATGGACCAAGTGCAACCACATCGGCTGGTTCTTCCTAGGCCTTTTCTTGGCCTGGGTCATCCACAGGGCGCTGCATGCAAACTCATGCGGCCATGGCAGGCATGCCTGCCTTCCATATGACCAAGCGCGAGAGAAAGCTTGCACAACGGCTGTGAATGATGTGAATGAATCAAGTCATCACTCGAGCAGTTCGCCGCCTGTAAACGGAGCCGGCGGAGCTGGTGGAGCTGGTGGGCTCATTGTGGCGCTAGGTGCGATTGTGGGAGCTTTGGTCGGCTTTTTGTGTGTTGGTATTGTTGTTGTAGTAGCCATACACAAGCAGCAACTTGCGCAAAGCAGTGCGTACCGAAGATTGTTGAGAAGAGCCCTGCTGCATCAGATGCGTTGTCATGCGTCAATACCGGAAAATCCGCGGAATTGGAAGTCTCAGCGTTGGCAGGCTCACACATGCAGCTGGAGAGATCTGAAAAGGATAGCTTGCTTGAGTCTCGACATGGTTAATATCAGCGGTGTTGGCCTCAGCCTTTACGTCAGCACGCTGACCCTTTTCCTGCTCACCGCGACTCTCTTCCGTATTGGGAACAATGCTTCGCTGACCATTTACCAGCTTGTTTGGGGGCAGTGGTGCCAAGACTCTCTTGTGCGTTCGGACGGTGCCGAGATTTGGAGGCAGCTGGCAGCCGAGCGTGCCATCATCCTCTTGCGGTTGTACATTGTCGTGATCCTACTCTACCTATATCATGTGTACAGACAAGGAAAGTTGCGAGACGCCTTTGATAAGACGCATGCGGAAATGTCTGATTACGCGTTCTTGGCCTCCGGCTTCCCACCCGGAGCAACGGACCTTGACATCACTTCCTACCTGCGCAGGGCCCTGTGCCGATCGCACCTGACAGACCTCAGCGGGTCGGAGTGGAAACCCGAGATTGTAGGAGTGTCAGTCGGATACGATTTTGCAGACCATGTGAACCTACTGCATAGTTTGGTTGACGAGCATCTGGTGGATGTCGCCTTCTCGTTGGAACAGCGAAATCGTTCAGATTCGGAAAGTGACAGCTCTTCAGCATCTGAGACCTTCCATGCACCCAGGTCCTATGCGAGTCAACGTGCTGCTGCGGCGAGTTGCGACGACGCTTGCGAGAATTCAGAGGAGGTGCTGCAGATACTACAGGAATTGCAAAACTCTGGGACGGTTATTGTGATATGCCGTTGGCCGTGCGACTTTGCTGAGGCGCTAGAACATGTACAGCAACAGCTAGATGACAACCTGTGGGAAGGCATCCGAATTACAGCATCACCTATTCCATGCGAGCCGCCCTCCATCAACTGGACGAATTTCTCGGTCGGCTTGTTTCAAAGCCAGTGGCAGCAACGATTGGGGCTCAGCTCCTCCAGGTGGTTGACATCATGTAGCACAAGGCAACAGAGGCTCCTCCTGGCCAATGCAATGATCGTTGGAGCATTTCTGTCAATGCTGGGCTTCTACACATTCCTGTATCACCACGTGTATGCCAGCAGCGGCTATCCCGAGCAATTGCTTGTCTATGTGGTAACATTAAGCTGCGCTTTGGGAAACGTGTTGCTGAATCAGCTCGTCTGGTTTGCCTCGCAGCAAGTTGGGTTCAGACTCAAGTCCAGTTGTGATTCCTTTGTCCTCTTATGGTACACGATAGTGGTGCTCACGAATATGTGCTTCAACTTCTTTGTCATCTGCTTGTCAGCGGGCCCTCGGCCTGAAGACGAATTTCTAGCGTTGGAGTACGAGGAACGACTGGCATACCGCTTGGTGTCATTCCTAAGAGGCTCACTTCTTTCCTATGCTGTTTGGCCACTGTTCTACCCGTTTTCATGGATGCTGGGCATGCTTCAGCTGCTCTACTTCCACTGGTTCCGGGATCGGTTGGCTCTAACAGACGACAGGTGCAAGTGGAAAGCAGCACATGCTATGGAGCCACCTGAGTGGTACATGCAATATGACTATGCGGGCCTGACCGTGCTGAAAACTACATCTTTCATGTGCCTTTTTGTCTTTGGAGATGATGTTCGCAAGCTGTTTACGTTCGACATTTTTTGGGTTTGTTGCACCTACTTCCTGAACAAGTACATCTACTTAGTACTCAGCAAGGAAACATACTACACCAATCGCAGGCTTGACACGACGGCCCTGAAGTCGTCGTCTATGGCCCTTGGCGTTCTTGCAGGCTGTGTTTGTCACTGGGGCCACCGTGCTGGCAACACAGTTCCCTTTACAATCTCTGTGGTCCTCTTCTCATGCTTCTACCTTTGGGCCTTTGATTTCACTCTCAATTCAGCGCAGGACCGAAGAAGTCAGTCAGAAAGGGTGTGGTATGACCTGCTGCCATATGAGGATCTTCAGCGGCTATACCCTTTCAATTGGTGGAATGTGAACCCTGCTCACATGATGCGCCTGTTGCACTTGACCCCGCAACATTTGCACCAGAACTTGCCACTGCACCAGCATGTGGTCTGGCAGCACGGCAAAAGCTACCTACAACCTGACTTGGTACTTGATTTTGTGCACACAGACGGCAGGGACAATGATTCGGACGCCGCGCCGGAGGAGCCGCCCTTTCCTTCCCCTCCCACGACAACTTTTCCGAGCGAACTCCCACAGACTGCAGGAGCTGCACGAAGCACTTTACCAACCGCCCTTTCCACACCTGCAGGCGCCGGCCCTTCCCAGAGGCAAGAACCGAGACGGTGCCTCGACACGAATGGTACAGCTTTGTTTCGATTCGTTGTTTTTTTGGTTTTTTGTTTTTGTAATTGTTGCTCTGGAAACTTCACCGAGGCTTACCCGGTCAGTCTAACAGCCTCCTGGGGAGCCCGTGTGACTTCAGGACTGTGCCCGAGTCCGAAACTTGAACGCACGAGGCCACGGTGAGAACTCGGCACTGAGTCCATGCAGTCTCGTGGTGACGCCCAGACGCCTTCGAAACTTTGGATCAAGATCGTGCCCTCGTTGTGAGAACTCCAGTCTACTCCATCTGATATGATACTCGAGTCCCTCGACCAGGCGCTGCTTTGAGACAGGACGACGGCATGCTCGATGAGGAGCTCTGCTTTGCCGCAGCAGAAGATGGCTTCTGATATGAACAAGGTTGTCTGAATGGCAGCAGCTTTTGTGTCTGTGTGGCTGTGCTTGTAGTGCTTCGCTTCACTGTCGTCTTGGCAGCAATATCGAAACTGCGCGCAAGCAAAGCAGTGTGAATCATCAGAGCTATCAGCCGAGCTGACTTGGAGCATGCATACTTTGAACTTCAGGGGCATAGCCAAGCTTAGCAGTTAGTTGCCGTTCGTGTGAAGCCTCAGTCGTGATATCTGTGCTTCGGACAGCCTGGGCTCACAGGGCACATCCCCCACGCTCGACTGCACCGCGGTTGTTCATTCGCATCAGCATCTGGCTGCGTCTGGCTGGCTTTGGGATGAAAGTCAGAAAGAAATGTCTCTGTCAGAGCCTGGCAGCTCGCAGCAATGCAGATGTGCGCTGGTGAAGGGTTGCGACCTATGGACAGGTGACCTCCCAAGTGTATATATCCATGGTGCCCACTGCATGACGGGCATGGAGTGTCTTGCTGTGCGTGGCATCCAGCATGCCTGATATCCGGAAGCCGCAATGCGACACCCGAACATACAGTGCCTTTCAGCTTCCAAACGGACTACGCGCTATTGTTGCAAGTGATCCAGATAAATCTGTCGCTGCCGCAGCGGCCTTGTGCGTACTCGCCGGAAGCATCCACGAGCCCAAAGAGATACCTGGCAGGGGCCTCAGAGACAAGAAGCTTCAGTCGTTGCCCGGCGTCTCTTCCAGTTTCTTGCTCTTCAGCAGCGCAGCCTTTGCGGAGGGCGAGCAAGAGGCATGCAGAGAGGCAGAGAGAGAGTGAGCGAGACAGAGAGAGAGAGAGAGAGTCGTACAGTAGCCGCATAGAGGAGCACATTTTTCCGGTTCCAGCAAAAACAACCTGGATCCTTATTAAGAAAAAGGTTAATCAGGGCCCTTTTTCAGAGGCCTGGGGCGCGAAAGTAAGAGAGTGAAGTGCGAGCAGACGAAGTCTGAACGAGAGCTCGTTGACGCGACAAGCACAGAAACCCAAAAAAGAGAAGATCACACATACATACATACGTACATGCATGCATGCATGCATGCATGCATGCATGTATGCATACATATATACACACATGCACACATACACACCTACACACATACATACACACACACATACACGCACATACATACATACATACATACATACATACATACATACATACATACATACATACATCTATACATCTATACATACATACATCTTTACATACATACATAAATTCTATATATATATATATATATACATACATAGATGTATGAATCCCATGTGCAGGGCCAGAGGCATGCAGCGCAAGGACGGAGGGACAGTTTAGCAAGCAATCATGTTCTATTCGGGATATGGGTTAGCACAGCCAAGACAGACTATCACCGATATACAGGGGCATGGACGCGCCGGGGGTAGGACACCCGCCGAGTCTTGTATGAACGACAAGGAGAGAAAGACAGAGAGTTTCAGGTTTTTGTCGTACTGCAAGGGACCTCTGAGTTGCCTAGTGCTGATGGATGGACTGCAACAGGGCCCTGCGCATCCAGTTGCGCGCATCCCGTTGAGTTTTTTCTCGAGGGCGCGCATTAGGCACGGTGCATGCTTTCGGTCCCCCCAATGCCCGGCAGAATCAGAAGAACAAGAGGAGAGCTAGGGGTTCAGGCTCCAGGTGCTGGCGTCGTTTCACTGCCAAGGAGGCTAGACAAGCGACGGGGGGTAGGGGTTGATGCACTGCAGATATCTCCCCCCCAAAGAAATAGCAATCACAAAATGCGAAAGCTTCAGAAGAGAGCGAGGGTCAGGAAAGGACATTCATCCAGGATACTCCAGGCATGCAGGGCGCATGGAGCGAGTGGCAACCCTACCTACCAAAGAAGAGACGTAGCAAGGAGGGCCCCACGATTGCATTGCCAGATTCGCATGAGGCCTAGCACACCTCTGCGAGCACATGGTGTTACATGGTACTCTCCAGCCATGGGGTACCACTTTCTCCGAATACATCAAAGCACACGCAGGCCAACACAATGCGGTGACGACGATGCTGCAAACTTGCTTCGCTTTCGAGATTCAGTCTGACAAGTTGGATGGTGCTCTGCGACTGTTCTGTCGCTTCTTTGTTTCACCCAAATTCTGCAGATCCCATCAGCAGCAGGAGTTGCGGGCTATTGACTCGGAGCACAGCATGAATGCCCAGAGTGACTTTCGTCGGCAGTGGGCAGTTTTGTTGCAAGATGCGAATCCTCGGCATCAGTATCATTGGGCCTCGGGCTGCAGCAAATCTTTGTTGCAGGGAGCGCAGGCTGCAAACTGCGATCTTCATGATGCCATGGAAAAATTTCACGAGTCCACTTACAAGGCCGGCCGCATGACTTTGGCAGTGGTGGGCCCCCAGACGGTTTTGCAGCTTGAAGCTTTGGTACGAGCTTGTTTTGCCGCTGTCCCCTCGGGTTCCTCGGGGTCTCAGTCTCGGATACCATCCAATGTGCTTATCGGCGACTACGTGAGTGGCTGCGAGCCCGCATTCTTACCAGAGGACTTCTGTGCCTTGGACTGTTCAGAAGCTATCTCTCTCCTCATCACGCATCTTTTGGTAAGGTTGTCATTCCTTTGTTGAGTCTTTGTCGTTTGTCAGTGCTACGAGGTGGCCAAGTATTTATCACGCCATTGAAGGACCTGCACCAGTTGAAGTTGTCTTGGGGTCTGCCGTGGCAGATTGCCCGGTGGAAGACCAAGCCAAGTGCCTATGCAAGCTACTTGCTTGGACAGGAAGGACCTGGCAGCCTCTTGTCCGCCCTAAAGGCACGGAACTTGGCTCAGCACCTGTCGGTTGCATGCTATGACTACCATGGTGTAGCATCCACGCTGGAGTTGTCCCTGGACTTGGTCAATGCCTACGAGCAGACAATTCTGGAAGCGGGTGAACTCGCATTTGCGTTCATATCTATGCTTCGCTCGTCAGGTGTGCAGACATGGGTGTTGGAGGAGTACAGGCACTTGCAGCAGTTGAACTACAATTTCCAGTTTGACACCTCAACCTACAGCCTCGTGCAGGAAAAGATCCCGGAGTAGAGACATGAATGCCTGATCATTCGCACATGTGTCCCACAACTTCACTGGTGATTATGAATTAAGAAAGCCCTGTGAGGACCTGGCCTGCAATCTCCACTACTACCCGGTTGAAGAAGTCTTGGGAGCTGACAGTCTGCTATACGACCAGGACGCAGAAGCGTCAATGGGCATTCTGAGCCACATGACGGTCGACAATGCCCGCCTTTCTCTATTGTCCAAAACCCTTGAGTCTCTTTGTTCCTCTCAAGAGCCCTGGTATGAGGCCCGGTTCATGAAGCTTCAGAGCATCAACGCGTCCTGGAAGGCCAAGTGGCAAGGCGTCGAGTCGGGTTTGTGGCAGCCGGTTGCGCAGCAAGCGGGCCTTTGCCTTCCGCATCGCAACAGCTTCCTGCCGGTCGATTTCGAGCTACGTCCAGTTCCACCCAGAACTACGGCTCATGAGATCGAAGTGCCGCAAGACTGGTGCCGGGCATGGCTACGTTCAACAACTGCAAACCAACAACCCAAGGTAGCAGCCACCTTCTGTTTGCGTTCGTTTCAGCTTTCCACAAGTACTGACATTGCTTTGGCGCATATTTTCTGCAAGTGTGTGGAGCAGTCGTTCAGAGCAGAAGCCTTCGAGGCCAGAATGGCAGGTGCCATGTTCAAGCTTGACGTGGTAGACAGCTGCTTTTTGTTACAATTCCTCGGATTCCGAGACAAGATGGCGCTGTTGGCAAGGGCGGCAGCCAGCTCGCTCTTCACCATGAGCCAGATATTGCCAGAAACGTTTCTGCAAGCCAAGGCACAGCAGGAGCTCAAGAACGCAGCTCTCACACGGTTCATACCATCAAATACCATACTAGCCAGACATGCTTCTGGCAGTTGCCAATGCCTATAGGGCCTAGGGCCTAGCTGGGTGCCTGCTTTCTTGTTTCGGTTGCCCAGCGGGTTTAGAGTTTAGGGCTAGGGTTTAGGGCTCGCAATTCTCTTGCCGTGAACAGCGCTTGATTTTCAGCTGCTTTCCACCGTAAGTTGCAACAGTTCGGGGTCTCGAAGGCTTCGGGGCAGATTGGTCCGTACCAGTTCCCGGGCACATGGACCGGAACCTCTGAGTTTCGCAAGATTTATGCAGACTCAAGACAGGAGCGGGCCTTCAAGAATGCAGCCAGTGGCCAGGCGTACAGTCAGGCGGGAGTGCATGACACATCCTGACACCTTGCAGGGCAGGAAATCAAAGCATTCAAAGGCGTCTGTTTTGACAAAACATGTAGAAGCACTTAGAGTCTTCGAGGCCCTAGCAGCGCTGGAAGACCTACTCTTGCAGCGTCCATCAGCTGCCGACATGGCGAAGGCATGTCCTTTACCATGCATCGTGTGTTTGTTGCCATCTTCCTCCCTGTTGCCAGCTTTTTTTCGCCCTTTTACTTGAAGGCAGCCCAGCAGCTCCACGCAGCAAAAGCCTGCCAGCTTCCACTGAAGTTCTTCGGACCCGGGTCTTGCCTGCTCGAAGCCCTGATCATCGGCAATGTGAACAAGGCGCTTCTCGAAGTGTTTGCGCAAGAGACCTCCGTTGCCACAATTCAGAGACTTCGGAGGCAATTGCGGGGGCCCGATGTGTAGATTGACAAATTTGATAGGGGAGTGCTTCGCTTCAACCCTCATGAAATCCTCATGTGTCCGGATGCTCGCCATGTCGAATGATTGGACATGATTGGGCATATGATTGGGGCAATTCGAAGGGATTTTTGTCGCTGCGGAGGCCGATGCCAAACAGCTGCTCGAGGCTGTGACAGATCCCCTCGCAGAGCTGCGGGCGGGTGCCGGCCAGGTTGAGGCTGCGCCGGTTGCGGTCGTGCCGGTTGCGGCGGTTGCGCCGGTTGCAGAGGTGGAGGTACCTGCAAAGGTGGAGCTTTTGGTACCACGGTCGCTCGGAAGAACCATCTTGAAGCTCGACGGCCAAGCTGCCGAGGATGCCAACAACTGTGCAGTGGAATGCCTCTGTAACATTGCGACCGCTACGCCCGAGCATGAAGCACTTGCATCTGTTTTGGTCTCCATTTGGAAGCCATTGTTTTTCAACGAACTGCGAACCCAACAGCAACTGGGCTATGTCGTCTCATGCTTTATGCGAATCCGTGTGACGCACATCTCTTTGGTCTTCCTGGTGCAGACGGAGAGGATGCCAGAAATTGCCCTCAAGAGCATTGACAAGTTCTTCGTTGAAAAGGCCTTCACGCACATCCTCTGCGTGGTCACGGAGCGCCAGACACGCCCTCAGCTTGCATGCCTGCTATTGCTTGCTATCCTTTGGAAGGGCATTTTTTTGTGCTCTTGTCTTCATTGTCTTCTCTCACTCTGAGGTTCCGGGAGCAGTGCGAGGGCATTGCTCGTCAGTTGGAGGAAGCTCCTCGTAACCTGTGGGAGGCGATGAGCCGTGACTGGCTCCCCATTGAAGAACGGACCTTCTCCTTTGATGCCTGTGCACGACAGGCAGACCGGGGAAGTCCATGGCAGCTTTCTAGAGATTTCTCACGTGAAGTCGAGACGATTGCTGCGGCAGCTGCGCAGGTGGCGATGTTGCGCTCATGCACCCTCAACCAGCTGAGGGCCTTTGTGAAGGAGAAGGCCCGAGCCGACCGCTAGTAATGCTAAAGTATGTTGCTTCGGCAGGCATGTCCACTCGATGGCATGGGCAGGTCCAGCCGTCACCTCGTCTGGCGGTTCTCTTGCGAAGCCCGAAGCTCGCATGGCAGCGAGCCGACCATGATTGGGGCACTGCCAGGATTCTCACAAAGTGGGGGCTGGCGAGCTTCCAGGCAGGGCTGGAACCCAGCTTTGGAAACAAGCTGTTCGGTAAAGTCCAAGAAGAAGTACGCCCTTCTGAAGGGAAGGCTCCGACAGGTATCCCAGCAATCGATGAAGATGAGGAATGCAAAGTGCAGTGACCGACAAGTCGCGAAGAAAACATCTCTCAAGACCTTCTCTAGGCCCTCTCTCAACCTCCCCCAGCTTTCATTCAAGAGAGCGACCTTGGGCCTTTAGAGTGCTGCTTAATTTCTTGCTGCTTGGTGAAGTTCCACCCTTCAGCCGCTTTGGCCAGCATGCCTTGCTTCCACATGCAGAAAATGTGTGACATGAGCACCATCTTTGCAATCTGCCCCGAGCACCACAGTCAAAGAAGTCTACTGGTAGAGCAGCAGAGCACCCTCGAATCCTTGTGGCGCTGACGGCGATGTTCCTCTCACGGCTTGAGCGGCAGGCACATACTGCGCACGCCCAGCCATTGCGGATTAGGCTTTCATGACCGCTTGAGGCGCTGGCCGGCTTTGCCGTGTGTGCTCCGTTCTTAGAATCCTCTACCTTTTTTTAATACCGCTGCAGAGCAAAGGTTGTCTGACGAATCTGCCACTGCGCGGATCCGCAACCCGAGGTCGTGGTGACAGCTGTTCTCCATGAGGTCCGTGTCTGAGAGATGGAAACACTGTGTGTGTGTGGGTGTGTTATGGATTAGCGTCTGCATTGTCTTTCGCTCTTTCGGGGGGATCACCCTCGGAGTTGATGAGCTGTCTTGTTGTTGCAGCAGGTCATGCAGCTGCGGGCACGGCACCCAGACCATTCCTAGAAAGAGGTGCACGGGGTCTGCGCAAGGGTTGACCGAAGGATCTGGCAACAACGATCCAGACCCAATTGTTGGAGGACTCTTCTTCCGCATGCAAAGCAAACGAGCACCCTTGAGCACCCTTTCTGGCTGCCTTCACAAACAGGATCACTATTCCACACTCGGAGTGGCGGTTGATGCCAGTCAAGCCGAGATCACCACAGCTTTCCGTCGCGTCTTTGACCAAGCATCTAGACTCTAGACGACTTTGCGGGACATTGTCGGAAGCCCTGCCAGCCTCGTTCACTTACTCTCCAATACCCATGAGATCTTTGAGGCAACCAACAAGCTAAGCTCGAAGCAGCAAGCCCTCGCCCCAGCTTATGCTGCAAACAGCAATCAGGGGTCATGTGATGGTGATGTGGGAGCCCAAAGCTCCGGAAGTTATTGCTGCACCCTTCTGCCTCAGGCTGACACCTTGCAAAGAAGTCGGGCAAAGCTCAATGCAGCTTACGACACCCTATCTGGGCTCGCATCGCGAGCTGCGTACGACAAGAGGAGGCGATGCTGGTAATGTTGCATTCAGCGTGCTTCCCTGCCTCAATGTGTGGGAACTCCATCGTTCCAGGCAGCTTGTAATGCTAGCGAGCTTCATCTTGATCGCCACCTTTGACTGGTGCTTAGCCTTTTAGTGGCCACTACAAGTATGGAATGTTGAGGAGCTGCGATTTGGCGGAGGCTGTCACCTCTTGAATGCTGACCTCAGGTGAGCGTGCCTGCAGTCGTGCTCCTTTACTTCTGCAGCAAGGTGTTGGTCACAAGCTGAGGTATCCGTATACGGCGAAACATGTTGTGAGGCTACGTGAGGCTACAGGTTCCGTCCAGTCTGCTCTGAGACCGTGCGCTCTCGTCAAGATCTGGATCCTCAGAGCTTCACAGGTCAGGTCGGAAACCAAGAAGCCGTTCGCTTGAGCCTTCTGTTCTGATCCAATAATTCTGGGGCTTACGTGGGTTTGATCTTTGGTTACTGTAGCATATTGTGCTCCTTTTTGTCTAAGCATGGTCAGTTCCCCGATAGTGCGCGCCACTGCGGCCTGCGGGAACATAAGCCAGCCCCCCCCCCCCCCCCTCCCCCCCCCCCCTCTCTTGTTCAATGGCCCCCCCCCCCTCCCCCCCCCCCCCCCCCCCCCTCCCCACCCCCCCCCCCCCCCCCCCCCCTCTCCCCCCCCCCCCCCCCCCCCCCCCCCCCCCCCCCCTCCCCCCCCCCCCCCCCTTGTTCAAGGGGGGGGGGGCCCCCCCCTTGGTCAATAACAGTGTTCTTAATAGGGTTTCACTTGATTTTAATTAACGTTTTAATAGGACTTCTTTTGATTCTAATCGGGTTTTTGTTACTTTTGAAAGATTTCTAATAATATGAATGAGATTTTTATCCCTTCTAATAAGATTTGTATTAGGTTTAACGGGATTCGTATTGAAATAATAGAAATCCTTGTCGAATTAAGTTCAACTCCTATTACAATTGATTGAACTGCTATTAAAATTAGTAGAAGTCCGATTAGAAATGCTACGAAAAAAGAAGGCAAATAGAAATCTTGTTACATTAATAGAAATCCTCTTGAAATTAGAAGGATTCCGAATAAAAGCAATAGGAATCCTACCAAACATGGCAGAGGAAATGTGGAATTGAGCATGGGGGGGGGGGGGCCCCCCCCCCCCCTTTCTTTGTAGGGATGGGGGGGGGGGGGAGGGGAGGGGGGTTTGTTGGGTGAAGGGGGGGGGAGGGGGGGGGTTACCTTGAATATCCGCAGGCCTCTTTTTTACGCACTCTCAGTTCCCCCTCTCCTCTGCATCGATAGTAGTGCACCATGTGATGATAGGCCGCTTAGGCCCCTCAGACCTCATGGTACCCGAAAATGTGACTTTGCATGAGGCCTGAGAAGCACAGGATGTCTGGTAAAAGGAGCTTCGCTTCCAGTGGTGTTTCTTGCTGCCCAGATGTCGGAATCTTCGAGCCCGTTGCTGAGGTCAACACGAGTCTTCAGAACATGGAGCTGGCCTTCGAGGTGGAGATCGAAAAGGCGGGCACTGCGGGGCAGCAGGCTTTCGAAGTCTTTCGGAGTTGGGTGGCCTTCTGCGCCATTGGCAGCTGGGATGTAGATAGTATCCACTGCCTTCTTTCGCTAGAGCGGTGCAATCGCATAGGAAACGCATAGGAAAACAATGACACTTCGGTTCCATGCTTCCATGCCTACCTCAGCAGGGCCCAGATTCGCGTTTGGGAGCACAGCTGATGCCCGTTCAGCACGAAAGGATGTATGTCTCTCAGCTTCCGCGTGGGATATGCTGAAGGGAGCTACCTTTGACCTCAACTCAGGCTGCAAATCTGCAGTGTTTCTGATGATGGTCTCATTCATGACCACAACCTGAAGGCCTGAGCATGCTTGCATATGCTTAATCGCAGGGGGTGGCACGCCACTGGGTGGCTCCTTTGCAGGTGAGCCAGGATAGCCACGACACTGTTGGCATCTCGCCGGCTGGAATGCTCTGGTGGCATGTGCCGCATGCCCAGCGTGCCCAGGGAGCCCAGCTCACCAAGATTTTTTCAGAAAAGCATGAAGCAGGGCATCTCAAGAAAACCAGCTAGTCAGACGGATTTGCTGGGAGCCTGTCATGCTTCAGCTCAGGCCGTTGCTTCGGGAGAGTGACATCATCGAGTCTGCAAGGGCTTTGGCAGCATTCCCCTGACCCTTGCAGAAGCTGTTGCAGCAAAAGTCCAGGTCAACGGAAAGACAGGGGCTACAAACATGATGAATGAGCTGAAGTCGTGTGAGCCACGGTGGCAAGCAGGCAGTTGTAGCCCTGCCATATGAGCGGCTGCATTGGCATAAACCCTCTACTTGTATGAAAGGAGCATGAAAGGAGTAAGCTGGGGAGTTCGGTTGGTGCGGTCTGGCGCGCGTAGAGTGCGATAGCTTCTGCGAGAGGGTTAAGCTCGCCATAGCATCCGCCAGCACGTGAAGAGGACTGCAAGGGTGGCGCGAGAGGTCGCAGAAGAACCCTTCATTTTCAGCTGCCATGGGTGCGGACTGTGTGATGTCTGTCCAGATTTGTCTAGTCTGGCTTAAAACGCGAGACCACCTGTTCGATATCCCTGTCGATTCCCCGCTCCTCAAAGAAATGGTCGTGAACAAGGGTCGTTGCGAGCCCGAGCAGTTGCTCGTTCCTCTTGGCTCTTCTTCTGCCCGCCCGATGAGAACCTTTCATATCCAAATCAAGTGTTCGCTGGGTTTTGGCCACAGCTCACGTGAGTTGTGGTCCGGTTCGGAACCGCGCAAGCAACGAGGAACGGCTTTCTTTGTGCCTTCGCCGACGTCTGGTCGGCGGCGCCAGCTTCTGAGCCTTTTTGCAGATTTGCCAAAAGGATGCCTGGTTTTCCGCCCATTGTCTTTACATCGCTGAGGCTTCAGTGCTTCCTTTGCTTTTTGAGGAGAGGCTGAGTCGCCGTGAGGACGAGAGGCGCTGTGGGCGCTTCGTTTGGCTGTTATTGGTGCTCGGAGCAAGTCGCTCAAAAGGGGGGGGTGGTGACTGGCTCTGCGACTCTGCGAGGTGGGGATGCAACCTTGTGGCTCCTTCGGACAAGAGTGACAGCTTGGAGGCGAAAGTGGGTACCAGACTTCATCGGATGTCGGTGCTTTTTGTGTACAACGTTATACAGTCCTCCCACGTCCTCCCTCTTCACAGGTTGTGGATGGTGCAGGGGCAGCATTCCCATCGGACAAGGCAGGTCATGACCGAACATCCGATCATCCGAGAGTCCCAGCTCGGCTAAGGGCTAAGGGCTAAGGGCTCACTTTGCTTCCTTTTTTGCCAGGAGTAAACCAAGGACAGGCAAGGACAAATGAACAGCAGCTCGCGGACAGCTTGAGCAAGTCGTTTCTGGTCGTTCCGGGTGTGTGATCGACGTTGCCAGCTCGATCCAAACTTGTCGCACCATCGGGTGAGGAGTCAGCGGAAGAGTAGCCTCATGCTGGTCGAACAACAAGCAAAGGTACATGTGTCAAATTAACGAGATCTCTGCATGCAGTCGGCACACCTCTGCTGGCACGTTCAGGTCGAGCAAGGCAAACCGATCTCAATGTTTCAAGAGGCATCGTGGGTACTCAAAAGGAGCTGGAGTTCGAAAATGGAGCTCAAGACGTTGGAAGTAAGCTAGTGGATCAAAGACGAATGAATGATGCCAAGCTCCGCTGCATAAAGGTGTGATTACTAAAAAAAGTTGTTTGAGCGGCTCTTTGCACCAGCAAAGGATTGACATCTCCATCAGGTGTAACGAAGAGATCGGCAGTCGCACGCATGCGTGGCCACCCCGTGGCCACCCCGTGGCACCCCGCGCAAGGCAAGCCCAAGTCTGACGCTTCGTCCTGGGGATCGCATCGTAGCTGCAGCCTCGGTGGTCGGTGCCGACCCAAGTGCGAAGTCAATCATGCACGATACATTGCGATACTGGCACACTCTTGTAGATTCTGGTTTCATGAAAGCCCGGTAGCGTGACGGATCTTCATCAGGTTCAAGAATGCTGGACACTTTGCGTGACGACGCGCTGCTGTCTGTGAGCGGGCTCCTCGGGCGGGGGAGGGGGGCTGGCCGTCGAGGCTGTAGCCGCAGCCATGCTCAGCCACGCACTGCCACGCTGGAGGCCTACTGGTGGTTCGTGGCGTGCTGGTGCCCCCTGGGCTGATCCAATCTTCTCCCAAGGAGGCCAGAGCCGCCGAGATCCTTTCTCTGTCATCCCCCTTGGTTTTTCTGTGCAGGTGTCGTGCGGGCCACTTCGAAAAGGAGAGGGACAGAAACTGGGCATTCGAATCGGGCGCCGCGCTGAGCTGAAGGATAGGTGGAGTTTTTCGTACAGTCTTCGTATCGTGGCCTGAGAGCATCCTCCAGGCACTGCTTCGAAAGCCCTCCTGCGCCAGCTTCCGAACGATGGGTTTACCGCGGCCATTGTTGGAGATGGAGTTTCGTCCTTCTCTGAGGCACGGGATCCTTCTTGGACCTGGCTGTGCCAGCTCCATGGTCGTCAAGGAGGTCGGGTCTGGTGCAGATCCTGCTCGGCGTGGCTTGCAAAAGGGGGCTGACCGAGTAGTTCGAAGACCAGGTCGTGCGTGGTCATCTTGTAGATCAATGGAATCAGCAGCACCGGTCTAAGCCATTCCTATCGACATTGTCGGCTTCACCTTCTAGCCGCTGCTTACTGCTTGTGTTGCAGAGGCACTGAAGTCTCGGCATGCAATTAGCACGTGCAAGGCAGGCGACCTCTGGTGGTGACACATTGCTTCCGAGCTGCGTGATTGTGGCTGTGAACGGTCGGCGTCAATCCCAAGAGCGGCCCGTCCGCAACCTCCGCAGAAGCAACCGTGCGAGCCACACAGATCAGCAAGCCACTAGAGAAGCTGACGAGGGGGCGGTAAGGCGCTGTAGCATGCTGCCACCGAAGTGAACCCAGGTTCACCAAAGAGCTGGCGAAGCCTGTTGTCACCATTGTGTCGCAGACTTGGCTACCGGCCACAGAGTCAAAGCGAGACACGGGAGCCGCCTGTGAGAGGTTCCGGCCCTTGCTGGCTGAGCTTGTCAAGACTGAGTCTCCAGAGTTTGTGGAGCCGACCGAGCCGACCAAGGTGCCCAAGTGTCGTTAGTCTCCCTGGGGTTCCCCGTTGCTTTGTGCTTCCTTGTGCCTGGTAGGTCCAAGAGCCGGCCAGTGAAAGCTCCAACCACGCGAGAACCCTGCACCTCAACATCGACGAGGATTGCAGCACGCAGCGATCGGGAAAACCAGCCATTTTGAGGGAGGGCAGGGTTATCTTAGGGCTTGAATCAAGAGGAGGCTCTTCGACCGTGGCCTGCAGCAGCTCTGCGCCGCTGGGCCGAAGCCTCAGCCTGCGCCAGCTTTCTTGGCTTTCTTGCATGGCACGAGTTGATCACTGGCACCAGTTGGCCCTAGCCGAGGCACCGCGTTGGCTGCTTCCGCGTCCTTTCGAGGACGGTTTGGGCGGGAGTGCGGAGCAGTTCAGACCACTTCCTCGGGAAAGTCGCTTATCCATGATGATAGAGCAAAAGATCAATGCACCTCTTCCAGGAGCGCCTGCGGGACAGGCTTCGCCATCTGCGGTGCGAGCTTCTCGATGCACCAGTACTTTTTTCAATGGCTCGGAATATACATATACACATATACAGTATACATATTCATTTGCTTGTTTGGTGTGCTTACCAGCTGAAAGGTTCTGCGTTTGCATCGAAAGACCGGCTGATGAGTCACTGCATGGAGCTCAGTGGATCGGATCGTGAGATCGCCTGGGCTGCGCTATGTTTTTGTGGCACCGTGGGACAGCCCTAGGCGCCTAGGACTACACCTTCAGCACGACCGCGCGAGCCTCAGAAGCAAAAGGCAAAAGATGTGTTGTCATCCCTTTGGCGCCGAGGGGAAGGCCTGCAGGTGCTGGAGGCCCTTGATGTGCAATATGTACATCATATGAATCATGTGAATCATATGGCCCTTGACGTCCTTCATGTCCAGAGACCACTTCTGAGCACCTCTTGGCAGGTTGCCGAGGGCGGCCTGGTGGCGAACCACAACCTGGCAAGGCCCGGTGCAGAATGTCCGAGCTTCGAGGTCGCAGCTGCCTTTCTGCCTCCTCGCAGTTCCGGAGAAACTGGCGTGCGCTGCGGCGACTGGTTGGTTGCTGTTGGCAGCACCACCGCCCCAGCTGCAATGGTGCGCGGGAGAAATTCTTAATCCATCTTGGGGTAGTCTCGAAGGGGCTTGCTGCACGCTGGTTGCCCTCTTGTCAGATGGAGCAACTTGCAAAGCCAGGGCAGAATGATCTCGTGCTTGGCTCAGGCTTTTCTCAACATATGTTTGGCAGATGTAAAGAAGCTCTCTTAGGAGCTCCGGTTCGCACGGCCAGCCGCGAAATCCGCTCCTGGCGCCGGATTCCCCGAACTTCGAAGCTTGTGATGGAATGTGGCGCGGTGACCCGTTGACTCACATTGGCTGAGGTGTGGGAAATCGACTTGAGGAGGGGTGTGAACGAAGGCACGTTCCGGTAGCCCGAACCGTATCTTTCCGAACAGCTTAGTGCAAATGTAGCTATGTGCAACTGCATCACTTTGTCATATACGGACAAGTGGTCTGGTGCATGAAAGGCTGGGGCCTGGAGTTGTCTGAAGTCATGATGACCACTCCAGCTGGGCTCGGGCCTTGGCGTCGCGCGCTTCGCGAGCAGTGCACTGTACTCAGAGCCCTGTCTCCACTCCGCGACCTGAATTTGTGATCATTTGCGCAGGCCACGAAGTGCCGGTGTCCTCCGGGTGCAAAGGATCGCAGCGGGCTAAGCTGGCAGAGAGCCTTTTGCGGCGTGATATGGTGCGCTGCCTCCCGATCCCTGAGGCTGAGGAGGGTGCACTGAGCCAGTGGAATGGATGCCAATCCGTGCAGCGGGCGACCTGGACCTTGTCCGCTGATGTGTGGACAGCGGGGGGGGTGGGGGTGGGGGCTTCACCGAATTTGAATGAGGTGGCGTGTGGAGCCTCATGACCTGCTCGTTGCCTGTGAGCCGGAGGCATGATGGTGCCGATGTAGCACATTGTTGTGACACTGTGACCATAGCGACCACCTCCTAAGCTCAACCTGTGCTAACCCTCGCGTGGATGAATGCTGCCAAGCCTTAGCGATAATGGGCGAGTGCATGTATTGCAAACCTGTCGTTGCGTGGATTATGATGGAATGGTCGATGCCTGGGTACCTGCATTTCAGCTTTGGATACACCGGAGACGGTCAAATTTGAACCACTAACCAACTAACCGAACACAAGTGCGGCATCTTGAACGACTGGCAGGTGGACCCAAAACGGGTTCTGCAAAGGCTTCGCGAGGCACGGGAAGCCAGGTGACAAGCTCAGACTCCCAGCGTTTCTTGGCATACTCTTGCGATACGGAACTCTGCTTCCGAGGTTAACACTTCTCAGATGGCACAAAGGTGCTGCTCCTGAGCCCGAGGCCACATGGCCCAGAATGCCACATGGCCGCCCCAAACCCCCCCCAAACGCGTTTGTCCTCTCTCGGCCAGGCCCTGGCTTCTGAGCCCACCAGGACCAGCTTCGAGGCTTTGAAGCCCAGATCTACAGATTGCGCCGAGCATTGTGGCATATTGTGCCTATGCGCTTGTGTCAGCCCTCCACCAGGTCGTCATCTCAAGGACAGGCGCAGATCGCCTGGGGCTGCGCTTGCAGCCGCCGCAGGCTCAGAGATGCAATGAACTTTGAAGTCTTCGGTTCCTTGGGTGAGCTTGCATGGGTGGAGCCAGAGCATCAACAAGCACCTTAGCTGCCGCGATCTAGGTGTTCGCGCGATCCTACGCGCACACTGGTTGCGGAGGCCATTTGGTCAGGTCGTACCATTCCTGTTGGCTTTGATGGTTGTTTTGGGGGGCCTATAGATTGGCGGTAGCGTAGGCAACGCATGCTTCAAGGAGGGGTCAGACGGGTCAGACCGGTCAGACGGGTGAGACGGACAGCAATTGCATGAGAGGAAGCTGTGGGTGGAAAGATGAGCTGATGGAAGTACACCCAATGGCACTGCCCGCACCTGCCCCCTGAACCTGACAAGAAATCCCAAACCTCAAGCCATCTCGAGCCCATCCGCCCCAACCGCAAATGGGACATTGCAGGTGGTGCCGGACAGTTTGGTGGACAGACACAACAAGGCAAGGCAGGCAACACAGGACCGCACAAACAAGTTCTGTTCCTGCCCAGCTGTTCTCGAGGCTTCGCCCGAGAATCAGATCATGGAAGGAGATGAGGTCGCCCTACTCAGCGGGCTGCTGTTGCAACCATGACTCCACTGACCAGCTGCTCACGATGGGTTGGTAGTTAGTGGCAGGTGGACTCGGTCAATGGCGAGGGTGATCCCAACAGATTTGCCCACTGCTGTTCACAGCACCGAGCTCGGCTTGCTTCTGATGCGAAGCCGGGTAACGTGTGCAGACTTAGAAGACTTAGCATGTTGGATGTGTCTTAAGATGTCTAAAGCGCGCGACCACCAGGGGAATGTCGGCCTTGGCTACAGGATACCTACCGAGGATCCGACGTGATGCTTGAAATGTCGTGCCCTGCCGAGGTCAACGATTGTTTTCAGAGTGACCCGCCGCTCCAAAAGGCGCAGTGGAGGCTTGGAACACTGGAACACGGCCTCTGAGAGTTCCTTTCAGGGTCCGTCGTAGAACACAACACACCCCAACCAGGTGCTCATCAGATAGCGAGCCAGGAGGAGACAGGAAGCAAAAGTCTTCCAGAAGCAGGCCATACAGTTTCAGAGGTGCAGCAGGCATCGGCCCGTCTCCAAAACAGCGACGCAGCCGAAGTCGCCGGCGACGAGGAAGAAGCGGACGAGGCCGCGGAGGCCGAGGAGGTCGAGGAGGCCGCGGAGGCCGAGGAGGCCGAGGAGGCCGCGGAGGCCGAGGAGGCCGCGGAGGCCGAGGAGGCCGAGGAGGCCGAGGAGGGGGCGCCCCCTCCGGAGGAGACACAGGAGCCCTGTGAGGCCCTGAACACAACTTTACACAGTTTTCCATCTCTTTGTTTGCACTTTGGCCAGAAAGGTTGTTTAGCTGGAAGTTAAACTGAAGGCTCGCTTTGAGTTCGTTTGCCAAGAGGTGTCTCCACCAGGGCCTGTGGACACTGCTTCGCCTGGTTCGCTGTGTGCGAACGAAGGCTCCAAGCTCCAGCATTTTTAGTTTTAGTAGACTCTGCGCATCTCTGCAGAGATGTCAGAGATGTCAGGCGCGCCTAGCTCGACACCGAGGCCCGTGCAGCCACGGCAACCATGGCAAGGCCGCACATTTCCTGTGTGACTGAGGCGCCAGCTGCCCGCTGACCCAGACCACGGCGAGTACATTCTGGCACGGCACCCTGAGGCTTCCCTGAGGCTTCCCTGATGTTTTTTCGGACATTGCAGACGCGTGGCAGGCACAGCGCGAAGAAGCCGAAACAGGGAAGGTGCCCCTTCAGCCGAGGCATGGTGGTGCCAGCCATGAGAGCACCTGCTTGGATTCAGCTTGTGTGAGTCTCATTGAGTCTCCTTGTCAGGGTGCTGGGAACTGCAACTGCCTGCATGAAGGCCGGCTTGCCTTGTCATTCCTGTCATTCCAGTACTTTACGGTCTTGGCTTGAAGGCGAGAGAGTCCTCTTCTCGAGAGCTCGCGTCACTACTTTTGCTTCCACCAGCGACGGTGGCGACGGCACTCGCCTCGCTGGGTGCCGGCCTGGATGGACCCTCGCGCCAACGCTTCCAGGCTGGCCTCAGCTGCTTGCAGGCGCGGGCAGGTCAAAGGATGTCAAAGGCATCAGCACATCTCCTCACCATACAAGTCAGGACCTGTCGGGCTCCATGCAGGAGCTCTTGGCTGACATGGCTGACGGGAAGAGCGCGCGGATTTAAATCGCTCGCTCTTTCACTGTCTGTGTCTGTCTCTGTCTATTTCTCTCGTTCTCTCTCCCTCTCGTTCCCTCTCTCTCTCTCTTTCTTTCTTGCCTTCTTTCTTTCCTTTCTTTCTTTTGTTCTGTCTTCTCTTGCATTTGCTGCTCCGGACGGAAGTCTTCACTGTGTGCTGCTGCGTGGAGTCCAAGAGAATTGCTCGACTGCGCGAAGTTGCGGCTCAAAAGGCGCTGGGCTAGTGACTGGATGCATCTCCAGTTCGGGTCTGTTGCGCTGCCACGCCAACTGCCGTTGCAAGGCTGCTCGGCAGAGTTTAGAGTATCTTCTTGTACTTACGCACTCTTCGTTCTCCACCGCGCATTCACAGGTCTCGCTCGTTTTCCACCAAGTCCAAGGCTGGTCGAGATGTACTACGACTTTGATTGGAAGGATGCACCACTATCGTCCTACAGCACTCCAGTCATCGCCAGTGGCTCTCTTAGTGCTCGTTGCGCCCCATGTTTGTGCACTGTGACGTACAAGGGCAGTTTACGCCTCCACCGAACAAGGGTTTCATGGAAGTGCCAGCTCCCACAGCCCGATGCATAAGACAGGCTGCATCCAGTCAGCACCAGTCCACCGCGGGGCTCGCATGTACTCCTTCGACAGCAACAGAAAGGTGAGAGACACACCCACAGGCGATACCAAGTGCAACAGGGGAGCCCTGCAAGGAATGACCCCTTAAGGAACCCGACCGGGCGTTTGCATCCAAGGTTGCCTCTACTTGCTGATGGTGTTCTTCTTGCCCCGATGTGCCCGCTACCCATACACTGTCGCATACGGTCGTATGCGGTCGTAGAATGGTCGTGTCTTGTCGTACCGAACAAGATGCCAGTCGGGGTTGTATGCCAGAATGCGTCACATTGACATGAGGTCCCTGAGGGTGGGTACAAGCTGGACAAGACCTTGGTGGTACACAACTTCATCCTCAGTGGAGCCCCCGAACTTCTGCCGGCACATCGTGATTCCAGTCGCTGTCGCTTGCAGGCTTGATGTCCCTGGTCCTGTGCCTGGGATGTGCCTTTGAGATGTTGCAGCGTGTGCGAAGAGAGAACACTGTGGAGTGGATGCCTGGACCTCATCAGCCAGAAACAGCTTGAAAGGAAACGTTAGAGGAGTGAGATATGAGAGAAGTGAGAAAAGAAGTGAGAAAAGAAGTGAGAAAAGAAGTGAGAAAAGCCACAAGATGCTGAAGTCTCGGCAGCTGCCGGCATCGGCCGTTTGCGCATGCATCTTTGTCTAGGTTCTGCGAAGACACATCGATATCCACGCGAGGCCCGATCCCGATGGCACAATACACCAGTGGCATGCTGTGACGAGCCTTGCCGTGAGGGCCACTCTACTTCTGGTCCTGGGCCTTTTATGTCAAAAGCTCAGGAGATTGTGAAAACGGCCTTGCATCGACAGGGTAGCCTACGTTCCTTATGGTGCCCCAAAACGCTGTAAGGCCAGCAAGTACTACGAGCTGGTAGATACGCTCCTCGCCCTGCTTCGGGCCTCCAGGTTCGCAGAAGAGGGTTTCGGGAAGTATGGTTTTGGGATGTTTTGGGTTTGTGCAGGAGGAAGGTTTTTGGACGCTCTTTGTCAGGCCGCCGCATTTTGGCCTGCACGTCTACCACCATGCCCTTGTTCCAGTTCGTACCTCAGCCCGCCTTCGCGCACGTTTTCTGCTTCCGAACTGGCACGAAAGTGAAGCTTCAGACTCGTTTGGTTTTTAGCATGGCCAGGCACCCTCCCTTCTCACTGTTGCCAATCAGTTGGGAGATACTCTGTGTGCTTGCCCTTGACTGCAGAGGTCATGGTCTGGAACTGGTTAGAACACCGAACAACTCTTCAGCACATAGGCCCGCATCAGCTGCTGCAGATGCTGGGCGTGTGCACACTGCGACAGTGCAAGTGGCCAGGGCTGCTTTGGAACACCTTCGTGCACGTGGTCATGTACGCCTATTACGGCCTGAAGGTGCGGAGCTGTTGCTCACCAAAAGCAACTGATGCTTGATAATTAGCTGATGCCGCACATGTCCGCTTGGCTGCTTAGACAAGAAGCCATAGACCCTCTTTGACGATTGGCAACGCTGCAAAAACTAAGTGGAAAACGATTCCTGAAGCTTTCGAATCTTGCTGAGGCCTTCATAGGCTTCTCCAAGAAAGTGCAGTCCGAATCCGAAGAAACCTCAGGTTTGTAGGGGTTCCTGGTGGACTGCAAAGCGGCTGCCAAAGCGCCATAGAGCTGGGCAGATTGGCCGTTGATGATGCTTCCGGATTTGCCACATGTGGTCATGTAAACTGGTTTGGAGCAACGTTGGCTCAGTTGCTGGTGCCTCAATCAGGCTCATGCTACCCATCGCAGTCGTTTACGGAAGCATTGGACAGCAAGCCAAAGCACTCCCATGCACTCCCTCTTCTCTGGGCGGGTGTCTTTCGTGTCGTGCCGTCTGCATGGCCATGTCTTAGCCTTGTGCGAATCTGTTTGGCGAAAGGAAAGAGAACCTGCCGTTATGCTCAGTAGCTTTACCAGCCCGAAGCCGTTTTGCAGGTTCTGCATGTGCCAACGCCAGGCACTAAGACCACGAAGTCGCCTTGAGTTCGTGTATGGCTTGTGGTGAAAAGTTGGTAAGGCCCTGGAAGAAGTGGGTGACCCGCCTACAGATCGTTCAGTTTGTGACCAGCATGGCTTTGCTCGTGCCGGTGCTGTACTACACATGGGAGCGCCCTGCACGGTTTCATGTTTCTCAACAGTCGGCTGGAAGATGTGTTGCCTGGATCCGCTGGCAGGATGCACCGCTCGGAGATGTGTGCGCTGGGCAAAGGAGTTTTTTCGTGAGAGCCGCAGCGACTCTTAGGTGAGGGATGGCTTCGAAGCCGCACAAAGCCGCTGAGCACTGCAGGTCAACCTCGCCTTCAACCTGACGCTGCTCTGGCAGTTTGTTGGAGTGCTGTATACTCCTGCCGCTAGCCGAAGTTTTCAAGTTTCAATGTTGCAACTGCTCGGTTTTTGGCTTCTCTCGGACGGTTGACTCAGGCGACTGGAGCAAAAAAGGGAAGCCGCAAGCAGGAATGAGATGCCACGTTGATCTTCCATACTTTTCCAGGGCAATAGCCCCCCCAAGTATGCATTGCCAATGTATGCCCAATGGCTGTAAAGCGTCTTGGATGCCTAAAGAGGCTCCAATCACGCAGGCCATTGCGTTCGCATGCTGGGTGTGCCTTGTTGCAGCATCTTGTGCTGCATTGCAGGCACTAGCCAGCTTCCCGTGTCACCTTGCCGTCGTGCCCCTAGACCATCCCAGACCGCCTTGGATCGACTGCAAAAAAAACTAGAGGGAAGACCGCTGAACTTGTTGATGCTCACTTATGCTCACTTCAAGGCTGAGATTGTAGAAAGCTGAATAGCAGCTGTTACCGTTGCAATCAAGCACTGAGCCAGTGGTAGTGAGGAGCAAGTCAGTCGTGTTCTGGTGCAGTGCGGTGGTTTGATTCCTCGTGGGTGTATCTGTACGACTGTACGAGTTGCGAAGATTCCATCAAGCCTATAAGGTTACCCTATCAAGTTGCAACTGTCAACTTCGGTCAACTTCGACACCTCAGCTGCTCATGGCGTCGCGGCTCGCGCCCTGGGCTGGGTCCCTGGATAAGAGCCCGAGAGCCATGTGGCCTGACAGAGCGTCTACACTGTAGCACGCCCACGCGCTCACAGTTTCGCGGTAAACTCAGCTTTTACACTGTAGTGGGTCTGGCTGGTTTCACACTCGGTCTTACACTGTAAAGCGCCACGAAGTCACATACGTCATGTCTGCTGCACGTATGGGCCTGGTCCTTGAGTGAGAATCTGAGCGGTCATTTTGCAGTTTAGAGGTGCCTTAGGTTCGGCTTCTTTACCGCAGTGCGATGCAAGAAACGGCAGGGAGTGCAGAGCTAGGGCAACATTGGACGACAATCTGCTGTGGGACCTGCCAAGAACACGAACACAGGCATCCTCTTGACGGCCTTGCTTTTGGCTGGCTCTGCTGCTAGTGAAATCGCTCGTCCTGTAGCCAGGCCTCAACGGTCAGAGGACACGCCTCTGCGCATGACGACAAGATATCGAAAACCAGTGGATAGTTAGGGCTTGGATGTCGAACGTCCAAGAGCGATTGTAGCTCCATCAGTGGTGGTTGCATTTCAGTGTGCCGATGTTGATGGAGCATGCGCCGTTGCATCGGTCGCGACTCATATTGCCACGATCAAGAAAGAAGCAGCGAGAGTATTGAGGAATCCGTGTGCGAGATGTCCCCATGTTTTGGACGCTATGGACATTAAATCGGAGGCTTGCACAACGGCAGCCTCCAGGTCGGGTATTGACACGAGAAGAACTGCTTAAGGTTGCTTCCGGAGACTGCAGATGATGAACTTCGATGATGCATAAGCTTAGACTGCTGCAGCAGCGTCCAAAAGATAGAGGGAGCTGCACATTTACGTCAGTTTCTGCTATTATGGCCTACTACTGCAAAGCATCCACGAGAGCCATTCTGACCTGCTTTGCTTTCAGCTTGAAGGTGAGGCCAGCTCAGAGTTCAAGCAGCAGTGCGCGCTTGCGCTTGCGCGGGCATGTTCAAGCACGTGCCGGCAGCTTCTCCCAGCTCTTGCCTGGCAAGTCGGGAGCCGAGCGCAGCGGAATCACTGCGAAGATCGTGGAATGCACGAAATCAAACAAGCGAGAGGCGCGCAATCTCTGGACCAAGGATGCAAGTCGCCCAGTTGCTGGGGCAAGGCAACGCAAGCGCGTCGCATGTCAAGGGGCAACGAAAGATGTCCGGATGTCTTGTGCATCCGGTTCAGGATGCTTCAGCCGTGCCTGCAACTTAGCAGTGCTCTCTATCTCCACCTCTGCCTCCCTCTTTGCTGACAGCGGCCTTCAGGTACAGGCGCGCAGTGCCGTGAGCAGTTCTGCGGACAGCGAGGTGACCACCGACGCAACCTTCAGGCCGTGCGAGTTCAGCGTGTGGTCTGTCCGAGTCCATCCAGAATAATGGTGCGAAGGTACAGTAACTTTAGCTGGCGAACATCTGCCGGCGAAAGGCTGACATTCATATTTGTGGCCGAACAATTGGAACCGTGCAAACCCGAGTAAGCACAGGCATGTGTACGAGTACATCATTGCGCAGCAGCCGGTCCGGTGCCAAATTGTTGGACTGCCCTCACGCAGCAGAGAAGATAGTGGACTGCCTTCACGCGGTAGAGAAGATAGTGGAGGCCGGTGGTGAAACTGCTCGAAATGCCCTGGTGGCACTGGAAGAGAGCTTGCCCGTACCCTAGATCAAGAAGTGACCTGCATCGTTCGCATCGTCCATCGTCTCACCTTAGCATCTTGCAGCTTGCATCATTCCTCTTCATAGGCGCAAGGTGCGATGTGAACTCTGAGCAATGAGTAGGAGCAATGAAAGGAAGAGCATGTGAAGAGCGGCATAAGTGGGCTTTTGGTGGGGGTCCCTCTGTGTCTTCGAGGCCTCGCCCCACCAGTGGCTGGACCTTGCTGCTGATGCCATCGGCCTGTTGCTCAGGGATTTTGGCAGAGGAGCGGGGGCTCTGTTGTTTGATTCTGTTCTTCCCCGTTCTCTGTCTTTCTTTCCTGTTTCTGACAGAGGCGACAGTGTGTCCCTCTTCTTAGGAGGAATGCTCGATGATTGATGATTTGCGCATTCCTCAAGACGACAATGCCTGAGGTCTCGCTTGTTTGCAGCGGCAAAGAAGAGATGAGACCACTGGCCACGCTGCTTTCACAGCGAGGGCCAGGGAGCCCAAAAATTGCTGTGCTCACGCCAAGCACATGCTTGGGCTGCCGCTGTGGGCATCTCTGAGGCATCGTTGCTACATCCTGGAGTGGCCTAGGGCCCAGGGGGTGGCCCAGGGTCTGGAAAAATGTTTGAAGGTTCCGAAAAAGATTGAACCCTGATTTCTTCCAGGCCGGGATGGACGCAGCACGTACAGACCAATTGGGCGTCGCAGCCTCGGGGGTCCGCCAAGCCCTGGAAAAGAACCTCACGGATTTCACATGTTTGATCATGCCTGCTTTGCACTTGACGTGTGCAGGTTGGAGCGGTGCAAGACTGAGCACCTGGCGGAGGAATACCAGGACTCTTGTTGCAACGGTTTCTTTCAAGTGGTTCATCAACTTGGCCCCACTTCTCTCCTGACGGTTAGCTCAACTTAGTAACTTTCCAGGACTTCTGGTGCCAGGCCTTGGAGCATGTTGCCCAGCGAGAGCTGGCAGGGGTCGCCGGACAAGGAGGCCGTGTGGTGATTCTTGTGATTTCTTGTGGCTTGCGTCCCATGTGCACAGTGACTCTCCAGACAATCATGAGGCGATTCCAAGGCGACTAAGCGGGTGCCTAAGGCTTTCTTTCGCTCTCATCGCGTGGAAGACTGCAGTTATAGTTCAAAAACGCCAATGCGCAGCACATTGAGCCTTTGAGCCCCAGGCTGTGCATTGTGGCAGCTGGGAGTGCTGCCATCTACGCCCTTCGGGCTGTCAAGGCCTGGGCCTGGGGGGCTTCTGTGGATGCAGATGTTGTTCCGACTCAGGCGCTGCAGGGATGGTCCGAGTCGAAAACAGCCCAGCGCTCGAGGAAAGTTACCAAATGCTCCGACGATTCACATTAGCTACGCCAGACGGCGTGCGCACGATCCGAACAAATCAAATCTGCAGTCACAGAGACGCATCTTCCTCCTAAGCTTGGTATGGCCTTTGCAGATCTTCGCGCATCCTTGCACGGCGCCGGGGGCAAGTCTTCTTGTGAACGAGGCGACCGCTCCGTACGACTCCCTGGTGATGCTTGCTCCAAGTGGGGTGCCTGTTCGCAAGGCACACCAGTCCAGATACCATAGACAACACACATATATGTTTATGTATGTCTAAATGCGTTGATACACAAAACTATGATCACAGTGTCTTTGTATGTGCCAGGGCATCAGCTGCAAGACTCCAAGGTTGGAAGGCGGAGCGGCGACGAGGGCTTCTCTCCAGGCTGCAGCCGGACCACGCTGCCTACTGGATGGGTGTCCGGGTCTTTGCAGCTTCTGTTCATGCTCTTTCATGCTCATTCATGCTCATTCATGCGGTATTATTTTGTGTTGGTCCAATGACCACGATCTTCCTTGCAGCGTGTGGCTCTTAGACTGTAGGGAGCCAGAAAGGATGGCTTCCCAGCACAAGAGGAAGCGGTAAGTGCATGGCGAGCAGTGACTTGACAGCGAAGGTCTAGGTTACCTTTTTGGAGTTCTGTCTCCTAAGTCTTGAGTGTATGCATTTTCGGTTGCGTGTCCGACACTGCGACGAGGCCAGGCGCCACGAATACCGAGAGCACTGCCACAAGGGGCTGTGGGCATCAGCTATGTCAACTCAAGGACTCTTGACTGCGATGGTACTATTCTCAGCCGCAGAATCTGGCTGCGACAATCAGCTTCCGGCTCCATGCCAATGTGTTCTGGGATCACTGGGGGACGGTCCTGGGTGCATTAGAGCTGATTGTTGGCTAAACGCTTCATCTTGCCTGCTGTTCGTGTTTCTGTCCTTGGCCACTGGTGCGCATCGCTAGAAGCCACCGCCTGAGGGTGGATCCAGCCTTTTGCTGCCCTTTCTGCAGGTTTTGTCTCCTCTGAACTGCTTCTTTGTGCCTGGGTGTGTGAGGTGAGGGTTGGAGTGTATGGGTGAAGCGGAAACTCAACTTGATTGCGGCAGGAATGCAGATGATGTTTCAAGCGCATGGGTGTGGTTGCTTCTTCATGCAAGCACATGTCATGTTTGGAGCTCAGGATTCCCCAAGGTCAGGCGACCTTGAAGCCGGAGATCCAAGAGCTGCTGGTCTTGCTGCGCAAGGCGCTCCACCTGGTGTGCGAGGAGCTGCGGCGGACTCACAGGTGCAACAAGCACTTGGAGGAGCGCCAAAGCGACTTGGCCATCGAGCTGGACGAACTCAAGTCCAGATCAGAACGGCCCACGCGTCGGGGCGGCGCTGTGAAGGTGAATGACCTTCCAGAGCGCATCGAGCTCCCGCAAGCCACCCACGCCCTGCCGCCTCCGGTCTTCAAGGCTGTCGCGGTCCCAGCCCGTGAGCTGCCTGCGGCCGTTCGGGCCGTGCCTGCGGCTGTGCCAGTGGCCGCGCCAGTTTCGGCTTCAATCGGCTCCTCGGCCCCCAACGAGCCACGTGGGTCGGCCGCATCGAGCGGGTCGGGCGACAAGGGCAAGCCACGTTGCTCCAGTGACCGGAGCTCGATGGCAAGCAGCAGACGCGTGACCCTGAAGCTGTCCCGAAGTGTGCTGAGAAAGCTTTCAGCAAACGCAGGGCATGCCCAGAACGAGGAGCAGGACAGCGACAGCGGCTCGGAAATCTTTGAGGCCAACAATCCTGATGAGGTCTTGCAGATGCAGAAGATTCTCCAACAGCTTAGTTGGAAGTATGAGTACATGCCGGAGGGAGGAACGGTCGTGGGAGAAGACGGTGTCAAGCCTGAAGAGGAGGACGTTCGAAAGGGCATGTTGCAGGTGTCGCTGTGCTTGTGGAATGAAGGTGCAGTCACTTGCAGTGTCTGATTGTACCTCGGATGTACGTAGCAGCAACCGTAGCAGTAAGTTAGGCTTGGGCACAGGCATAAGTTTGCATATACAGGTATGCAGGCAAGCCGTGTTTTGAGGAGCCCGAGACATCTCCCTCCGTGCGAGCTTCGCTGTCTCGACGGCTGACGCCAGGAATGCTGGAAGATGAGACAGCCTCCCTTCCGCCTCGTCGTTTAACTCTGTTCCAGGCCAAGTGAACACGACACCTTTCTCAGTGCGCGCGGCTGCTGGGCGGAAGCCTCGCTTCCTGAGCTCCTGGCGTGGATGCCGGTACAGTAGCTATCAGACGTAATTCATGTGTTACGAATACGTCTGAATATCTGTTAATGCTTCTGACAGAGCCCACACCGCTCTGAGCACCAGGCACAAGAAAATCGATCCAGAGCGAAGTAGGCTTGATTGAAGCGGGCTTGGACTATCTTTGCAGCACTCCACGCTAGTGCCCAGGCTCTGCTTCACACCGACTCAAGGGTGGGTCGCATCTTTCGAAAGTCCTACTTTGGGTGGGGCTCCAAGCTGGGCAGTGGGCACTGTAGCATGCAGTCTGCTTGTCGTCAACCTTTTCTTTCGTCACCCGCGCTAGTGCGCTGTTCAAAATGTAGCATGCAGCATGCAGGGTAGCTCAGGAAGAAGAACCTTCAACGCCACTTCCTCCATTCGGGTGCGCCGGATGGAAATGAGGTGCACCGAATCAGACCCCTATACCCCCAAGCTGTTGTCCATAGCACAACAGCATATAGCACAGCCATAGCACCTTGGCGACCTGCCTTTCAAAGGAGCGGCTCTTGCAGCTGGCCTCCTGGTTCTTCCAAAGGCCATGTGGCGCTTTGTACAGCCACAACATTGTACAACCGTCCGACCACCCGAGACTCCAACTCCAACGGCCGGATGCTTTTCAGTGGATTTTCCTGGCAGCTCAGAATGCTCGGAGGCCACGGCCCTATGCGCAGACCGATGCGGCAATCGCCTATGGATTCTTGGATCCTCCTAACATCGACTCCGCCGGACCACCTAGCCCTTTTCCGCCCTGTTTTGGAGTGCTGTGTCATGCATCCATTGCCAAATCCTCCGGGAGCACGCTGCACCATTTGCAGAGGTCGAGAATTTGGCTGCCGAGATCCTCTCACAGCCCTTCAGGCCCTTCAAGTGGCTTCCAGGGCACAGACATGTCGTACACTGCGTGCATGGTGTTCGCCTTACAAGGCGTCGTGTGCTACTACTGAGCCCGGAGTCCCAAAGTGGTACCCCATCTTCGTCCCTGCGGACCGCTTTAGAGGCTGGTGCTCGTGTGACTCATTCAATTCTGCCTGACATGTCTTGGCATTGATGCCACTAGGCGGTTTGTTGCGTGGGTGCAGTGGTTGTGCAGCTAGCTGTGCAGGCCAGTTCGCACTCGGCAGGCTCTGTGGAGCAGCGTCGACTCCTTATCCAGCGATCATTTCGCATATGGCTTATTTGTTGAGTTGAGGTCTCGTTCCCTCCAATTCGCCGCTGCCACATGAAGTGGCCACTTCAGCTGTGCAATTCGTGGCGGCTCTCAGCTCTGGGTTCCCTTTGAGAACTTTGCGTGTCGGTGCACGAACGTGGCCTTGGGGACCGAGGCTGTGGATCAGTGGCTGCAGCAAAGCGACGTTGCATCGCAGTGAGCGCTTGAAGAAAGAAGCGGGCTTGGCAGTTCGGATCAGTTCGGATCAGCTCAGTATGCTATGTTTTTCTTTTGTTGGTGTGCGTGCTATCTGTCCGCCCACTCTGTCCGCGTGACATCGCCGCAGAAGTTAGATCAAGCTTTTGGGTCCTCCGCTGGCATCTGCTGGGTGCAGGCAGCGGTTGTTGAAGGGTTGCAAGGAACCTTGCGTTGTCCTGCGTATCCGCTGCAGGCCATGGCAGCTTTGGGAGAGGCGACAGTGTTTCTGTGTCTGCTCACATCTGAGATGCACTACCATCCTTCCCAAGCGCCCGCTCCTGCCCAGAAGGTGCTTCCCACTACTGTCACTGTGACAAGGATGGGGCTTCTGTGTAGAGTCTCTGGCACTCTGGCACTGGCCCTCCAGCAAGCTTCACAAAAACATCCCACGTTGCGGAGGCCCGAAGTCTCCACCAGATGGACTCATTCTCCAGCAGCAGTGGTGGCTGTGGATGATGCAATCAGGTCTGATCGCTCAGGACACTACTGAGTACTGATTTGGTGGAAGGGTGAAAATCAACTGAGGCGTCCAGCTGGCACTTCCAGCTCGAATTTTAAGACTGGATGCCTTGGCCTCAGTGCCTCGTAAGCTTGTGTGCTTTGTGTGCAGCGCGTTGTGGGGCAGAGTGTTGCGGACCGTGCAAGCCAAGTTGCTCTGGCGGTGCCGCTGGCCGCTGCTGCTACGCGGCGCAGGAGGGGGGCTAAGATCCTCTCAGAGTGCTTCCTTGTGCAGTAGGGAAGCATGTTTACGAAGGGGCTGGTTTGCAGGCCGGGGCGGAAAGGGCACACCTGTCGCCTGGCGACGAAGACCTCAACAACGGTGAGCAACGCCACCGTGAAAGGTGCAGCGAAGGCGCGAGGCCGCTTCACAGTTTGGCCGAGGATGCTGAGGGGATCTGCTCTGAGCTGCCAGGTCTGCTCCGAATGTGGCTATGTTTTCTTGGAAGATGATGCTCTTTTCTGCCAATTGCTGAGCGTGTCCTTCTCTCACAAAGTGGCACTGTGTTGTGCATCAGCATGCTGTAGAGGCCCAAAGTGCGGCACGCCTCGAACGGGAACCCTTGGTGTTGGAGGTTCCAAGGCTGGCTTTGACTTCTCCAGAAAGTTTGTGTGCAGAGAAGTTGTGAGACACAGTTTGAGATTGTGTGAGGCCGCTCCAAAGCCCGAGGAGCCGAAAAAAGGCTATTTTGCGCCACAGCCCACGCCACTGCCGCTTGCTCACCTCGCCGGCTTTTGTTTTTTTGATGGTGTGGTGCCTTGCATCATGCCTAGAAGTGTTCCGTACATGTCTGTCCTAGAATCATATGTCTGCCTCAGCCGGCTGTTCTCACACGAGGTTGGACTCGCTGGGAGATGAGGGCACTCAACGGACAGCTTCCCCCAGTACCTCTCAGCAGCAAATCTCGCAAGCTGTTCCGCTGCAGGATCCGCAGCATGAGTGTGCCGGAGCTCAAGCAACTCGCCGACGAAGTTCGGTGGCAGGCCCGGTGCATGCTTCTGTGCTTTTAACCTCCTTGGTGCAGTGTACACGCAGGTCCTAGACGCCGTGTCAGTCACAGGAGGACATCTCGGCAACTCGCCTCGGGTTTGAAGATTTCTTGTTAGACTAGTTCCTGAACCATCGGAGCAGATCTGAGATATTTGAGTTGAGAAAATGTGAAGTTTTGTCCTGAATCCTTTTGAGGCGCTGGCTTGGGAGTTGTTGAGCTGACTGTCGCTCTCCACCACGTTTTTGACACCCCTCGTGACGAAATCTGCCGGTGACTCAAGACAGCTGGATGGCATCCTGAAAACACCAGTGCATGGTCTGTGCATGGTCGAGCCTGGCCCCAGGCTGGGACGTGGCGCATCAATGCCAGCCGCACAAGGTTCTCTGACGCTAATGCACTTCCTGCCCATGTACGAGAATATCACGACAATTCAAGACTCTGAAGGTGCTGACTGGACGCCGATCGCGAATCTACACGTTGCGTTAGGCTCTCATGCTGGGGCTATGAGGCACAGGCAATCACGGGCAGTCACGTGCATCTAAGAGCTGCGAAAGCGCTTAGCCATCTTAGCCGAGGCCAGGGTGGAGGCCTGTCAGGCTTCGCAAAGCGGAAGGAGTCCACAGCCTGGCTTCGGCTTTCAAGATATGGCAGCGCAATGGAGTCGTGTAGATGGAATACATGGATATAGATGGTCTTCCGGATGACCCAAGGTCAATCTATGACGCCTTTGGTGCTGGCCACTCCTCAACATCCATCAGCCCTGGACTGAGCATGACGAAGCTCCATTGTGCTGAGCGTTGCCGAGTCATCTCGGGCCGCGGGCAGGTGCTGCAGTCGGCTTCCAAACTGCCAAAGATCGATTGGGCAGGTGCCATGCATGGCGGTGCAGAGCAGCAAAGCGTGCAGTCTGCCATCAATGGCTCCTTTCTTTGCAGGGGGGGGGGGATGTCACCAGACAGGTCTGGACACAGCATTGCGGTCATCGGAGATGGTGCGATCACCGGTGGCATGGCCTGGGAAGCCATGAACCACGCCGCGGCCTCGCCGGAAGAGACAGACAGTGGAGTTGCGGGGCCTTGCTCTTTTTGCTGGAGAGTAGGTAGCAACAGCATTTCATGATCAGGCAGGTGGCATGGGTTCCAAGATGGCAGCAGCCCAAGATGTTACCAGCATGCTAGGTGCAGCAAGGCCGACCCAGCTTGCGTCCCTCCGCTTCAAAGCTCTTTAAGGTCGTAATTCTGAACGACAATGGACAGGTGTCTTTGTGGGAGCCCTACCAGTTCACAAACATGGAAGGTCACATCTTGTTGAGGCGTGTCGGTTTCACCGTTTCACCTTCGTCCGCCTCCCGACATCCTGAGCTTCACCCCTTTCAGGCCCACTTTCTACAACAAAGTCTTCGGCCTAGATCGTGACGGATTCCAAAGCACATGTACGTGTAGCGGCTTGTTTTGAGTCGGAGCTTCAAGTGCGGAGGTCAAGCAGCCCGTGGGGGCGCTCTCAGAAACGCTGGCTGGCACCAGCGCAGAGACACGAGGTCACGTAAATGTTCGCAAATGACCAGTCTCTTGGCACTTGCATGCCACAGCTTCTCAGTTGCCAGGCCTTTCCATCCAGGGCGACATTGCAAAGTTTGAGACTTCTTCGGCGTTTCAGAACGCAAGACAGCGTCTGCCTGAGTCGAAGGGTGCAGCATCTGTTCTTTTCTTAATCGTCGGCCAGTCGTTTGAATGTGGGCTTCCCGGGCTTCCCGAGGTTTGCTAAGAATGCAACGAAGCAGCTGTTGCCTGGGCAGCTGTCGGCAGCTGCTGCAAAGCTTGACGAGTCCGCCCTCCCGTAGTGTAGTTACGTCACAACTCGGCAGTCGGTCGGTTCTTGTGTAGATATCTTGAATCGCTTGAGTCCTTAAGCAGTCACGTCTCCACTCAACCTGGATACTTCACCTGGGGGATATGGCTTCAAGATTCTTCAAGTGAAGTACTTGGATCACAGGGCAGCCACGCCCGAGGACGGCTTTCAAGCTTAGCCAGCTAGCGAGAATGAGCAGCCAACGGCACCACACTCACCAGTGTCACCAGGGCTTAGGGCGAATCGAACTGCTTGTCGCCATCACGGGAGCCTAGGAAAGTGAGAAGTGTTGTTTCAGGGCCGAGGGCAATGTAGCAATGTACTGCTGGTAGTCGACTTGTGCTCCAGGTACACGCGGGACTTTGTGAAGACTGTCCCCTTCCGTGGAAGTGGCTCGGGCAGTCCGCTGCCAACGTTTGATATTGGGCACTCGAAATGTGAAACCTCTAAAAACCATCGTAAGTGAATCAAGTGTGTCCAAAGGCAAGGGAGAGCTCTTTGAGCAGCTTGGATTCTACTACGCCCGGCGCTGTGGAATCTTTCAAAATGGTATGCAAAAAGGCATGCAAAAACGTGGGTGCTCACTGCCCCTGGGTTGAGGTTGGTCCCATTGATGGGCACGACATGGACACGTTGGTGGAGGCCTGTGATGTCTCTGTATCTGCTTGCTGGTACGCTGCGAGATATAGTCGTTCTCTTGATGCACTCAGAGCAGCAGCTACAAGTCTAGCTGCCGGGCTAGACTTAGAAGCCTTTGCTAAGCGTCTTTCGGGATGTTGCATCCGCAAAGTGCCAAAGGCTGCCTCCTCGTTTGGTTGATGCTAGGTTCTGTCGAACATCCGCCGGGACCATGAAGACGGCACGTTGCAGAAGCCCGTGTTCCTTCACATCAAGACCGCTGTGTGATGCTCACGTGGTGCTGCTTTGTGGGGTGGACTTGTAAGTTTTTGTGGGCTGTGTGATTGTTCTCCGCACAGGACCAAGAAGGGGAATGGTTACGAACCAGCCCAGAAGGTAGCTGCCATGGCTGCACAACGTTAACACATGAAAAAAGCTTGTTGATGCACAAAAGGGCAAAGAAGCCACACTGGATGTGCAGGCAAGTGACAAGCTGCATGCAGTTCAGCCAAAGTTCAATGCCGCACAGCTGCACGATCGATTGAATTGAGCCTTGGTCGTCCTCTCAACAACTTGTTTGTCCTTTTCTTGAGGTGCCGAAAGGTGACGCCCCTTCAGGGTTCGGCGGCCCAGTTCCCCACAGATGCAAATGAGCTCATGGCTGCCTACGTGTTCGGCCCACGTTTCGGCCCACCTGGAGGCCAAAGCAACCGCCGTTCACGAAGATTTTCGGCGATGCCTTGGTGAGGGAGGCGGAGCCTGGGTCTCAGAAGACTGCAGAGATGATGGGCTTCCTGATGAGTTTCTCCGGTGTTTTTTTCCAGCACATCAACCCATCCCGTCGTGTGTTTCCGTCACTCCTGTGTGTGTTCGCTTTTTTTGGCTCTGTGGCACGCCCAGGCGCGATGAAAAGATTGTGGCCATTACCGCAGCCATGCCAGGATCTTACTGCAGATTCCAAGACTTCAGCAGGAGCCTTGGTGATGCAAAGTTGTGCCCCAAGAGACCTGGCTGAAGACAATCGGAGGCCCGGTGGAACTGGTGTGGGCATCTTTGAGAAGAGGTTTGGCCCAGCGTGGGCTTCAGAGGTCTTCGAGCATTCTCTGCAAGTTCTCATGCTTGCGCTGTGTTGGGTGGGCCGTGGGGGGGGGGGGGGTCTTGGAACTTAGAACTCGTTGAAGTAAGGAGCGCACTTTTGACGTGGGCATTGCTGAGCAGCATGTGCCGGCCTCGACATGAACATGTTTCTGGACGGTCATCTGCTTCATTTATTCAATTCGCGCTGCATTGCCTTTCGTGCCACACGACAAACGGAAACACCACATCTGCCTCAAGCTCACTCCTTGTCCCTGAAGCCAGAGGCCGTGACATTTGCTGCAGGGATGGCTGCCGGTGGCCAGAACCTTTAGGGACGGTTTTCAGTTGTCACGGGCCTGCGCGATACGTTTCAAGAGTGGACACCAGCATGTATCCGCGAAGCCGTGCCAAGGCATGAAGCCTTTCTGTGCCATTTACTCCACGCAGGGCTGGCTGAATTCAGCTGCTCTCCATTGCCATCATATTCGCAAGAGCGCAAGAGCCTCCATTGCAGGTTCTTGCAGCGGGGATATGACCAGCTAGTTCATGCTAGTATCTCAGCTGCTGCGTGCATCGTGTGCCCAGAGCCGATTGTTGAGGGCATGTGAGGCGTCTACTGAGTCTACGGGTAGCCTGGGAGAGCTCTTGTGGATTTCAGCTTTTGCGTCGGTGGCCAAGGACGTGGCTCTCCAGAAGCTGCCGGTTCGATTCATCTTGGATCGAGCGGGTCTCGTCGGGGCGGACATCACCTCAGCCCTTCTAAACTTGCTTTAACGGTTCTAAGCGTACAGTGGTTTCCTCGTGACAAGTCGAAGATGAGGATGGAGCCACCCACAGCGGGTGCTTTGATCTCTCCTTCATGGGTTCAGGACTTAGCCGTTAGCCGGATTTCAGACCGAGTACGTAGGCAGGTGGAGATGTGCACTCAGCACTGGTTTGCGCAGCGTACTTTTCCCAACACCTCCCAAACTGGGCCTTGCATGCGCAAAGTGTGATGTCAGTGCCGGCCCAACGTTGAGGGTGCACGGCCTTCTGTGCCTGACTACGCTACAGCACCTAATATGTCCGTCTTGCTGAAGTGTTCCAAGTACGTGTAGTAGAAGATTTGCCGCCATGAGGCTGCATTCCGGACATGATGGTGTGTGCATCGGCTGACGAGGCTTAATCGGTGTGTGCTTTTGTGCCCCGGGAGAAGGATGCAGACTTGGAAGTGTGGCCTTTCTGCCAGGCAGAGCTTGTCAACATGATCCACACGCTGGCAAAGATCGATGATCAGCCAACTGCACTGCGGTCGGTACCCCTGGTGGATTCTGGTGGTTTCCGAGGGCAACAAAGAGAGGGCTGCGAGTCGTTGTCTAGCCTTTGGCAGCCCCAGGTTCCCCCGCGGCAGCTGTTATGGCGACCTGGTAATGCCCGAGGAGCCTCGATTTCTTGAACCCGGCAGAGGGTCCCACCCATAGTGCTGGGGAGCAGCGGGGAGCAGCGCTGCCATCGTCTTGTTCTAACACCGTGCTCTTATGAAGTGCTTCATGAGGCGCATCTGCCGCGAGGGCCGTGATGGCAAGCTCGCCATCCTGTCCATTGGAGGGCGCTTGCGTGAGTGCCTGAAGGCCGCGTACTTCTGGGTTTCATGCATGCCGCTGCCTGCTACCCATCTCTGCTTGAAGAGGCTGCAGACGAGCTGGAGGAGAAGTATGGCATCTCTGCGACCGTGGCAGATGCCCGCCTGGAGCCTGGCATGTGATGTGACTATGCCGTTGTGCTGCACCTAGTCACGTGAGCAAGCCAACGTGTTGGAGGTTGGATGAAGCCGCTGGACAAGAACCTCGTCGGCCGTCTGGCCGAAGATCACCGAGCTCTTATCACCATCGAGGAGAGCTGGTGCATGTTGCCTACTGTTGCCTGATCCTTGAAGGTCAGGTTCGCGGGCTGCTACCGAATAGGATTTCTGAGGTCAGAGCAATTAAGCGGGACATCTACGAACTCTTTGTCAGTCAGGAGAACGCCATCGGTGGCTTCTCCGCGCAGGTCCAGCAGGTGCAGCGTGGTGTTCACTCTGTAGTCAGAGTTTCTAGAAATGTTTTATGATATTCCTGTTTGCAAAGGCTCTCCTTGAAGAAGGATTCCTCGATGGCATGGGAAAGACGCCGGTGGCACTTCGAAGTATGGTGTTGCCGGTCCAGCCCTCAGGCCATAGGTCATCATAGGTCACTGAGGGCCAGGCGGGCCAGGTTCTCAACAAAACAGGAACTCCCCCACTTCTCATGCCATCTTGGTGCTTGCAGGACAGGTGGATTGATCACAACACTCCTGAGCTTCAGTACGTCTTTGCCTCATGTGTTACAGGCAATTTTGTTCTTAGGGTAGAGTGCTGAGCTATGCTGCTGTACTTGAGGATGATGCGAGGCTCAATGCGGAGCACATACTCCAGAAGGCTTCTCGTTAGCTCTTTGCTTCGGTAGTGTGGACGAACTGCATGGCAGCTACGCCCGATACTTCATTCTTGAAAGGCTCTGGCGCTGCTGAATCGTGTGGGCGTCAAGGTGCAAACGGGTCTTGTCAAGCTCTGACCACATGAGTCTTCTGGAAAGAGTTGCCTAGTTGTCTGGCTGCGCTGCGCAGAAATCTTGCCTTCAGCTGCATGCGTGTGGCTTTGGACAGCTGCTACTGACAGGTGGCCACAAACGTTGCAGGTTAATGGATCCCATAGCAAGGCACCCTGTGCCGTCAATTTTCACCTGACGCTTGCATGATTAATTTGCAATCTGACATCTGGTCTGTTGAGAGTGCTCATGGGTTGTATTCCGATACCGTTCGCATTTAATGCCCAATCACAGAATTGGCTAGGCAAGTTAGTTCATGAACATGTGTATGATATCTACATACATACATATAAACAAGATATATGTCACATCGTATGCATTGACTACGTGTGTGGAAAAACATGGCCGGCCAGCAGCAGATCAGGGTCTCAACCGCAGGCTTCTCACGGTTTTTTCCAGAGCCTTGTGGCTTTCGCACAGGATAAGCTTTGAAGCTGACCCAAGAGGTTTGAGTCTGATGGGATGGCGAAGGTTTGTGTGGTTTTTGATTTGCAGCAAAGCTGCGCGTCAAGTCGATTATTGGCTTGTCGTGGCAAACATGCCCGACTCCACCGGTTTGATTCGTCTTGAAATTTTACAGCCAGAGGCATGCCAGTTACTGTGCGGAGAGCTTCATTCGTAAATCTCGTTGCTGGAGCTGCTGACAGTAGAATCGAAAAAGGAGAACGCCACCTGCATTTCCACCAGTTCTTCACATATGAGCCTGAAAAACCGAGGAGGGGTCGAGAAAGAAGGAAAGAAACAGGGACAGAAAGAAGAGAGAGTGATTCCCCCTAAGACCACGCTCGAACTCGCTTGGCCGTCGAGGCCACATTCCGCCAGCCGGGGGGCCTCAAAGCGGGCACAAGAAGAAGCAGGAGAAGGAGAAGAAGAAGAAGAAGAAGAAGAAGAAGAAGAAGAAGAAGAAGAAGAAGAAGAAGAAGAAGAAGAAGAAGAAGAAGAAGAAGAAGAAGAAGAAGAAGAAGAAGAAGAAGAATAAGAAGAAGAAGAAGAAATGGAAGAAGAAGAAGAAGAAGAAGAAGAAGCAGCAGAATGACAAAGAAAAATCAGAAGAGAGACATGTGGGGACCTCAACGAGACCCTGAACTTTCGCGGAGTTTCTGATGAAGCACGGTCTGCTGCCGATGTGAAGAACCTAGGGACGCATGGGACGCCAACCTATGACCCCTACAACCAGGTCATGGCACCCTGGAGGTTGGACCGTAATAGTGGCAGCCACGGCTTGGGTAGCAGAGGATGGCAGATAAGTCCAAACATCAAGCATCGACGTCTTCTTCAACCGACCGCCGAAGCGGAAGGTGGGGCCCAGAGTTCTGCGACGAGGCACGCCGCCATCCTCCTGGCCAGCAAATGCTCAACACATTGAATGGCTAGCAACTCCGGTTCATTCGAAAGCATATCCGTGGCCAGCAGCGCTTCAGCTCCTATGTGCTTCCGCAGGTTTTGGAGGTTGTATGGCGACGCGGAACTCGGGCGCTCGCCGAGCGCGGAGGCTTTGGCCTTCAAGCCCCTACGAAGGGTTCTTTCGTTGGGGCGCTCGGCACGAACAGGGGGTCACTCCCACGCTAAAGCGGAGAATGAACGAAGAAGAGATGATATGAGATGTCTCACGTAGCACTAGGTGTCACCTCCAAGCTGCATCAGGGGGACACGTGGCAGCCACATGAATCGAGTACTTCAGCGTTGGGGATTGGGTTTGGAACACTGTAGTCCCACAAAATGAATAAAGGACAACGGCCAGAAAGGAAAAGCGACATGAATACAGACAGTGACATAAAAACCAAATGAACAAGAGAGAGAGAGAGGCAAAGACACAAGTCAGATTGAGGAGACATTGACCAGTCGCGACAAGAGGCGCAAGTCGACGTTCCCAAAAAAATAGCAACGCCATGTAGTTCCGGCATCAAGAACGATGCGGAGTCCATGTCTTCCAAGATGACAGTCTTGTGTATCCCCAACTCTAACTTTCCTACCAGGCCATCAGCTCCGGGGAAGCAGGTGAGATGGCGGAATCGGAACTTTCCAACTGACCCTACAGAAGAGGACAAGAAATGCAGGAGCAGAAGGAGGCAAACGTTTCACGGGACGAGAGGGGTATCGGCATTACTTAAACTGTCTGGTACTGCTTATTGACAAACTTGTTGACACATGAAGGGCCACTTGCTGTCGACTCGAACAGCCTCCGCCGCCTTCGCCAGTCATTGGCTGTGCTCACTCGAGCAGTAGAGGTTTGCTGCAGTAGCAGATCGGCCAGGCAGGACGAACATGCTGAAGCGAAACCGATGAAGATTCCTCAGCCTGGATCCACGGCAACTCTCAGGCAGGCCATGCTCGCCTTCCTGGGCGGCGCGCCGACCAGTGCACCCACCGCTAGGCGCGTTACGTTGACCGCTGATGGTTGTTTAACGTTCTGTGGCAAAGGGGGGACTGTGCTTTTCTGCTGACTTTTCAGTCCGCTAAGCATAGACGCGCGGCAGTCGATGCCAAAGGGTGTGCAAATTTACAAGCTACAAGTGAATCACACAAAGTCAAAGTGCATTGGGTCGGTCATTGGCAGGAAAACGGCGCAAGAGAGGTTTTGTTACAGCTTCATGTGACACACAGCAAGTTTTCTTTCGCTCAATTTGTCTTTGCTCCTCTCTCCTTCCGAAGTAAGGCTCTTCCATGGCCTTTCTCAGAAACATGGTGCAATAAGCCCGAAGTAAAGGCTTGAGATGTCACCTGCTCTGCGTCTGCACGTCAGTGCGCGGCTGTCGGCATCGCTTGTGTCCTCCGGAGAGTCAGCATCTGCCAGCTGCTGAAATATCATGCGTCCTTCCACCTCATACCTGCTCACTGGGCCTCTTCCCTTGTCTGAGGTCCCACAGACAGGTCGGACTTGGCAGAAGAGCAGCAGGCAAAGGGTCGACACTTTGCATTTTCATAGCTTGCCATACCATGCCACTCGCTGAAGCCGGAGGCACGAAGAGAGCATGGCCGGAAGAGCTGCTGCAACGGTGCTGGCTGTGTCTGCCCTTGCCAGAACCAGGCCTTGTTTCGATGATTTCGATGGATGCGATGTCACATCTCCCAAGTTGGCATAGTGGAGAGGCCGACTTCCAAACACCTGGGTCTGAGATGTCCAAGAGGCTCCGTGCCAGGTGCGGCCTCAATGCTCTGGAGTCCCGGACATTTTTCAATTCCTACCCTGGCAGAGTGCTCTCAGGCACAGTGCAGCTGCGCGCTGCTTCAACCGAGGACTGGGCAGTTGCGCAGCCTTTTGCCCGACCCTTGACAGAGCGATCTTGCCCTTCAGGCTCCAGCGACGTCGCAGTCCAAGATCCGCGTTCGATTTGCGCCGAGCCCCACTGGAGTGTGCGCACTCACCAATCTTGTAGCTGACGTGGGCTGTGCTTCTTTGAAAGTTGTGCCGCGTGTCATGATGAAGCTGCAATGAAGCTGCGTGGGTTTCAGGTGGCTCAAGGCCTGCATGAAGAGTGTGCTGTTTACATGACAAAACCAGCACAGCGTGCTGCTGTCGTTGTGAATGACTGCGCCATCCTATTCCGACAGATGAACTCACAAAAGCAACTTCCACTGCAGGTCTGCACAAACTCCCCAGAAAAAAGAGCTTGACCTTGCATCTTGACGCTATGCTGCCCAGCGAAGCCTGTTCTGACGTTTGTCTTCCAGGCGGAAGGGTTCAGGAGCTCTGTTCAAGACATCGTCAGTTGCTGTGGTTTGCATTTTTGACAGACAGCATCATGGGCCACTTGGTCGCCTCAGTCCCTGCAGGCTCTGTAGCTCGAAAAAGCTTGGTGCTGGGCTCTCAAGAGCACTCTCAGCTGTTAAGTTGAGAGAGAGAGAGAGAGAGAGAGAGGGAGAGAAAAAAACAACAACAAACGATCCTTTGCACAAAACATGAGCTGCAAACAGGTCATAGATGTGCCAGCATGGGACCTTTTGCTCCCAGGTCTTGTCTGCGTCTTGTGGCACTTAACTGAGTCTGATGCTTGCAGCGGCTCAAACCTTGTGAGCCCAGAAGGCATCAATTGCGTGTCTGTTCTTCGGACACTTTTCCATTTCCGAGATCGAAAGTAGAGAGTGATCCAGTCGCAGCAATGGCATCCAGACTTGTGTGCATGTTGCCACTCGTGGCGTGCACGCTCGGGTCTGAAATCAGATCTCATCAACTTCTCCGAGAGAAGTTTGAGGTCTTTCGCCAGAAGTACGGCCGTTCTTATGAGGAAGGCACAGAGGAGTACGAACATCGGTATGCATTGTTCCGCAAAGCAGATGTGCTGGCCGAGCGTTTCAACAGTCGCCCAGGGCGTTTGTGGACCGCCGGAACAGGCCCCCTAGCCGATCGTAGTGAGGAGGAGCTGCAGGCCCTGAGGGGCTGGTTCGGCAGTGCCCGTGGCCAAGGCCGCGCCCGCCACGGCAACCTTCGGGCGGCCTCACTGGCACAGCTTGGCTCTGCAGACACACCGCAGGAGTTTCTGAACTGGACATCTTTGACGACCTTGGCAAATGTTCGGGACCAGGGAGGCTGTGGCTCCTGTTGGGCCGTGACTGCCTCCACGGTCTTGGACAGTCACGCCGAGATCTACAAGTCAAAGCAGAGGAGTTTCTCAGCTCAGGAGCTCGTGTCCTGCGTTCCCAACCCCAAGAAGTGCGGCGGCTCAGGTGCCTGCAGCGGCGCAACAGTCGAGCTCGCCTTCCAGTACGTCATGGATCATCCTGTGCAAACTGACTTGACTGTTCCTTACCAGGCTGTCGATGGCCACTGCCAGAGTGAGGAAAGTGCCCAAAGTGCCCGAAGTGCCCATGGCACTGCCTTGATCCAAGACTCCGATGACTCCACAGATGACTCGGCAGACTCCAAAGAGGACACCGAAGGTGACACCGACCTGGATGTCGCCGCAGTCGGCTTTCATGCTGCAAGCTCGGAGGCTCCGGGAATGAAGTTCATGACTGGCTGGGAGCGACTGCCGGAGAATGGGTACTCACCGCTTCTGCGCGCGGTCTACGAGCGGGGTCCTGTCGCAGTCTCTGTGGATGCCACTTCCTGGAGCTCCTACATGTACGGGATCTTCGACTCCTGTGAGAAAGATGCCGTCATCAACCATGCGGTTACGCTGGTGGGCTACGGCGTGGAGAAGGGCACGATGTACTGGACAATTCAGAACTCCTGGGGTCCCAATTGGGGCGAGGATGGCAAGATCCGGCTTGTGAGACGTGATGACGACGAGAGCTACTGTGGCATCGATCACCAGCCTGAGGAGGGGACTGGATGCGAAGGTGGGCCCAAACAGGTCAAGGTCTGCGGCATGTGTGGCATCCTCTACGACAATGCGGTGCCACATTTCCGAAATCCTGAACCAGAGTCCTAGTAAGACCTAGAGTCTGGAACTCCTCACTCGTAATCCTTTCTTTTGTATGCTGTATGACGCAGTCGGCCATGAGCCGTGAAGGACTGACTTGATGCACATTTGAACAAAACAAGCTTCAATCTGCACTCTGAGCGAGTTGCCATTTGGACTGTAGCATCGGCACTGGTGTGACGGGTAGTGTTTCTGAGGTGGGAAGAGACGTCCAAAGAGGCAGGCTCGTGTCCGTAGCGAGGAAGTTGTTCTGGGGGGTGAAAATGTGCACGGCAGGCCTATTCCCAAAGTCAAGCTGGCCATGCCGAATTCAGACTTGGATGATGATGAGGGTCTCGGCTGGGTGGGTGAGGCCGAAAGCGGCTCCCAACCGTCCCACGCAACTGCGTCAACCGCGGCAACCTTTATCCGTGCAGAGGTGGTGATACCCGAAGGCCTCGAGCCCGGTGACGCGTTTGAGGTTGTTCTGGAGGGCATTCCCTTCGAAGTCACGGTGCCGAAAGACAAAAGGGCAAACGATGTCCTCGAGCTTGAGGTGCCCGCAGAGGAGTTCGAGAGCCGCGGAACTTCGGACACACCGGAACCTCACCTTCAACCAGAAGACCAGAGGCGACATGTCTCCTTTACGGATGCCGAGCCTGCCGTCGTCTTGTTCAGGCCAGAAGTGGGTGGTCTGCATGGACCGGGGCAGCTAACTTCGGACGAGCTGCGGCGGTGTGAAAAGTGTGAAAAGGTTGAGCTGGTTGTCCCAGCAGGATGCCGTCCAGGTGACGTGCTGAACGTGAACGCGGGCAGTTCAGAGATGGAAATCACAGTGCCCGAAAACTGCAGACCCGGCGACATTCTGGAGGTGAGAGAGCAGAAGTTCAGACATGCTTTTTTTTTTGCTGTGGGTTTGTAAGGAGTTCATACTGCGATGTTTTGACATGCTTTTTGCTGGTTGTTAGTTTCGAATTCAAGTATTCTCCCCGTGCCTCATCACCCAGTCTGTGCCGGCCCGCCGAGCACCCGCAGAAGCCCGCAGAGCCTGCTGGAGTCCTGGAGTGGCCCGTAGAGAACGCCACAGCTCCCGCCCCTCAGAATCCCGCTCCCTGGAGTGCCCACCCCTATAGATAAGCCCACAGGGAGTGCACCGCCGAGTATCCTTGGAGTGCCCAGACGCCAGCGGCGAGCGGCGGGGTGTCTGGCAGGATGGCTCCCACATCGGGTAGCAAGGGGTGGGGATGATCGAAAGGAAATAGCCTGAAATAGTTGTTGCCTTGCCCTTTTTTAGCCTTGACACGCATGTTCCGTCGATGCATGTTCATGTGGAGGTGAATCTGCCAAGCCCAGCGGGGAGCCCGGAGGAGAGCCCAGAAGAGAGCCCGGAGGAGAGCCCGGAAGAGAGCCCGGAGGAGAGCGAGATGGAGGTGCAAAGGACCGAAGTGCCCGAGGTCCTTGCGTTGGAGGACGGCGAGGTAGAGCCGTCCAAGGCTGAGGTGATAGAGGGCCAAGAGGAGGCACAGCAAACACGGGAAGCAGTGGAAACACAGGAACAGGCGGCGGATGAGCCGAGGAAGCCAGGCCCAAAACAGCCTGGGGCAGAAGACTCAGCAGACAAAATCAAAGCTGAGGAGCCAGCACGCGATTCCTGCGACGCGTTGCAGGCAGGGAGGGAGCCCAGCCAGGAAGCCCTGGATCCCACTCCGCTGGATCCGCTGGATGTGGGAGCCCTCGCAACCGAGTCTTCCGAGTCAAAGCTTGAAAAGCTTGAAGCAGAGGAATCTGTCCAAGAACCTTCAGCTGATCAGCCGGCCGAGGTCGTTGAGACTGATCTCCAGTCGAACCCCCCTCCTGGTGACGAGGCCACGCCACCAGGCCTCGAGATCCTCGAGCTTGAGCCAGAGTCAGATCCCGTGCCCTCGGGGTCTTTAGAGAAGGTGGAACACGCGGAACTTGTGGAACATGTGGAACATGTGGAACATGTGGAACATGTGGAACTCGTGGAGCACGTGGACCTTGCGGAGCCCGACCCAGCAGAAGCCGAAGCGTCTGCCCGGTCTGCAAGGCTGACCGAGCTTGAGGTTCGCAATGCGGAGCTGCAGGAAATGGTGTACAAGCTGGAGCGCGAAAAGAAATTCCTCTCCAGTTCTCTGACGGCATCGTTGACTACGTCATATGCCAAGAGCCAGGTTTACTTGGGCAAGCACACCAGGAACACCAACGGCTGCCAGAAGGCAAAGGAGGAGGCCAAGAAGCGGCGTCGCGCCAGTGAGCAGAAGCAGGCCCCCGGAATAATGTCCCGGAGAATGCTTCAGCAATTGTAAGTTTCGGTGGAAGAAACCGAGGCCTTCGTCCAGACGGAGTCCCTGCCTCGGAATTGACAGCGGTGAACCATCAGGGAACTGTGCGGGTCCGCACAGCATCTGACTAAGGCCAGCCGATCCTACTTGTCCTGCTGGGGAAAGTTTTCAGGCACCGTGTAGTAGGCTTCCTTTCCCAGCACTTGCTCATTGTCATGTTTCTGCAGGCGATGGGAAGCGTTAGCCGCACGCTTAGAGCTGTTGTTGCGGGTTCATCTGCCAGAAGCATGCAGCGATGCAGTGGTTACCCGTAGAGTAGTCCTGCCTGGGTTTACGTAAAGGGTCAGGATGGGTTGGAGAGGCTCTCACCTGTTCGCTGCAATGCCCTTGCCAAGCTTGCACGTAGCTGCTCCGAGCTTGACTTGAAGCTCAGATTTCACACAGCTCCCGCCGGCGTTGCCGGAGATGCCGCGCTAACCTGAGCGAAGATCCAGAGCCCTGGGGAACCAACTAAGGAGAGGTCGAGAGTACCTCACTTGCACTGCTGAGGCTAATTCTACCCAATGCACGAACGCCTTGCCTGGAGGCGAGTGATTTTCGCCGAAAGCGTGCAAAATAGAATGGTGTGATCTTGTATGTATATGACATTATACGGAGACACATACATATATACATATTTATATAGTATTTATGCACGTACATGTGTGTTCATACATAAGCAAGTTGTGCGGGGCAACATTTGGACGTAGCAGGAGTGGGAACATGATGACGCCAGCATGGCAACGCTGAAGATGGCAGTCTTGACCCTGAAGCAGCAAAAGGAGCCACCCTTCGTGTGTTTAGCTGCAAGAGCATATGCAGGTTTACGAAAATAAGACCTAATACAGACCCGCAAAATAGTAGGATCCCCTTAGAGTAAGGACCCAATAAAAGGTACGCCTGTTTTCGCGTTTTCGGAAACCCCCTTAAATGGAAGCGATCAGCAGCCCGTCATCAGGAGGACTTGCGCCAGAAGCTTGCGGCAACGCAGAAGGAGAAGATCAGGCGATCCGTGTGGGCCCTGAGTACTGGAGTGTCTCGGGTGGGGGGGCTCCTTTGCAGGCTGGAGCTCCAGGAGCGAAACTCCGTGCAGCTTGAAGCCTACGCTCAAGTCGCCGTCTTATCGAGGTTGTGAGAGAATGGCCACTGCTGATGTGAGCAGCCTCTCCAAAACTCTGCAACTTGAGTGTAAGGCTTTGCTGTCTCTGAAGAAAGAGAATGCTGAGCTTCGGGAGATTGCGTTGCAGGTTCGCCCACAACGGGAATCACCTCGCATTCAGAGCCTCCTATCATCTGCCTTGAGACAGGCGCTTCGGGGCAAAGAGGCGAGCGAAAAAGTCAAGGCAGGGGCACCGGGGCGCCGAATGTCGCCGGAAGAGATGGCCGAGCTGACGCGGCTGACGCAGCGCGGATGTTGTTTTTTTTCTCCAGTTATTCCTTTCTAGAAGGTGGAGGAGCCGAGGGTCATCAAAGCCTTCAACAAGATGTCGCAGAAGTGCCTGGCCTCCGTTGCAAGCAGGAAGGGCGTCAGCCTTTGGCTCATGAACTTGTTGGTGTGAGAAGCGGTTGCCGCTGGCCTGACATGAATTTGCAGCCCTTGCGTCGCTGCTGTCGTCGTGTGTCACCTGATAGGCACACATCTGTGGAAGCTGCCCGGCACCCGGACAGTGATCTAGGAAGACTCCACTGACTCCGCGCCATGAGACACCCGTTTTTCAGCTAGTGCAAGGCCAGCAAGTGGCTGAATGCCCCGCCACCTTCCACCAAGCCCAGGCGGCACAAGGTGAGGGGCGCTCTCTATTCTCATGATTCCTCATGCCCAAAGGCAATAACTCTCGGACTCTCGGATCCATCAAGAATGCTGCAATGATCTGCCATGCAGGTCTAAGCAGTAAGCGCTGTGCCAGGTCCTGCCCGTGGATCTCGAGGAGGTTGCTGCCAGGCAAGATTCTGGGGCCGCAGGTTGGAAGCTTGAGCCGCTTGAGCTTTCAGCGTCAGGCAAGCCACGCTGCCTGTCGGTCATGCTGGAGGTCCGCAACTAAGCAACTAAGCAACTAAGAGGTCCCCTGAGGTTCTTGAGACAGTTAAGCAATTGGGACGTGCAGGCCTGCAGGGCGTCCGAGGTCGGAGCCAGAGACCGAATCTTAGTTTTGTCATGCCTAGTTTGCTCTTGCTAATGCTCTTGCTAAATCGGTGTCAATCCACGAAGATCTACATCTGTTTCGGGCGAGGTGACGGTTGTATCAGGGTTTCCGCGAAGCCACTGGCCTCTCCGGCTTGTCTTGCTTTGCAAGGTGTGCGAACTCTTCGAGAAGAGACGGTGGCATCAGAGCCCTGCCTGTTGAGCCGTGCCAGTTCGCAGGTGTCAGTAGATGAGCAGCGAGGGCCAGCGCTGGGCCCGATACTTTCCAGAGCACAATCTGCCGGGCCCTGAGGTGAAAGAGAGCATGTCAAGGATCCTTTTCAAGAGAGAAGAAGCGAGAGAACCCGGAGTGCCAGAGGCACCGAAAGGCGAAGCTGGTATTGAGGCCCTGGTGTGTGCAGTGGCCATGTTAGGAGGGTGATTGTGCCTGAACATGTATTTGTTCATATTGATTTTTAGAGACATGTTTAGACTGTATACATGCAGCTCTCCTGGAAGCCAGAGAGGTCCTGGCATCTCCAGGCGGGGCATCCGCGGTCCGAGGCTGAAGTGTCTCTTCATCGCAGCGGCCATCGGTGATCTCTATCCTCACATCTTCTCGCTGAGGTGCACATGCCTGTGGAGCAGTCTCCTGCATCTGCCCAGTCTGCACAAAGCCGAGTGATGCAGACGCAGCCGACCGCCGAATCGGCCACATCTACAATGGCTTGGTCATCGTGGCGCCAGCGGGACAGGACCTGGTTGGCCCAGGGAAGGCAGGAGGAAGTTCCTGGAACGGCTGCGAATGTGACCATGGAGGGCCGACTGGCAACAGCAGCGATCTATGCCGGAGCTGCAATGAACGCCAACGCAGTGGGCTGGGGAGCAACAGCTCGAGCTGCAGAAGCCGCAGCCCGGCAAAAGTATGTCACGCAATCGAAGAACTCAAAGGACTCGCCTTCCCCGGATCCTGTGAGCTCAGCGAGTCCTGGATGGCAATGGTCATATTGGTCATGGAATGTACCTCTTTACTTTCAGCCAATGCTCGCCATGTTCCACTTTCTCGCCTGCTTAGGCTCGATGCAGCCCTTATCGCTCCCCTGGTCGATGGCATTGCGCTCTGATCTCAGCGGTTCTGTATGATGTTGTGCTGCACACGCCCTCGTGCGCCCTCGTGCGCCCTCGTGCTACGTGTCAAAGAAGCATTTTTCAATCCCAGGCCCGCCCAGGTGAATGAGCGAGCTGCCAGCGGGGCCCTCGTCCTGGAACCTGGCCAGGCTCCGATGTTCCGCAACCCATGGCGAAGCCCACACTCACTTGCACCAGTTCTGACAGGCACCACAGCTCCAGTGTGTGGACGAGTTTACCTGTGCCTTGACTGCATGATTAGGGAGATACCCTCATCGCCCTCCAGAACCCTCGAACATCCTCTCGGACCCTGGGCACTTTATGAGCGATTTCCTGCAATGACTCAAGTCTCCAAGGTACTTCTCCAAGCCACGCAGACTCCATGCTGGCGGCAGATGACAACCAGCTCCGCAGCTTCTTCACAGGCGCGGTAGATGCGCCTGTTTGGAGATGGTGGCATTCCCTCACTTAAGCACGGTCATGGGACTCGAGTGTGAAGCCTGGGGCCTGCAAAAGAGTGGTGCAGGGTGGCTTCGTCACTTAGTTGACTTCAACTCCTTTTCGTGGTTGCTTTCTCTCGTTTTTCTCAGGCAGCTCATACCTGGATGGGCTTGACCTTGCAGCTTGCTGCCGAGACCTCGGCAAGACCATCGCTGCCTGGTGCACGTTCGTTTCTCTGTTGCAGTCTGTTGGCTACTATCCAGACTCCAGCGGGGTGTCTGTTTGTCTCGCAGTTCTGCGAAGCAGCTGCAGAGGCCCTCAGTTCAGCTTGGCTGATGGCAGCGGTGGCCCCTGCGGGGATGGCTTCCCCATCTTCCGCACTGAGCCCAGCCTTTGATCCTTCTTGTTCGCAGAGTTCACGCAGAGTTCATCTACGGAGCAAGGCCACACTTTCACCGGGGCCTTACTGCTTGGGCATGCAGTCTTCCTTTCCCAGCCCGGAGCTTCACAGGACTGGGCCAAGCGTCGCAGCATGTCGCAGCTCATGGCACATTGTAAGTAGTGGGCTGTGTAAATCTCATCGGCAAGTTGGGGCTCCCGGCTTCTTCGGGCCACGAAGTAGTGTGCACAGGCGTGTGATGCACCGATGGGGAGACGTGTGTGAACTCCAGGATCTCCGACTAGTATACCGTCGTGGGCCGCTCCCCGCTGTTCGCCGGTTCGGTGAAGGCTGGCGCATGACCTGCCCCCCTTCTCCGGGCCATGTCTTGCGGGTGCGATTGGGATTGGGCGGTGGGGGCGGGGGGTGGAGAAGAAATCAGTGATAAGGACATGTGGTGTTTACGTGCGCTGTGGAAGGAGGAACAAAGGAAGCAGCAAGTACGCGTTTCTGGCAGGTCTCTTCGGCCGCGCAGAGCTTTTGCATGAGTTGATTGCTGGCTCCAAAGATGACGGCATGAGTCCAAGGGACGCAGGCCGGGACGTGTGGGGATTCATGAAAGCGTTCGAACATGTTCGAACATGTTCGAAACGTTGGTTCAGGTTCTCACGGTGGCTTCCTCGCGCTCTGCCATGGCCCACGCAGCATCTCTGGCGAGACGGGTGGGAGTGAGTCTCGGCCCTGGATTCACCTCCGGATACCTCAGGATACCTCAGTTCTGCAACGTTGTGCACTGGAGCTCGAAGCCGGCACGAGGTTTGACAGCCACTGTTACGTACCCATTGTTGTCGACGCGCGAAGCTGCAGCCCCTGCAGCGGGCTCGGTTCAGAAGCTGGGCCCTGACTCTGAGATTGCGTGCTAACGCGAGGCAGCTCGGCCAGCAGAATTGCCTTCGATAGTGTCACTTTGCTGAAGCTGATAAGTTGTAGCTGGTTTCTCGTCCAGACAACGCGTGAAGTTTCTTTCATGCCTGGCTGAGGAAGCGGTTGACGTTTCGAGTCACACTTTGGTCTCTCTGCCTGACGTAGAGCTGGGGGTAGGCCGGTGCAACGTGTGATGCGGTGTGATGCATGATGATGCATTTCGAACTTGAGCACGTGTGAATGACGTGAAGGCTTTGCTTTCGAAGCCATCGAATGGCGTTTGCGGCGAGAGCTTCACAACACTGATGGGGAAGGGCCAGCAGCAAGTTCCTTAGTCATTCCGTTCAACGTGCTTGTTCGCTTTTGACATTTCTTCGATCCCATGGAGCTGCACCTGAGTTTGGGCGAGTCAATGAAGAATGATGAGGTGCGAAGTCTTGCGCACTTCCTGTCATCCATGGGGCAGACGGAGGTCGCCATCGAGTCGTGTTGTGATCTTTTGTGATCTTTTGTGCAAGATCCGCGCAGATACTCGGCTTGTGTCAGGAAGCTGCAGAGCTATGGCAGCGAGCGCTCCAGAGCGACGAGGCGTTCTTACTTAAAGGTGTTTCTCCCTTTAAAAGTTGTGGCATTCAGGCAGCATCGGGCGAGGCTGGCGACACCCTGCAGGCCTGGCCCAGTCAACTTCAGTCAGCAGAGAGCTTCTTTTCCCACGTTGGGAAAGCATGCCAGCAGCCTGCCTTCCAATTTCACGAACCATCCTAAACTCTTCCTTTGCTGCCGGCAGCTGCTCAATTTTTCTTGCACTCGTTCCCCGAAAGGCAGTCCTATCCATCCCTCTGAAGCTTCAATCCAAGTGGCAGTGACAGCGGAAGATTATCGGAAACCCTTGATTTTCGATCAGGTGCCTTTGGTTGCGCAATGATAATAATGTCAGCCCAGCTGTGTTTCTTTTCTTTTTTTTTACAAAGGCATCCGCAGTTTGAGGTGGCGTCGATTTCTGAACGCAGGAGGCTTTTCAATAATCTGCTACGGCCTCAACTTCAGAAATCCAGTACTGTCAGAAATTTGCCTGCCACACGACACCTTCTAACCATTATGCTGCAGACGGTTGGAGGCTGGAAGGCCCGAAACAAGACATTCAGCTTCTAAACTGCAAGCGCTGTCGTCTGTCTGGGGTGGTGCAGGGCTTTCGCGGTTGTGTTGTCCGGCCGTTCGTCCGAGATTGCAAGCAAGCAGTGTGCGGGGGAAAGCGAGAGGTGAGAGGGGTGAGGGAGGTGAGGAAGGCATAGACACCCAAGCAAACGCTTGGCCTGCAGTTTGAGGACAACGAGTGCCGCATTGGGGACTTCATCACCATCTACAAACAAGAGTATCCCAATAAGTTGAAGAAGGCAGCCGAAGACTTGAAGAAGATTGAATTCAACTATGAAGAGGCAAAGAAACTTCGGCTGATAGGACGGGATGGGAATTCCAAAGATGCAGAATACAATTGCATCACCAAGAAGGACGTCATGGAGGTCAAGAAGCCTGCAGACATGGCGACAGTGCGTGTCATACCCATTGGCGAACCGGCTTGGCTTCGTGATGGCACAAAGAAATGCATCAAGGTGTCCGTCAGGGGAGTCCTGCATTGGTTCAGCTTGAGGATGCGAGCATGCCGAATTCTCAGGCACCGAGACTTGGGCAGCCTGCCAAACGGTGGAGAAGATTGCCATTCGGAGTCACAAGACCTCAGCGAGTCCGAGGTGGAGAAATTGCGGGAAGCTCCTTTGGCTTGGAGCCTATCCAGCATCTGCCTGAAGGAAGGTGCGTGACCAAGGTCGTGTTTCACTGAAAACAGCAGCAGTGTGCCATCGTGCCAAAGAGACTGTGAGCATCGGCGTGCGCTTCTACAATCAACCTTATCCCTAAACTTTATTCCCTATGATTGTAAAATTATTTAAGAAGACCATTTCCATTTTCAAGGGTTAGGGAATATGGGTTGGGGTATATGGGTTTTTTCTATGGGTGTGCGGGTGTATGGAGTTGAGGTTGGGGTTTTTCTATGTGGTGGTGTATGGTTTCTTCTGGTGGTTCCATGGTATGGGTCTTGGTGTAGGTATTTTGGTGAGGTTAGGGTTGAGGTATAGGTTGTTATGGTTTTGGGTCTTCAGGTGGCCTAGGGGGGTGTGCATGGTTAGAAAATGGAAATGGCATTCACTGACTATTATCTGAAGAAACAAAGCTGGGATAGTTGACTAGCCTCTTTCGTATGGTATGAATATTATGAATCAACATTCTGCCTAGTACAGGCAGGATGTATGCTTCAAACCCGTATAGTAGTCAGTGCACTTAGAAACAGTGCAGAAGCCTGTTATTGTCTTGTTAGGGCGGGAGCTCTGCGATTATTCTTTTCAAAGTGCTCGGTTTTCAGCACGCGCGCCTTGCAGGTGGCGCAGTCCGCACGGGCACTGGCCTCTTGCCTCGATGTGTGCCTCTCAGTGACCCAGTGCCGCGGTGCACGCTTTCGTGTCTCAGTTTCTTTTTTTGGTTTCCCTGTGTTTTCAGCGGAGGACCTGGGCCGTGCTGGGGAGGCAGAGCTCGTCTACGGCAAGGCATTGGCCTTCTTTGCCTTTCGGCGCTATTTCGAGTCGGAGGGGTTTTCAATATATTCAGTTTGAGGATCCTAGAGACCTCTCTACCCCTGAGATCGCCGGAGTAAGGAGAAGTCGCTGGGCCGCTCCAGCGGCGATGTGGCCAATGTGCAGCTGGCCTTGGCGACCTGCCGCTACGTGCAAGGCGAACGTGGCACCCAAGGTTTTCCAGGCTTTGCCATGGTTTCCCATAGTTTCTCGGGGGTTCCCGTGTTTTCCGAGGCCGTTACTGTCAGGTAAGGGTTTCATGGGATATGGGCTTGGGCGATGAGCGCGCGTGCTGGAGTGGCATTGTTGTGCATTGCTGCAGGGTTGGCAAAGAAGCATGGCATTCCCCCGTCATCTGGCGATGCGCTTCTTCGCCTGGAGGCATGACGTAGTTTTTTTGAGGTACTTTAGGAGGTTTTGTACGGTTTTTGGGTTTGTGGAGGTCTGAGATGAGCCAGTTCTGAGCCGAAACCCCAAGCCCAACAATGGCCAGCTCGGGACAGGGAGCTTCCGCCCAAGCGCTTGCGGCAATCTTCGGCAAGGCAGTAGGCGTTGGCCTTAGCTGCATGGGATGTGTGGATGGCTGAATATCGATGCTTACAAGAGGTGCTGAGAAGGAGGAGGATTGGAACACCAGTGAGCTCTTTTACAGACAGGCCCGGTCAAAACGGTTCAATAGCGCAGCTTCTTTTAGCAGCTTGGGCAAGTGACTCAGTGGTAGGTCTTGAGTATCATGCCCGACCGAAGGCTCTGGGCATCTTGCGGAGAACCTTGGGGCACGGCGCTCGGTAAAATCGAATCCCCTAATCCCACAATGTGACGCAATGCTAAGCAATGGCAGTCAATAGCTATCTGATTTAGCCGGTACCGCAGGCTGCATCATCCGGACACGCTGCACTGCCTGAACAACCTCGCTCTGTGCCTCGGGGACCTCCTGATAGTGAAAGTACTCGGCAGACTCGGCAGACTCGGCAGATCAAAGACCTTCATGCTAAGAGTCATGCCCTGCAGGACCAGGGCAAGCTGAATCAAGCAGAGCAGCTGCTGCGCCGGTGGCCCGGTCCAACTGCACCAGTCCACCTGCACGGAGCTTCAGCGAATGGGTGCAATCATGGTGCATCAACCCGTTCTCTCTTAGCAAGCGTGCGAGGCCGGACCCTGGCTGGAATGGAGGTGGTTCTCTCACCGAAGTCAGTTCCTCGAAGTCAGCAGCGCATGTGCGATGTGACGAAAAACTCCGTGCTGCTCGGACGTCGTAGATGTTCTCCCGAGGCACCCTCGACCCATCCAGGTTCTGAGCAACTTGGCCTGTTGCTGGTCCCCAAGCGTACGGCTGTCACGGAGCAACAACGCCCCTGTTGGTTCAAAGACGTCGATGGAATACCGCCATTGAGGTCTTGCAGAGCAGGGCAAGTTGGAGGAGGCCATTCCGACAAGATATCGACATCACGGGAATCGGCATTCAATGGGAATGATCCGGCATGTTGTCTGCGTCGTGCCGAGTCGTGCCTGGTTGCCTTGTATGCAGGCAGAGCGGCATCACCGGAATGCTTTCGACGCTTGCAAGCGCAAGCTGGGCCTGAGCCCAAGAGAGACCTGTGCTGCTAGCGTTGCATCGGTTGTTGCGTTCTGTTGTAGGAGTGAGAGGGCTCCACGATGGCGAGGTTGGAAGCATCCAGAGACTGCCACTGCAGCGCAGAGACGTGGCCTGAGACGTCTACTGAGATTCGTCATGTCTCACTCAGACGACTTGTGCTGCAAGGCCTTGCGCAGTTCCTCATACTTCACGGCCGCTCAACAGAGGCTTCGGCTGTGTGGATGTTGCTGCGGGGGCAGAGCCTTCTGACAACGTAGGCAACAACGCGAATTTTATCGACACGCGAAGACTGTAAGACTCTCCTAGCGAAAGGTTGATCCGTTCGAAGCGGCACCGAACCATTTGAACCCTTTTTCCATCCTTTTCCTGACACGATGATACGACGTACCTTGTGCGGTGTTGGCTTTCTCCGAGTCTACGTGCGCTAGGCAGCCCTCATCGAGCTCCAGGCACAGCAGTTCGGAACAAGGTGCGGGCTTCAGCATCTTGCACAAGAGCATTTGTTCTTGAGAGCCGTTGCACATACGATGTGGCCCTTCCATTGATCTGCCTTCGAGGTTGCTGACTCCAAAAAGGTGAGTGGGTCGTCCAACCTTGACTGCTCATGTGATTGGATCGTTTTCGTCAAGTCAGGAATAAATGTTTTCCTATGTATTTCCATTGGACTTCGTCCAAGAATCCCCTGCAAGCCAATGTTTTCAAAGAGACGCAGGCAGCGATGGGTTCGCAACATGCGGACCCTTTTGTGCATAAGCGGAGTTTGGCGCTCTCGACGAGCCAGCCTCTTCTCAACTCTGCAGCGTAAACGCCCCTGGTCCACGATCAAGTCGTGAGACCCATACTGCGACGCAAAGCAGCTACTAAGTAGAAATGTTGGGCCTTGTTCCATGCATTTGACAGCCACCCATGCAGATCACAGATCGCTTCACAGGGAGTTGCTAACATGCCGCCGCAGGTTGCATGTCGGAGGAGCCCGCACAGCGCTCTTTAACTGGCTCTTTGCCAAGTCACAGGGCGGAGAACTGATCCTGCGAGTCGAGGCCGAGTCCGAATCCGAATCCGATGCTTGTAAGCTGCTTGTACTGATTTGTACTGTGCTCACTTCATCTGGCAGGACACGGACATCGCGAGATCGACTAAGGAGTCCGAAGATAAGATTCTGGAGGACCGCGTGGGCTCTCCCATCAAGACGAGACGAAGCGTGCTTGCGCGGTCATGGTGATTCACTCTGTCGCAGGGCCTGAAGTGGTGCGGCATCAGCTGGGATGAGGGCCCTGACGTGGGTGGTGAACATGGGCCCTATCGACAGTCTGAGCGAATCAAGGCAACAGCACACTTATGCACACGTCACGGCTGAAGTGAAGTCTCACAGTGGCTCGGTTTGTTGGCGATGAGTAAAGGAGTGTAGCAGTGTCCAGTCCGCAACTGTTCAGAGGCTGGAATTTACGAAAAGAAGCTGGAAGCCCTCATGGCGGAAGGCCACGCGTACCGATGCTTCCTCTCGCCAGAGGCCTTTACGCCTACGGAGTTCAGCAGAGAGCAGTTCTCTGCACGGTGCCTCTTGCAAGGAGCTGGATGAGATGCGAGCTGAAGCTGAGAGAAACGAGCAGGTGTGAGCCCTGTCTCAGCAACTTTCTTGTGACTTGCAATGTTGGCAGGCTTTCGTCGTGCAGAGTCCCTGGGCGAATGCATCGGAGGAGGAGGTGCAGGCAGCGGCGGCATTTCGAGCTCAGCCGTGTGGCCTTACATTGCTGTAAATGGATAGTCGTGGCTCATTCTGGCTGGGAGGCCATGATCGACCAGGGCAAGCCATACGTTTACAGATTCAGGGTGCCTTTTGACAGGCTTCGGAGACTTCAGCTTCCCTTGCAAACCTGCATGTGTCATGTCACTGCACTGCGGCAGGGAGATTGTGGTGGATGATCTGGTTCTTGGGGAGGACGGCAACTTAGTTTCGGGGTGGCAGGCAACACGACATAGCGCAGCGGTGTAACAAGCTGAGAGAAGACCACGCTGAGAGAGAGAGAGAGAGATTTGGTCAGGTGATCTGGAACTCTGACGATCTCGGCGGCGACTTCGTCATTGTCCGTCAGAATGGTCAGCATCCAAGAACTGAGACAGGGCGCTGCTTTTTGCACGGAGTTGAGGGATGCTCCAAGCCGGCCCACTAACTGAGGCATGCCCATGTATAATTTTGGCGTCGTAGTGGATGATGCTTCCATGGGCATCACCCACGTTCTGAGAGCCCAGGACTCATGCACTCACCCATCACACTCTGCGCTCAACTTGGGTTCTTCTTTGTTCATGACATGTCTTGAAAGTGGGATTTACAAGGGTGCACAACGGGTACACGCGGAGTGTGCCGCAGAGGCACGTGTAGGCAAGCGCAGGCGCAGTGGTATCAGCGATTGGTTATTGTGAGCGTTTTGGTTGCAGTAGCTTCTCTAGCTGCGTGCGCAGCATGGAAATTGTTCGGCTACCAGGAAACTCAGGTAGCAGCGCTTAGGTGATTGTTTCTGTAAGGATGTGGAGCATAACAGTGTGCTTGCCGACAGGAGCATCTGATGAACACGCCTCGTCAGATTTTGATGTACGAAGCTCTGGGCCTGAAAGTGCCTCGTCTTGCTTGGGTTGTCCCCCTGATCATTACCCTTTACAAGAGGATCGGCTTCCTTACAAAGGGGCACTCCAGGAAAGGGGCTCCATTCTAGAACGACTCCTCCCGCAGATGGTTCCTTCAAGCAAATTGACGGACCCCCTCGAGCCTTACAAAAGAGGGATTTGATCAAATTGAACGCCGTGGATGGGGTATCTATTATTATCGTATGTAGATTCCTAAGAGTATAGGGTTGTCCCAAAAAGGCCCGCAATTTAGATTACCCCCCGCCGCAAGAAAATTGGACCACAAACCGGAACAATCGGGAAAACGGTGGTGGTAACATGCATCCGCCGCATCGGGCCATGGGCAGTCCCGAGAGCCAAACCTCCGCTTGCAGGGTGTGCCTCCAACATACTACGGGAGAACTGAACTGGAGAGCGATGTGTTTAAGGCGAGCACGGTCGATAGGTGCAAGCAATTAGCATATGTTTATAATGTGAGTTTCTCAGCAAGCTCGTAAACTGGGGGTGACAAGGTGCCCACCTTTGGCCACATGCCATTGATCCTGGCGCCGGACCTGCGACAGCGGTTTAAGTTTGGGGAGTTTGTGCTCTAAACAAGCACAGGGAGTTGGGTTGAGAGGCAAAAGGTCTGTGGGAGTTCTGTTAGAGGACCGCACCAAGCTGTCGAAGCGACACGGGGCTGTATCGGTCGGCGAGCCTGGGCCTGACGGCCATCTTAGTGTCCGTCGTTTGGTGTTCCAAAAGAAAGTTTCTGGTCTTAGGTTGCTATGGTTGCTATGCCCCAGGTACCAGAAGCGCGGATACCTGCCATCTGGCATGGCCAAGGCCTCAGAGGAGGTGTTACGGCTCCGTCGCCTTCGCCTTCGTCTGGACAAAGTGCACTTGTCATAGTTAGATATTCTGATGAGGGCTGCACGGGAGAGGGCTTGGGAATGGCTAGTGTGGGAAAGGTGTGCCCATGCCCTGCTCACGATGAGCACTGCATGCGCTTAAGCAAACTGCATACTTGGCACCTTCCTGCAATTGCAGGCCTCATAAAGTTTACGGGCAAGCTCAGCAGAAGAGTAATGAGTTATGACAATTATCACATGTTCGGCACGTCTGGCATTTTTCGTGCTTGGGATATTCGAGCTGATGGAAAGGAGGAGCTGCCTCAGTGTGTTTGCCGAAGGTAAATTACCTGGCACAGCTGGGCTGGAACGATGGGACCAAGCAGGCTACCGATTTACCGAATCGAATCTCACTGATCTAAGTGCGGAGTCCACAGGAAGGTTTGCATCTTGTGCTCAGGAGATCTACACCATCCATGAACTGCTCGAGGCCTTCAAGATGGAGCGCATGAGCAAGGCCTGCATTTTTGCGTGCAGCAGGCTTGGATAAGTCTTGAGAGAATCATAAAGTGGCGCCTATGGAGCAGAATAGGTGGCTGCCATTTTTGACACAGACAAGTTCAAGTGGGTGAATGGGCATCACGTGCGGCGGCTTGACGATGACGAGGCCACTTACGCGGGATCACTGCCGTCCCCGATATCCTGCACCTTCAGAGATTCAAGAGATCGCCCCGCAGGCCTTGGAGCTCATTGGAGCTCGCTTGAAGGAGCACGGCCTTGTGAAAGAGGCCGATGTGGATTCGTAACTTCAAGAGGCAACTTAGGCAGCTGATGTTCTCGATGTAATGGTCTCGCGCCAGGTCTCCGGCGAGTTCGTGCGCAAGGCGTCGCAGCTGTGCTGAGCTTGGAGCTGCTTCTTCTGGCACCGCCTTGCTTACGGCATGCTGGTCTTCAAATCCCATGAGCCCTGTGCTCAGGCTTAGAGATCGAATAAGCACCCTCGAAGAAGCGGTGGAGGCATGGCCCAAGTCTCCCTTCGACCCCCCCTCTTCACACAGGCGCAGGTGCCCACAGGCAGTTGAGTCAGTCAGGAGCTGGTCTCGATGCTCGAGTTTGACCTTGAGGCGCAGAGAAGGGGAAGGCGAAGTGTAAGGATCACCGCAGAGCTGCGTTGTTGTGCCAGGGAATGATGGCGAAGGATGTGGCCAAGCCGTACATGGAGGTGTGCAGGTTTTATTGGTGTTTGTGTATTTGTGTTTTTTTTTTTTTTTTTTGGGGGGGGGGGGGGGGGGGGGGGGGGGGGGGGGGGGGGAGCGGGAAAGCTGCTGGAAGTGCTCCCTGGGTTCTCTTCAGGATGGTGCGCTCCACGAGACTGCGCGGCTGCTCTTGCACGCGAAGGCTGCAAATTGAAACGAGTCTCACGGTTTGGGGATTAGGGTTTAGGAATGTTTAGGGTTTAGGGTTTTCTGCACAAGCCGTAGCTTTGTTCTTGTGCGGGCGCGGATTTCTTTTGACCGCGATGCAGAGGAGCAGGGTGACTTCGATGGCATCGGGAAGGATCCCCAGGCCACAGATGTCCTGAGATTGTCCCTCTCCAAACCTGGACTCTGGCAGGTGATGAAGAAGATCGCCCAGGGCATCGGCAAGGCGCGAAACCCAAGTTCCAACGCGTCGGACCCACATCTCCGTAGGATAGTTGTGCCGAACGCTCAAGCACAGGTCTTGCACTGCTGCACTACTGCTGCACTGCTCGACGAATCGTGTTTATTGAAACGTGATGCGATTCCTACGAGTTTCAATTATGGTGTTTTTTGAGACTCAGTCAGGGCTTGGCAGCAGATCTGGTAATCTGGTTCAAGTAGACGGGCAAGCAGCCTGCACGCCCTTCCCACTCACACTGACAGCCCTTACGGCCTTACGTGTCCTCTGGAGTGGAGCTTGCTACATGCATCGGGAACTAAGTTTGTGGCACCAAGCTTTTGAAGGGCTGCGGTGCTTGGCAACATCTCTTCCAAAAGATTGCGCGGTCAACGTCCGCACTCAACCAGGGCAGCAAAGGAATGGTACCCAATCATGGACGCTCAGAAATCCGCTACACCCGGTCGTTGGCGTAAAAGAGCGAGGATTCGTTGTTCTTACAGTTCTTTCTTGCTGACAGGCACGTGGGGGTGTGAAAAAGAAGGCCCTGCTTGTCCCATTTCGCACGCGCCTCATAGGGCCTCACACTGGCAGTCTTCAAGCTTGCAACTTGTTCGCTGATTTTTTTTTCTGGACCCCAAGGGCTGTGCTTGACCTCCTCGGATCAAGGCTGGTTGCTTTAGGTTGCTTGTGCAGGTACAGGCAGGCCTCCGAGCCTCCGCGTGACATCTGTGCCCCTGAAGGCCCAGACATGAACATATTCTTCGAGATGTTGCAGGAAGTGGATGACAACGTGCTTTGCAAGTGTGCCTGAAGCTCGATCACTTGATATCACCTGCATGCCAATATCAACGCCAAGATGACATGCATGATTAGGTCTCCTTGGAGGAGCGACTGGAAATGCTGAAGGACAAGCCACGTCCTCAATCCGCCGCATTCTTTACCGCACAGTGGCCAAGGGCTTGAGCCGAGGTTTGAGCTGGACCAGCCCGTGCCGTGTAGGTGACCCAAGTTTCTTGCTTTCGACGTGAAAAGACAGCACTTGCGAGTGTTCTTCAGATCAGCGTCCTGAGGTTAAGTCCGCAACTCTGAGGGCGATGGGGGAGTCTTGATCCTCGGAGTCTCAGAGACGTCTCTGAGATTGCTGCTGGCGAACTTGTTGCCCTTGGCTGCCAGTCTGCAGCTGTGCATATGCGTGCGCAAAAAGTGCACAGTGCTCCAAAGTCTCACTTGCCTCACGGGCACCTATCCAGGCTGGACATGATCTCCAGTCGATTTTTCAGACTTTAGTGTTGAAAAGTGAAGAGCAAACCGGGGGATCTTTTTAACGTGACCGAGCCGCACGGCCGGGCTGCTCCCTATACGTCTCTCATGAACGGTTGCAGCGAGTCAGTGTGAAAAGCTTGGCAGCGGGCATGTGCCACAAGGTGGACCAAGCACGCTACAGTCAAGCCTCCGATTGCACGGAAAGCACCACCGCAGCACTTCTCGTTGCGTAGCTTTCGGCGCGAGCTGTTTGGGATTACTTCGTTGACTGACCTCATCGATACTCATGGCCACGCAGTTCGCCTTTGATATAGAGGCCAGAGCGCAGCAAACGCAGCAAACTGAAGGAGGGCAAATGTAACTGTTGTACTTCATTTTTCGTGAGCGGGGGTGGGTGCAGGGGCGGGGGTAGAGACGGACACAGGCAAAGGCCGATGATTTGCATTCATTTGCCTTTCCAAGTCGTGCTGCTTTTCGCAGGCTTTCCCTGTGCTGGGACAGCCTGCAGGGCCCTTGGAGTGGGCTCAGCACAGCCGCTCACTGCTGCCTACACATGGCCACCCAACACAGCCCGCACGTGGCCTGAAATAGCGCTGAGCACAGGTCAAGGCCCGGCAGGATGAAGGGCCCCGCGGCAACCTCATTACCCGGGGCTCGGGGCGTCATGTTCGCAGAGGTTGTGCATTTGCATGGGGGCAACTGGGAGACGAAACCACAAAAGGACTGCGCAACATCCTGTGACCACATGACTTGTGAGGCTGGGTGGACATCGTTTCGGCTGGCAAAGTTGGTGCCTGAGCTCCGCGCTGTCCGGCTTCGCATATGTCGCACGATCTGTCATGTCATCCCTGCCTAAGGCAACAGCCACTTGTCCCGTCCCGCAGCGCCAGAAAGGCCCGTTGTGCGGCAGGATGCGCCATTGTGTGGTGAGAGCCTTCTGTGATATGAGGTGCTGCTTCTGGCGCTGATCGCCAGAACTTGCATGCCACCGTGTACGAACCTCAGCGTGGCGTCGCGATTGTCGTTGTAAAGGTGTCTGGCAGGCACGTAAGCCCCCTGAAGCGGTCCTGTCACCAGGAGCAAGCAGTGGGGCCAACGCGACTGTGTGGAGCCTAGGGTCCTCTGGCGGTCCTCTGGCATCCACCGTGGCCCGGCAGAGTGTGTTTGGTCGTCGCGCGGCATGTTGTCACATTCACACTTCAGGGAATGTCAAGAGCTCCGGTGAGCGCGGCCAGAAGAATGGCTGGGGACATTGGGGAGGGTGGCAGCCTCAGTGTGTTTGCAAGTGCGAGCTGGTCTTTGGCGTGTAGGTCGCCTGTAGTGGCTGGCTCCGCATGTCAGCCCTGAGTGTTCGCCGACTAGAAACCTCTAGTTAGAAGTGGCAGCCTTAGGACCTGGGCGGGAGGCGCTTCCCGTGCGTGGCTCAATGTCCGTATGCGCCGCATGCAGAGCAGAGCACAGAGCAGAGCAAGCGTAGTCACGCACTTGAGCGTGGGTGAGCGAGGCCCGTCGCGGAGCTGGGACCGTGCTTGGCATCAAAAGACGAAGCCTCAGATTTGGGAATGCCTTGCAAAGAGCGCAGGGTCATGGAACGGGATGGGCCGAGAAGAGTTTGCTTCTTCTTGCGGACGAAAAGACTTGGTTTCCAGCGAGAAGCTCTGTTGTCTCGTGTTCTCTAGCACTCCGGCAGACTGAAGGGGACTTTAGCCAAGCACCGATTCAGTTCACGCTACATGTTTGCGTACCTTATCTCGTGATGCTTCCGAGGAAGTGGGTCGTCAAAGGATCCTCGATGGTGTTAGCCCCAGCCTTTAGTCAAGTGGCAACGGTGTTTAGCTCATTTCGCCATGCTTCTTCCATTTTGGCCATGTCAGCTTTCTATTTTGAGCATGTTTGTAGCACGTGGTCTGGCCCTGCGGCGAGCAGATGTGTTGTCACGTTGTCCGAGCCTGATGCGTGCTGTTCCAGGGACGTGAGGCTGCGGCCAGGGGAGCATGATTTGCTTGGTGGCTGCAGACAGTCGCGCGCCAAAACGGTGCGGGGCCCGACCGTGGTCATGGAAGTCTTAGTCAAAGCTTCGGCTGCATGTCAATGGTACAGGTATAGGGCTTGGAGATGTGGAGGCACGGTGTTTCACTGTCTCACAGGACTGAGAACATCTGAGAACTGTTGGTCGCGTGCCACGACGATGCAGTGCTTTCGCAGTGCGTTCTCAGATGAATTCGATGTATGGCACGTTCGGATCACAGCTGCTGCCTGAAAGGTTCCTCGGATGCTTTTGTTGCCAGCAGCCATTTGGCTTATTGTTAGCTACTGCATCATCCTCAGGGCTCAATGTGTAATCCCATATACATCTTGGAAATCAACACCTTCAAACTAAGCTGGTGTAAGACGTGCATGTCAATGTTAGAGCCGCCAAGAAATATACAGATTTCGTCGAGCCTCCATGTCCGGACCCATGTGCATGTTAATGATGACTTTAGGGCCGACGTTTCACTTTTGAGTACACGGCTGAGAGCTGTCGCTCGCTTGCCAAACCGATACAGTGCTAGCGCAGTGGGTTCTCGGATGAATGTGCAATTCCTGTCTTCATCTCTTCTGGCAACATGTTAGTCCACAAGACAACGCATCAAATCCACATATCAAAGCTCTTTCCCCCGAAACCCCATAAGATTCATGGCCGAGCGATGGGCCAGCCTGTGCCGTGTAGCTGCACCAATGATTTCCTCCGAAGATGCAAAGAGAACCTGATTCTTGAGATCAATGTGCTCAGGCTACGGCAGCTAGGGCTGAAAATGAATATTCCTGAGGTGTACCGGAGGTACGGCGTGGTTCACTTTCGCGACGAGACTGTGAACTGTTGCTCATGTGCCAAGACGATATGCCAAGCCGATGCAGTGCCTGCAATGCAGTGCCTGCGCAATGAGTGCGATGTAGTTCCGGGTGCTTTGCTTCTTATGCCATATTTGCGCGCCTCAAGTATCCCGAGTGTGATTCCTGGTTTCATCCCCTTGGTGCAAGTCGTACCATGCTGCTGCCCGGTCTCCGGCTTCCATGTAGTTAAGGACAGCATGCCGAGTTCCTTGAAGACAAACATCTAGAGTTGTTTGGAGACAATGTGGCCTTCACAAGATTGTCGCGGGCATTGTCATTGCCACGCGCTAAGCCGCTAAGGGTGGGCAAGTGCACCCGGTCGCGGTTTTTTTTTTTTTTTTTTTTTGCGATGTTTATCTACGAAAGTTTCGAGTTGAACGATTCGGTTGTTGGTGGTGTCATGCGAAAGCATCGCTTGCAAGCTCATGGGCAGCTTCCGGGAGCGCAGATGGGAGCAGGACTGGGTGGAGCGGGCCATGTTCCGACGGTCGTCTCACGTGCTGAAAGCTAGGTCCGGGCGGAGATCCGATGCCATGCCACCTTCGGGCCCGAAAGCTGCTTGGATTAATGTTTCAGTTTCTTGTGGGAGTCTTGGCACAATTGTCGCATCTTGAGGTGCTTACCGCAGCACGCCGCTGGGTCCAGAGGAGCGACGACACATGTCGAGTGTCAGTTTTTGCGCCGGGTTCCGTGCCTGTTGCAGAGAGTCTGAGAGGCTGTGGAAGACACAGCAGCCAGTCGCCGCAGTGGTGCAGAAAACGTTGTCATCGCGGCAGCGCGGTCTCTGGCCAGGAAGAAGGAACAGTTTAAGCCCTTCGACAAAGCCCACGTGGAGAAGCACTTCAAAGAGCGTGCTTCAGCGTTGAACGACTTCGCTATGCAAGAGCTACAGGGCACACTGGAAGATGACCCGCCGTCGCCACACAAATGCATGCTCCCGCACAGAACTGGCACACCAGCCTCACCCGCCACAGTGTCGACTCGCGCCGACTGCTTTTCACCAAGCCCAGCAACACCGCGAGAAGCAGTGAGTTCTGCTTGGTCACGTGGAGAATCGCCGGAATGTCGACATGAAGGCTGCGTTGGGCACAGTGGCGCAGTGGGCATGGATTACCGACAGCAAAGTGCTGAACGGACGCAGGTCTCACGCGAAGTGCGAGAATCCATAAGCTGCAGCAGGCAACCAGAGAGCGAGAGAAACATGCAGAGGCATGCAGAGGTTCCCAGGTCCACATGTTTGGAGTAGTGCCGGAGAATTCAGGCCATTCTCGATCACGACGAGGCTGGATATGTCGGATATGTGAGCGTGACAGACATGTTGCACGACGTTGGGATGGTCAAGTTTTCTCAGGAGCGGCTGGCATCCATTGCTTTGGGAACTTTCCCTTTGTTGGGTGCTCGAGGCTCACACAAGCTGCTATGGGGGGCCCTTGTCTGCAGACCTGGAATTCCGAAGATTGACAGGGCAAGCAGTTTTGCCAGTACCTCCTCTGCCTGCGGAGGGCTTGAGGCATCTTTCGGCAGTGAGGAAATACGCGTTGTTGCCCAAGCTCGCGTGACTTGATATAGGATGGCCTTGCCACAGCGACTCCGGCTTGCCACATCCAACAAGATTGCGAAGGGATCGACAAGGCAGTTGTATCAAGTTGTGTTTCAGGTCACGGATGCCTTAGTTTTCGTGCAACAGGTATGAGCTGATGGAAAGCCAAGTACGTGCTGCTGAGGCTCCCGTTCTGAGTCCTGAGTTCTTCGTGTGCTCTCAGAAAAAAGAATATGCCCCCAGGTGCGCGACCTACCATTGCGACATGCCGCAGTGGAGGCCTTGGACAGCTTCGATTCCTTCGACGCCTCTTGGATTGCACACATGGGGGGAGGGGTTTTCCGAAAACAGGGGTACCCTTCTTGGGGGTCCCTTTAAGGGGACTCTTTTCCATCTGGGGGATAAACGGGGTGCCCCTATTTCGCATCTTCGCCCAGTCACACAACGTGTAATGATGCGTGGTGTCAGGCTGTCATGCCGCAAGGGCCAGGCCACAGCAGACACTCTTGTGCCACGTGTGCACGACTTCGAAAATGTTTAGAACTCGGTCTTGTCAGGCACCATCTTTCCGAAGCCACCGTACGAGCTGAAGCGAGCGTGCCACACGACACAGGAGAGTGTTTTTCTGAGCGTTCTCGAGTTTGGAGTTGCGACTCGTTTTTTGGGGGACGGGGGTGCGACGAGGACATCCTGCAAAGGGCCAGCGAGCTGCTGAAAAGCAACGCTGCCGAGGACTCATGAAGCATCACTGTCGAAACATAGAAATATCAGACAGGGGAGACAGGAATGAGACAGAACCATCGCCACATAGCAGAACGAAACATGTACAAATGTTTTTGTCTGTTAGCACACTCCCCAAGCTTGTGTGTGTGTGTGTGTGTGTGTGTGTGTGTGTGTGTGTGTGTGTGTGTGTGTGTGTTGTGTGTGTGTGGTGGGTGGGGGTGGGTGGGTGGGTGGGTGGTGGGTGTGGTGGGTGTGTGCGCGTGCGCGTGCGCGTGCGCGTGCGCGTGCGTATACATAGCATGGGTGTGTGTGTGTGTGTGGCAAAGTTTACAGAGAACCTTGTTGCGCTTCGCATGGTCAGTCACAGATTTGTATTTCTGAACCGTGCGTTATTCGCTCGTTGGAATACGTTCCTGTACGGTTGCCGTAATCTGCTACTTTGCCAGTCATGTCAGCCTCCAGCAACATGGCAGATCCTTTTATGCCTTAGGGTCGAGGCTTACCGTCCTGCAGGGTAGCCTGGGGAGCGCATGACCCTCATTCATGCGTCAGTGTGACACTTGCGAATGTTGAGGACCGATGGATTCCTCTGGCGTGGCGCATGGCTTCAGCCGCCTATTACGCTGCTTGGGCCGAAAAAAAGGCCTGACAGGGCCAAGCCTGCCGAAGCGAAGCACCATTCAAAGCACCAAGGCAGAGCCGGAGGAGGTCCTCCGCATCGCACGCCCGGGGTCTCGGATGATTCTTGGGTCTCAGGGCGTTTCCGCAGCCTCTCGTGAGTCTCGTCGCACCAAATCATTCGTGGTGTGCTTTCTAATCTTTCTAGGCGTCCCGGACAATGTGAGGTCTTTTGGCTCAACTGGCCCGGAAGCAACACGGCTTTACTGCTGCCACCAAGAAGGCGCCCGGACCGCACTCCATGGGCGTCATCTTACAATTGCCAATATAGGTTGGACTGGGAACAAGCCCTGAACAACGAAGCCTGCTCTGATCACAGGTCTTTAGCACGTCTGCCACGTTTACGTTTCAGACAGGGGACATACAACTTGTGCTCTTAAATTTGGTGTTCAAGTTTCTTCTCGGTACTTTATGCAAAGCTTGACCGAAGCTTTCAAAGCTGCACGGCCGCGGACTTCTCGCATTGATCCACAAAGAGGAGGTGTCCGTGAGATGCTTGTCATATCTCACTACAGGTATATACGGTACAAGCTGTGGAAAGGCATGCGAAAGGAAAAAGGCTTCTTCAAAGTTCAAAGCACCCAAATACCGGATGAAGGATTCTTCTTCTTTGCCGAAAGAGATGTCTGAAACTGCAGCGTCGCAGCCCTCCATGCCGGGGATGGGGAGGATTTTTGGCAGATGGCCAACTCTGCGCTGCACTCCCTGACGCACCGCTTGAAGGAGACATGCAGGGGTTAGTTGAAGGGTGTAGGGTTGGGATGTTCCCCCTTATACCACATCCCAAGTTTAGGGAGTTTCAGGGGAATCCGTGTGCATGAGTGCGAGGAGCTCGGCGTGGAGCTGCTCATCGACATCTTCGAGTCGATGGGTGAGATGCGGTTTGGGAGCCAGGCCATGTCAACTGTGTCCTCGTTCCAGAGGGTGCTTGTGAAGCAGTCTAGAAGGTCGAAGGTCCTCCCCCCGATGTGCTTTGAGGCCTTCTTGGACTCGCTGTTGATGCAGCTCTTGGCCTGCCATCGTCAAGACCACGAGGCCATGGCCGGGTCCGGAGTGGCTTCGCCACAACTGCGCCCTTCAGGTGCCCACGGCGCAGCAGGCGGTCCGCCTCTGCAGTTCCCTGGCGCAGATGCAGCGCGATCCCCAGCGTGCCGGCGGGAGTGGCGGGGCCCGCCGCGGCGAGCGCGACTCGGCGCCCTCCTCCCCGCTGAGCGGCCTGGGCTCCCGGCGCCGAGGAGCGCACAACGCAACGGAGCTTTCGACCTTCCTGAGGGTTCAGAAGGAAGATGTTCAAGCGGGCAATGTTCGGGTGTGCATCTGTCGTGCCGACGGCTACGCTATTGAGCCCTTGGTGGGTACGGATGCACCTTCCAGGAGCCGCGAACATGAGCGGCTTGCATCGCAGAGCCCTCAGCATGGGAGTCCATGGGATCCATGCGGTTGAACTCGCAAGCTTCGAGCAAACGGAGGAGTCTCAGCTCTGCAGAACCAACAGATCTTGGCCATCCTGCCTGCGCCTGAGTGGAGAGACTTCCATGCTTTTTTGCATGGTCATGATCGGAGGGGCTCTGATCAGCAATCAGCAGCCCTTTCCCTCCTCGAATGTTTGTCAGACAAAAAGGCAAAGCAAAACAAATCGAACACACGAGCACACAAACACACAAACCTACCTACCTGCGCGCGCACACGCACACACAGACACACAAACCTACCTACCTGCGCGCACGCGCGCACATGCACACGCGCCTGCGCACACGCACCCACCCATGCACGCAGGCATGCACGCACACTCACTCACTTACTCACTCACACTCGCACTCTCGCACTCTCGCACTCTCGCACTCTCGCACTCACACTCACGCTCTCGCACTCTGACACTCACACTCACACTCGCGCTCTCACACACTCACATTCTCGCTCACACATCTGCATGAACGAATCTGGATTTGCGGCATTCGGCTGCTGTTTGAGTGTGTTTGTTGCATGTCAGAAGTTGCTGCAAAAGGGGGCTGATGGTTTAGGAACCTGAGAAATGTGAGAGAGGGGAGCAAGGAGGTCCAGTTGGGCGGTCTCGATGCCTGGGCCGAGGCAGCAGAGAGCACAGCCTCAGGAGGATCAAGCCGAAGCAGCTTCAGCCGAGGCTGATGAGTTCCATTCAGTTGCGCAACTTTGTGAGAATTTGACTTTTGCGGATCCTGGCACAGCGAGTGCAGGAGATGGCAAAGGACGATAGCTCCCACAGATAGACTTTCCTAGACTTGGAGACTCTCGAAGAGAACTCTTCAAGGAAGCTTTCCCCTAGCACAGTCAGCAAACAGTGCTGATGTTGCTTCCGTCCGTGCGCTGGAATAGGGTGATGCGTGTCAACGACCTTGATCAGAGCCAGGGAGTAGCACCAAGACAGGGAAGCAACACGAAGAACGCCTCCCGAAATCTCCAAAGAGCGAGCCTTCAGGAGGCACTGTTCCGTTTAAATGCGGGACATAAAAAGGCGGAGCAGAGCGGAGTCAGCCGAGCTGCAGGAGGCCCGCGAGAATGCCGCAGACTCGCAGCACACCGCAGCACCTACGCAGAATCCCGCTTCAGGTTCCCTTGCCGACGATCCACATACTGTAGTAACCATCGACAGCGCGCTTCACGCTGGTGTGTGTGCAACTGTTGAATCAGTCCTCGCACTTTGACCCTTCTGCGCACAGCGATATGCTGCGGTAGGCTGATAATGTGCACCTTGTACAACGATTGAAGCAAACGCCATGTAAACCAAAGCATGGGAGATCGACAGCCAAGGTTTGCAGTCTTAGAGAGCATAGCTCTGCGATGCTGTGGCCATGTGGCCATGCACTCCCAGTCTCGGGTGGCGACCTGTGACATGCTCAGGCTTCCGCGCTCAAAAATCAGAATCATAGTGCAGTAAGAAGGCATGCAGGGCACGACAGAGCATGACTCGAGTCGAGTCTTGTGGAGGAAAGCGTCGCCTAAAGATGGGCAGCTCGCCTATACTAGTGAAGATGTGGAGGCCCGGCAATGACATTGGGCCGTGCTCTTGAATCAAAGGTCGGAGATCGCCCGGGTGTACTTGGCCACCTGGCGCGCGCACGGCTCACTGTTGTTGAGGACATTCGTGGGTCGGAGGGAAGAGAAGCCATGAGAAGCTTTGCCCAGCCGTCGTACGATGGCAGGACGGAGGCCGTCGTCGCACCTGATTCTACGCCGGAGGACGAGGAGGTCACACCGATGAATCTTGCGACTTTTCCTTGCCTTCCGGTAGCTGGGCTGAGGCTCTACAACAACAGATTCAGCGCTGGTGGTCTCAGGATGTTAAAGTGTCCATGCTCGTTCTTGGTTGAGGAGTTCGATTCAGAGAGTGGCCTGAGGCTTCACTTCTTTCCTGGAGTCAGGACAGCGCCGCTTCGTTGCCGACTGAGTCTTCGTAAGTCTTGCATCATGTGTTTAAGTCTTGCCTTGAAGCAGAGCTAAACTCCAAGATTGTCGCCGAAAATGACACCAACCCAGAAGAGCTGCACCCTTGGGGAAAGCAAGTTTGCAGGATACAGACAGAATCGTGATTGTTGGTCAGCTGGCCATGCAAACTTAGGCGCAGCCTATGTGCTTTCATCAGCTTCGGGCCGGCTAACCTGAGTACAGTATGCCAGTTGAGCAATGTCAGAAGTGTGACCGCGCAAGTGCTTTCCACGAGGCCAAGCTACACTCGCGACGGCTTTGGAGAGGCAGAAGCGAAGTCTTGGGGGAGGATCTTTCCAGAACATGTATGGGTGTTTCCTCAATTATGGGTACCTTACTCGGGCTCAGAGCTCGGCCTATTTGGGGGTTTAGATGGAGGTCCTCCTATTTTCGTAAACCCCCACATAGAGCATCCTGAGGAGAGCGTCTGCAAAACGTGTCAAGGTGATGCAGCTCTTTGTGCACCCCGCCTCCCAGCGCCGCGGAGTGGGGACCAAGCTCCTGCAAGCGGCGTGCGAAGCTTGGGAAAGAAGACTGAAGCAACGCTCTAAACCCTAAACCCTAAACCCTAAACCCTAAACCCTAAACCCTAAACCTTAAACCCTAAACCCTAAACCCTACACCCCAAACCCTAAACCCTAAACCCTAAACTGCACCCCCAAACCCTAACCCTTAACCCTGAACGCTAAACCCTAAACCCTAAACCCTCTCAAACCCTAAATACCCCGCTGATTGAGGTGGCAGGAGCTTCGGGGCCAGCCGTGGTCAAGAATGGGCTGCCATGTATGGTCCTAGCCTTATCTGAGTCAAGCCTCTTGCTTTGCATATTTTGTCAGCTCGTATAAATCTATTGTTGGGTTCCGACAGGTGCACGAAAGGCAACCCTGCCAATCGTGTTTACGAGCAGGCTCTTCACAGTTCAGCGATTCGCGATTGCAGATCTGTGCCAATCTGTCAATCTAGCAAGGCAGGCTGGTTCCGAACCGGCAAGGAGAAGAGCACCGGGCTGATCATGCAAGGGCTTGTCACGCCAAGTACCAGGTTGATGGCGGTTTTCATGCATTGACAATTTGACCATGACCAACGGTTTTTTCGTCCGTGCGATGCCGCCGCTAGAAGCGTGCCCTCCTTGTCTGAGGTTTGAAACCGACCCTGAGCAAGGAACCAGTCGTCCGAAGCCAAGAGTTGCATGAGGCGTCACGCATTTGACCGAAGCAACAGAATCAGTAAAATGTTGCCAGTGATAGTGTGCTTTTTGATGGAACTCCAATCCTTCAAGTGCAAGCGATCGCTGCCTTGCAGTATTCAGCAATACCCAGCCCATCTTGAATGGCGAGACTTCAGGTTCTTTTGTACCCATCGTGACATGCATATTAGGCATGAAAGGCTGCAGCCTCCGCAAGGCTCTGTCCGCGGCTGCCATGGGTTGTAACAAGATGGTCGTTACAGACGTTCATAAGTCGCTCACATGCAACCCTACTGGCCCTACCGATGAGCGGTTTATGTGGGTGAGGATTGCTTCTCACTCTTGGTGACCGTTGGACGATGGAGTTCGGCCCAGGAGGTGGAGGAGTACCAAGCGCCGGAGCCGGAGAAGTGCCAACGCGTGGACCTTTGGAGGCTTCGGACCGTGATCGCGTGGCGAGAGTACTCGAGTCTTCAACGTTTAAGCTTCCAAAGCTGTAACCATACGCGCTGCACCGTATCGCCAGTACTTCCTGGTGGTCTTTAGGGTCCGAGCCTTGGAGACCTCTTCATTCAATGCAGCAGCTGCCGGGCTCTGGGGGTGGGTTTTGTTCTTGTGCAAGGTCTGCAAGCTAGGTAGCTAGGTCTGCTCAGCAGTTTTGTGCAGCCTCTGAGGTTAGCCATGGGGATTCTGGTGAGCGCCTTTTGCATGAAGGCCTGAGCCAAGTCGCCAGCCTTGTACACAAAATCCTGCACAGCCCAGAACCCAGTCTCGAGGCTCGCGCGGCTCCAGCGACCCGATCTGATTGCTTCTAGGGTTTAGGGTTTAGGGTTCTGTCTGCAGGCAGCCTTGCAGCGCCCAGGCCTTACACCTCGACCAAACATGTGACGTTGTGTAGCAGGCATGGAGCGCCCAGCGTAGTGGAGGCATTCATGTGACCCGTTGTGCACACACCCTGGTGGGCTGCAGCGCTCGATGACTGAGGCCGGAGCCCGTGATGGGACTCGACAGTTGCAATGTGCTATGTGCAGGGCCTTTCCGACAGGGTAGTCCGTAGTCCGTAGCCCAGTGAGCAGTCGGAGATCGCGGACAAGGTCGCGGATGAGTCGTCGAATGGCTGCCCAATGAACGGCAAGCTGCTTCTCGGAGCTTCTCGCAGCAGTGCCACACTGTGGTACACGGACGTGGCCTTCAAGTCCTGGAAACCCAGGATTGACGCCATTTTCCCACAATGCCAAAAAGCTAAAGTGCCCAGAAAGCCCACCAAATCTGGGAACACCCCAAGTTTCGCCCTTTAATTTAAAGTGGAAACATACACACTCACACACCATCGCATTTGTTATTGCGAAAGCACCCCCTCAAACTTGAGGGTAGCCTTTCGTTTAGTACCCAGCGTAAGCTGATCTGTGCTAGGGGGCTTGGGGGGGAACCCCATTTTGGGAGCAATTTTCGGTCCGGATTTCGTGGCTAGTCCCGGCGGTGTGCTGGGTTTTGGGGCTTGGTCCGCTGGGCCTTTTTGCCAGCAGCTTCCCTGGCGGCATAACGAGGGCCCGATGCGCGGGTGCTGGGGCTCCCTGCGGGTGGGGGAGGGAATCGGAGCGCATTTGGCTGGCAACAAGTGTCCCCACTAGTCTCACCAGCTCCCCTCTCCTGAATATCCGATCTACTGCACATTGAAGCCCTGAGCTTTCGCCCCCCCCCCCCCTCCCCCGTGGGCGCCAGTTGACGGTCATCTATCTTGGATTATCTTGGGTTATCTAGGTGCTGTGGTGGTTTTCCAAGGCCTGTCCCACAAAACTGGCTCAAGAAAATCGTTGAAACATAAGCATACAGCCTGTTGGCTATCGCCAAGCGCACAACAAAGCGTGCTGTCTCATGTCAACACGATATGATGGCCCAGCTGGTCCTGAACCCGATTCAGAAACCTGCCCAGCTGGCGACAGACATGTTGCAACAAGCAGGAGATTACAAAGTAGCTTACTGGCCATGATGGATGGCAGCAGCACATCTTTGCTAGGCACCGTGCAGAGTTGCATGTTTTCGCTACCAGGTTTCTGCGCCATGCCTCTTATGGTATGGGCTTACCGCGCTCCAATAGCAAATGCATATTCTTGCATTGAGGTGGCTGCCCGAGCTCCACATGTGAGATCAACGCGGACACAAGCTTCGTGCTCCCAGTTCGGCCATGCGCCGTGCCACGGCGAGTAGGGAGCGGAAAGCAAGTTGATGAGCGCTTCTGGCCGTCCAGTTCCCTTGCAGGCGGGAAATATGAACTGAACGGCACTTGGATCATGTTTTGGGTCCCGGACGGTACTCCGGGCTGTCGGGTGCAAGGCCTGTGCCTGGGGGCGGCCGGTGTCGCTACAAAGCGCTGCTGCCCCAGTGCTCCAAAAACACTGGTGTTTAGTTTGGTGTTCAAGATTCAAGGGCTGCAACACACTACGGCCCTAAAAGATAGTTCGGTTTCGCTCCATAAGACATGTTCGTTTCTTTCAGGTGGTCGTCGACAGCTCCAGAGAAGACTTGTGCCTCGGCTGTTAAGGATCTCGTTGTGTAGAGCTATTGTGGGCTCCACTACGAATGATCTTTGATCATTCTATGGCCTTTCTCACCCTTCCGGCTGTGCATTGTGCAAAACTTTGGGGCTTGAAGCCGGGCCTGATCCAAGGACCAGACGCATTCCCTCATGCTCTCAGCTAGTCCCATAGCTGCACCACGCTGTACCTCCTACAATGCATAGCATGGCTTGGGTGTTGTGCGGTGGGCCTTGAGGTATGCTGCCTGAGGGCGCCTTGGTCAAGGAAGGGCGCAGTGCACCTGGAAGGCCTGGAGAGGGAAGATTGGCATAGGATGCACTCTGCTGAGCTCTGCTGTTCCTGAGGCTAGGCTATTCGCAGGTTTATGCGGATGAGGACGAGGATGAGGCGCGAGCATAATTACCAGAGAAGCGAAACTGTTTACCTTCTTAAACTGGACGGCCCAGGAAGAAGGTCCTGTGACAACCATCCTAGACTTCAACAATACTGAGGAGCGCCTTGAACGAATCAAGGACTGGAGAGCTGTTGCCCCGTCCCTTCCCCCCCCCATCTGCGTGGACAGCCTGTTAGGATGTAACAAGAACGCCGGTTACGCTGCTCACTGGCTTTCTAGGCTCAGGATCGCAGCCGCTGAGTGCAGCAACATTGAGCTCGAGAGTGTTATGCTCTTTTTGGCGGGCCAGAATCGACTGAGTTGTAGGCAAGACCTCCTTGCTGAAGCACATACTTGAGAATCAGGAGGGAGTCCGCCCAGAGCCAAGCACGGCCAAGCATTTGCACTTTGGGGGGTGTTGCGGACGATGTTTGTAGAGAGAGAGGGAAAGTGGACCAAGGAATTGGGGTGGTGGTCAACGACGTCGCTGCTGTAAACATCGATGCCCAACTGATTCAAAGGCCGCCTTGATATGAGTGGATGTGGAGGGAGCTGTGTTTCGCTTGCAATCGGCTATGAGCACACTGCACGCCAAACCCTCCCCATCATGGTTGCCTTCGTGGAGGTATGAAAAGAACGGTGCAATTGAGATTGCAGAGCTCGCGAATGGATGTGTCGGACTCTTACTCTAGCATATTCTTCACGCCCTGTTTCCTGAAGCCGCTTCGACGCCGTTGCGTCGGTTGAGGTTTGCTGCACCGCATCTGATGATTTGGTCGCATCAGTCCAGGAGCTGGTCAACAGGACTTATGGCAGGCAGATGTACAGGATACACAATGCAAGATGAGAGACGGCGAGTGATGCGCCCCGGGTCTGCACTCGGATTTTCTTGTGCAGGCCTTTTCACCATGTGGTGATTGAAATGAGCGGCGTTGGTGAGCTGGCATCCCAGCATTCGGTAGAGGGGGTGGTGGGGCTCTGGGCTCGGGGGTCAGGCCGAGAGAACCAAATAGGGATGCATCCCTGATGTTCTCCGTGCCAAGCATCAGCCAAGATCTCTCGAAGTACTGTTACCCTTTCGTTTGGCGACGCCAATGCGATGTGAACTTCACCCAAGCTTCGGCTGCCACTTGGTTAGCCTTTTGGCATGTGAGCTTTAAGGCTTTAAGTCCTGGCGCGCAACTAAATCTACCTGTCCCAAACTTTCGGGGGGGGGGGGGGGTTGGATGTTCAACAGCAGACAGTCGCATCTCTAGGGTTCTCCACGGCCCGGATGAGTTTGGTGTTAAGGCCAGAGGCCATCCGACGGCATTGGGACATCGGCGTTGAAGTGGGCAGAAGATCTCAGATGGCACCATTTCGATGCGCTCCGCGGACCTCTGCGCCTCTGTGCTGATCTGTGCTGATCTGTGCTGAGGCATGCCTGCGACTCTCCTGACGGAGATCAAGAGGACCATTGCCGTTGTGGATGCCAGCCTGTTCGGCAACGACTGGATCGACAGCCGAAAGGTCCCTGCTAGATGCCTTGTGTAGGGAAATGTGGGGAAGTTGGTGAAACGAGAGGCATCTGTCAGGAACGAGCAGGGGATGCCGCTGCCACATTCGGGTGGGACTCGAAGACCTCCGCTTTTTTGCTTGTGCGAGCGTTCCAGAGTACGTAACCAAGGTTTCGAGACGGTCGGCCAGCTTCTTGCAGAGCAGGTGGAGAAGGCGGATCTTGTGTGCCAACCTCAGGCACATCTGATGCAGTAGGGATGTCCACCTCATGCACTTCCTTCCAGCGAGGTTGATGAATAAGATCGACTTGGCAACTGATGAGGAAGCCAAAACCACTGAGGAGGCCTGTGCATTCCTGTGCACTCCCGTTTGGGGGAGTGCGCTAAATAGGGGCCCCTTCCAGGTAAGTTTGTAATGGAATCCTTGCAAAAGTCTTTAAGAGGACTTTAGTTTAGCACAGCCACCATGTGATATCATGCCCCTTCATCCTTGTCTGTCACAGTGCAGGTCCTCAAAGCCATCAATGGCGAGGCGGAGGTGATTCGCTGCACATACGGGAAGGCTCAGTATGCTCCTGGTACACTCTCCGTGCTACGTGACTTCAACATTCCCAGCTCGTCTTTGAGTCTTCGTGGTGGCACAGGTTAGCCCAATCGAACTACTACCGGAGATACCGGAAGGGATCAAGTATCCGGAGTTTGGGCGAGGATGCGATGCTGTGCGCGCAGTTGCCGGCTGCCGAACGGCCTTGTGAGTGACACCTGCCAGCATAACACATCGGTGCAAGGACGGAACTATCGGTGGGCGCAAAACCCTCAGGTTCTGCAGCTCCGCGTCAAGGCTGTGTGATTACTCATCTTTTGTGGACTGTGGAGTTGCTCGCAGCGTTCGCCAACCTCCAGCCAGGTTCCAGCGAACACCAAGTCGAAAGACGTCAACTTTGACATTGGCCGAACGTGGCTGCAGATCTGGGTGAGCCTCCGATCGGCTTCCGCTCAAAGCTTCAGTGATGAGCTTGGATGAATTTCCCTGGCCCGAGGTGCAGGGCGAGCAGGTTCCCCGACTTCAAGGAAAGCTCTTCGGCCGGCTGAAGGCAGAAAGCCTGCAGCCAATTGTCGCAGCCAGCAGACAGGTTGAAGCTCGCTTGGAAGCCTTCTGGCAATGACATCGCGGTAGTGTTGCATGTTTTGCTCTTTGTGAGACTTGTCTGCTCTCTCTCACCCGGGTTAGGAACGCCTCTAAAGACTCAGCTGCGCTGATTGTTCTGTGATGGCCCTCGCCACGGAGGGCCAGTTCCTGCACTGTTCTCCATCACTACTCGGTAGTGAGTGATCCAAAAGTGCTGAGAACTTTAAGAGCTGCCACTTCCGCGACTGATGGATCTGAACTTTGCGCGGCACAATCTGTAAACCGAAGTTTGGATGCACGTTTGCATTTTGAGCTTGGGCCGATGAGCAAGAATGACTTGAAGCCCCAAACCCTAGACCCTAAACCGTAAATCCTAGCCCCTAAACCTTAAACCCCTCTGCCCCTTTGTTGAGCATATGCGCAGGGGATCGAGGAGTGGATTTGGGAGTTGGACGGCGAAGGCGTAGCGACGTGAGCAGCGCAGTTGACAGGGCCTTGCTTGCGGCTGTGTGCCCAGAAAGCTACTGCGAATCGCTACTGTCGTCGTCGTCATCGTCATCATCATCATCATCATCATCATCATCATCATCATCGGAATGATCATTCTTGTTTTTGTCAATTCACAGCGCAGCTTCCCTGTAATCTGTTTGAGTAAGCTGCGGGGCTCAGGCTTGTGAAGTTTGGGCATGCTTGAGAGCTTTGATCAGTTCTTTGCAGGTGACGACCGTCACGTCGCTGTATTCCTAGAGAAGAGCCAGGAGGCCTTGGAGAGCCAACATCCGAGTAGCTGTCGCTCAGAAGCTCACGATGCTGGCGCGAGAATTGCAAGAACTGGCGATTTTGTGCAGGCCATGTGGGAGGACCTGTGGGAGAAAGAGCAGGGGAACCAGCCGGCGCAGTGCTCCAAGCCGACGGACATAGGGGAGACACATAGCTAATGTTTTTTTTTCTTCCTCATTTCCTGTGGCTCAGGCAAGAGCACGAGCCGGTGGCGGCAGCTGAAGAGGCCGCAGTTCTGGAGGGAAGAAGCCAGGTCCCTAGAGCTCAGAGCAGCGCTGGAGAGGCACAGGGATGTGACTTCTCTCTAAATTGAGAACTGCACGTTTGTGCGTCATGGCCTCCACGAAGATGTCATTGGGAGTGTGGCGGGTGTGGAAGAGACCGGATGGAAGCGACACAGTCCAAGAGCCCTCGGAGCCCTAAACTTCGGGTTGCCTACAGTGCCCATGTGTTCTTTGACCGGGTCCAGGCAGGCGCCCCTCAACACAAGCCCATTGCCAGAGCAGAGATGAGTTGCTAGGACCTGGTGCCCGCCAGGTGCTACGCGAGCGCCAAGCCACGTGCGGAGGCGAGTAGCACTTGATTTTGCAGACTGTCAACTAGAGATACGCCGGCAGGAACTCTCGGGCGGCTGGCAGAAGATTTGGCATCCAACCTAGCTCACGTTTCTGCGTGAGATTGATAGCTCTTTGGATGGTTGATAAAGTAGAAGGTCTGTTATAACTGGTATGATATATTGTGGTATGTTCAAGACTGTTTGTTTGCAGTGCAAGGCATCCGAACTTTCACCTACGAGCGGCGCAGGCCCTTCAGTGCCGCCCGCTTGCAGAGGCCTCTCAAGTGTCGTCTTGCACACCATCTTATGCGCACCATTGCGCACCTCCGCCTCGTATCCTTAGTTCCTGAATGTGACTTCTCCCCTTGTAAAAAGCGGCGAGATTTTTCAGTTTTGGCAGTGACAGGTTGATCGAAGACTGGCCCTTGCCGAGGAAGCGGGCTTTCGGACTTGACGAGCTGGAGGCCGAAGTTCCTCGTCACCTTAGAGAAGCCACTTACGCTGAGGGCCGCCCATTGCGCAGATGTGAGTAGGCCGGTGATGCAGACGAAGGACTCCAGGCGCCCACATCAGCCCACATCTCTCTTAGAGCACCGTAGCTGAAGGTAAGAGCATGGAAGAGCCGCCGAGGCGCTGAAGCCGATTCTGCGGTCCAAAGGGTTCTGCTGGGTGGACTCCGAACCCTTTCGGGCACCCTGCTTGTGTTTGATGACTTTTAAACATTGAGCATGCTTGATCTCTTACTCTCCAGAAGCTTCAGCCCACAAAATCTCAAATTGTCTCGAAGGTCAACGAGTGGTCACACGCAGGAAGATCCCTGTCAGTTCTTCCGAAGGCCGGATGCATGCTAAGGCCCTCGTTACACGGACAGACGACGTTGAGAGGACTGGTGGTGGTCCGTCTTAAAGCCGGACCAGCTGAACTTCCAGATCTGCACCTTCCTTGATGTCGTCACTGTAGTCAGTGAGACCTCGTGTAGGCCCTGTATCATGAGGCTACCCCGGCGCAAAGGCACAGTTTGAGCGAGCGCGCCGGGAGAAGTGGCAGGCCTTGTGTCGTGTTTTGCTCGTATTTCGATGCACGCGTGCTCATCACTCTAAAACCTTGTTAGGAACCGGTGTATTGCACAGGATCCCTGGGGGGACAGACGACAAGAACTTGTCTTCATCGGTGGGCCTGATATGCGCCAGCAACATATCACCAAGCCTAGTTCCCAGTGTGCCACCGCACTCTTTGATGCGTGGAGGCGGATTTGAAGGCTCATCTTCATCCTTCGCATGCTGGTACTGAGGATCCTGGACGACTGCTTGCTGCAAGACTCCGAACTGGAGCAGTTCCGAGAAAGTACGCTTCTGAAAGATGGGGTTGTGGTCCAGATCTCTTGAATGTCGCTTGGTGGTGTGATGCAGATTGCCAGGTACAGCAGAAACGTATCCACCCGACACCTATTTTGGCGTAGAGGACCGAGCCGAGTGCCATCTTTGCAGAATAGCTGTAAAGAGAAGGCAACGGGATGGCGAAACACTCTCGATCTACCACAGTTGCGAGATGTTGCGGGCATCCTGCGCTGCGAGGGCTTGCTTCGCCAAATGGGGGAAGACCCGGCAACCTTTGCGCAAGGTGCGGCTCGAGCTTCGCACCGTTGCATGACTCCTTTTGCATGCTGCAAGCCTGACGATGTGGCCTTTGACAGGTTCCCAAGCTCAGGACCCTGGCTCTAGTGATGCCCGCAGCTCACAAGCCAATGCAGAAATTCTGCATGTCGGTGGAAGAAGCCCGTGAGGCGAACCTTCTGCAAGCCGCCGATGGAGAGGTTGATTCGGAACCTGCGTAAAATACACGTTGGCCCCGACGTTTGCCATGTTTGCGCAGGCACCATACGTGCCCACTCTGACTTTTGAACGGGTGATGCAGTTGTAGTGAAATGCATCGGCCAGCCCGCTTGGCTCAACATGACTCGGGTCTAGTGCCTTCGCAGCTTGGGAGTACGGGGCATATGGGGCCCATGTGGTGGCAAAAACACCGATGGCTAAGCCTTGTCTTTCTACCACTGAGCGCGGGGCGAAGTTGTGACCTGAACATCCCGCACAGACCCCGACAAAGGCAAACATTGAGGCTCATCAAGCGTGACTGGCCTTCGCATCAGTTGGTCACACAGGTCGCTGCCATTCTACTGGAAGAGATTCTGATGTACGATATTGAAGTCGTGCATCCGGACCTGGGCCCGGTGCACGATTTCAGAGCCATTTCTTTCGGTGATGTGGATGCAAACTTCGAAGTTTGGCGAGGAGGCAAGGAGGCACAGATACAGGATTGGGTTCATAACGGCAATGCCATCGTGGCGAACTCTCACAGTGCCGTTGCTTCTAGTGGTCTCTACACGCTGAAGCATACCGTGGATCGCTTTCCTGAGACAGCCTTCTATCAGTACTTGCAGACGCCGCGAGTTCAATGGATCTTTGCGAAACCGCTGGACGCAGGTGAGGTTGCTGCTGATCCCACAGGCTTGTGTGCGCAGCCCGAGTGGAACTGCACCAATTTCACATGGCAGCCCCCTGCCTGCCGCGAACGTGCCATGCGATGTTTGGGCGTTGTCCTCCATGACCAAGTCCAATACACACAAGGCATGCTGGAGAATCTTGGCAGTCCGAGAGAAATGATGCTGTGATAAGAACAGGCTGCATGCGTGGGATAGTAGCTGGTGTCATAGGCGCTCGGTTTTGTTCCACATTGCTTCGCACGAAGGGCTTGAGTGGGATTCATGTGATGCGACTCAATGGGGCAGGCCTTCAACTGAATCTTCAGACGTCCCTGCAACTCAATACACATTGCGCTTCAACAGATACCTCTTCGGAATCAGCAGAAGCAGATGCCGGCTGTGATATGTTAGGTGCTTATAGATTACGGTAGGCTGTTCAAACCCTCACCCGAAAAGGCCATGAATGCAAGGAAGCTGGTGGTCGCTGCAACGCTCCCCCTAAGGCCCTAAGGCCGTTGACACACACATGTCCAACGAGCAGAGTACGCTCTTACCACGACACTGTTTAGGTGCACGTTGACAAGCTTTGCAACTGCGGCGACAAAGTTTTTTCTTACACTGACAAGGGTTTAGGGTCAACCCTGCCAGTCTGTCTGCCTAAACCCTACACCCTAAACCCTGCCTACACCCTAGACCCTAAACCCTGCCTACACCCTAAACCCTGCCTACATCAGTGGTAAGGCGATTTGGGGAGGGGGAGGGCACTGGCGGGAATCACCATTTTGGTGGTTTGGGCCGCCTGGGAAGGGGGGGGGGGGCACGCGTTAGGGGCGCTGAAAACGCCAAAAACTTGATTCCCCCACATGGGGAGGGGGTCGGGGGGGGCGGGGGGCGGGGGTTGGGGGCGGGGGGGGCCACGCGCGGGAATCACAATTTTGGCTTAGGTTTGGCTTTCTCCAGGCCGTGGCGAGGTTTTCATTCTCTGTCGTGTTCAGGTTTCATTCGCTGTCGTGTTCAGGTTTCATTCGCTGTCGTGTTCGGGTTTCATTCGCTGTCGTGTTCAGTGGTGCCGAAATTTCCTTGTCATGGTGTGAGGCTTTTTTTATTGTCGTGGTAGCAACGCCTTCTCGTCCAACGAGTGGGGAATGGTTCGCAACCTCCCCTCTGGCTTTCGGTTCAGAGTTGAGGAATTTAGGATTTTTTTCAAGCAGATTCCACCCGTGGCCTTAAGGCAGCAGATTGCCAACAACGACTTGCCTTTGGCCGTGCAGTACCTCAGCACCACCTCCAAGGAGCGGGAGATTTGGGAGGCGCATGCCTCCAAACGCGACATCCTCTTCCAGCACCATTCTCCAGCAATCGGTGTGGATGGTGTTCCTTCTACAGACTTTGTTCCCATCCAGTTCGCTCCGAAGAAGTATGGATGCAACTCCACAGAGAGCCGCTTTCCTACCGGGGGTTTCAGCTGCCGTCTCGAGGGCCAGCCGCTGCAGGTCCTCGTGTCGCCGAAACTAAAGTCCTCGCACGATGCTTTTCACTTCGCTCGAAGGTTCACTTTGGATGAGTCGGACTACGAGAACCTTTTCCAAGCTTGGCGAGATGCGGACGGCGATGCCAAGTTGGCGGCTTGCAGGTGGCTACAGCGTGAGGGTACATCTCGATGGGGCAGCTGGATAAGGTTCAGCAAGCAGGTGCGAATGGTTGAGGAGTTTCCTCCCATGACGGGCTGCTTTCCGACGTTTTACATCTTCTTTCTCTTGCCCTTTGCCAGCCTGAGATCCTCACGGTTTTGCTGATTTTGTCCTATTCTGACTTTCTGGGGGCAGAAGTTTTCAGAGGTACAAGCGCCATATCATAGTTTTACAGCTGTAGCAGCAGCAAAAAGTCCGCACCAGTGCAATCCCACAAACGATGTGAGTTTTTGGAAGCTAATCTGAATGTGATGAGACTCGGTTTGAAGAAAGCCCACGTGCTAGCAGTGTAGGGTCGCCGTCCGGTGCTGCTTTTAGCGGTCATCTGAAGTTCTTCCGGTATACAAGTACTCTATTGACTGCCACGTCGAGTTGAACTTGAACTTGTTTTTCCCCGTCGGAACGAAATGCAAAGCTCTCGTGAATAGATTTCACAAGGAACTCTGATCAAGGTTGCTTGGCTTGCAACTTCGTCGATACAATCCGCCGCTATCGGACTGCAGGTTCCAAGCATGATCGAAGTTGTGCGTTTCAATCTTCATGTCGTCGCAACTACGCTCTTGGTTAAGCTTGAGTCTGGGAATCATTGCTGTGGGACTCATTGTTTGTGACTGTTGGTGGTCTGTTCTGTCTGTCCATGTAGGTGTGTCTGTTTTCTGTATACACCATGCTGCAGACGGCAACAAAAGCGAAGCAACAACAAATTGAAAACGCAGAGCGCTCAGTTCGAACTTAAAAATGACCGGGGCACTCCTGCACTGAGGACCTTGGGAACAGCAGTCCTCTTCAAGCTGCCCAGGATGCTGTGGGCCTGTAGAAAGCGGCTCCGTTGGACATGTCAGTCCTTCAACAATCCGAATTGGGAACCCACAGACTTGTCCGACATCGAGCGGCGGCAGAAGGATCGCGCTCACTACACCCGGGCAGACTTCACCTCCAAGCTTGTCGCTTGCAAGCATGTCCAATTCGTGGAGGTCAAGATGGCGCTTCTACGAGGCTCCATGGGCTTCGCGAGCTTCTATCGCGACGAAGAAGAGTTCCTCTTGGCGAATGGAGAGAGTAGGCTTCCCCCGCCTGCAGGATCGTGTTTCCGGCAGATGTACACCTCACCCATGCAGGTCTTGGTCTACATCATGACTTCCGGTTTGATGCGGACTGCGTTCAGTGCCTTGACCTTTGCATTCGCCTCGGGGATGGTTGGGGCGCTCCTTGCAGAGGTGAGATCGACGATTGCCAAGAACAAGCAGGTGGACCCCACTCTTCAAGACGAAGACTGGTACACGCTCTTCTTGATGAACATGCAGACCGTGGCTGGAATCATGGACGATTTCAAATTCCTACCTACCTTCTTCATCACGTATATGATAGGGCAGGATGTCACCCGCTGGCTCAAATGGCTTCAGACCATGCGCCTTAGCCGCAGGAGCCAAAGCACTGGATCCTTCTAGGGTTTGGGCGTCTGACCCCCTTTTGCAAAGTCATTGGCATCATAGGAGCCAGCTGACTGTGGATTTGTAGAGCCAGACAGATTGCAGCCTCTTCCGGACATGCTCATCTAGTCATGTGGCTGTTCATGCAATGCTTGTTGCAAGCTCCTTCTGAGGTTCAGCATCCAGGGCCGACTGCATGATGTTACCTTGGTGGTTGCCAGCTCGTACCGGAAACTGAATGATCCGCAAGTGGGCAAGCAGCAGCGACAAATGCTGTTCAAGTGGTACAGGTATCTCAATGCGATACATTATTTGGCCTATTTCAAGCTCGACCCGCGCATAGGAACATCTCCAGATCAGGTTGTACAGGACTGTTGGGGCTTGGAGCGGCAACCCGCCCCGTGGTGCTCTGTAAAGTTGCACTTGCTTGGTCGTTTTTTTGCAAGGAGTAAGCTTTATTTGCCACTAACGGTGAGCACGAGATGCTATCTGCGCACGTTCTTATTTGCAGGACCTTCGGACTATGGGATTGCTCTTGGATAGTGAGTGCCAGCAGATACTTATGGCCAGTGCGAAGCTCCGGGACACCCTCGTATCCTGGCTTGGTACTCTCCTCAGTTGCTGAGTATTTCTTGTTCGACTTGCCATCATGTACTGATCCCAGAGGGTGTCTGCTGTTGTTGTATAAGACGTGAATGGCTTACACTGCCGTCGAGATGCAGGTATTCTCTGGCATGACGAGCTCGAGCGCGGATGGGTTCAAGCAGTAGACTCGGATGTATTTATGCGAAAAGTTTGTGACCTTCGTGGCATCTTAGCATCCCTTGCGGATATGCCAGATATGCAGACGCCGGAGTCTCAGTGTTCACCTGCGGCTACAGTGTAATACTTGCAAGAAAGGCAGGCTAGCCCGCGTGACTTTGTAAGAGCAGATCTGATCAGGAGCCAGCTGATTCGGGTCATGATGGTGGTGGTAACGGACATCTTGCTGGCATTGGCTCTGGTTGGTTACCCGACAAAGATGTACGAGGAGACCAAACAGTGCTTCCAATTTTGGCCTTTGGTCGCCTCCTATCTGTACTATGTGTGCTACAGGGGCATGCTCCATGCCATGTTCGTGTTGGACAAGGGGCCTTTCTATGGCAAAGGGGACTGTGTCAACGTAGATGCTCTGCTTGTCAGCACAGAGCGCTTTGCCTTCCATGTGTTCCGCACATCCTTTAAGACGCTGAAGTCCGACTTCAGTCGATATGCCCCAAAACCTGATGAAGTTGGTCCTGTTAGGGCAAGCTCACCTTAAAGAGGTCTTTGTGCCATGCTGCGCAAGAGTTTTGTATAGATGCATTGCGAAAATTCGATTGCCACAACGCTAGCTAGTCGGCTTCCTTATGAGGCCTTGCCCAGATTCTGATAATGACGACCCAGCAATCGCCGGTTGCCTAAGAAGGCAGGGGCGATTTGATTTGGCGATTTGGTACCTGGTATAGTATTGATACAAATTGTACATTTGAAGCACAGAACGACCACGGTTGAACTGTTAATGGCGACACAGCTCCAATGACAAACATGTTGAGCTGTATCGAATTCTTCGGGCCATGAGAGCCGCTGCATGCAGACCCTGGAGACGCTTCCACGCTTCAAGTTCAAAGAACTCCACCACGAAGTCAAGGAAATCAAGGCGAGCACCATTCCGCTGAGCACGGAAGCATGGCATGATGTTTGAGCCTGCAGCAACGTGGGGCTCACCAGGGAGGTGCCTCCCACCGAGCCCCTTTTCCGTCTCAATGATGCGAGCCGTGTGCCCAGAAGCAGAGCTGCTTGTGTAAGCAGAGCGTCCCCCCTTGTCCCAAAGCCTAAAAGCCAATAAAAGCCCTGGACCCTATCTGCCCAGACCGCAAATTTTCGTGTTGCGGGTTTCTTTGCGCTGCTCAGATGCTGAGCTGGGCATTCCTCGGGCTTGCCCTGGGCGCGCAGGCCACCTTGCTGAGACTTTCCAGGTTCTCTCAAGCAAGTAGGCCTAGGGGGTTTACGCGTGGGTGCTAACCATGTGAGCAAATTACCAGCTAGAAGAAGCACTCTCAATCTCCCCAGCATCCTCCTCAAGCTGTGCTGCTTGTGGTGTGAGCAGGAATGGGTGCTTTTGCTTTTGCACCTGACAGAGTCCCGCAGCATTGATCGTAGAAGCCCGACACTAATGTCCTATCCCACCTATCCATGACTACTTCTGGGGGCATTTTCAGGGGTTTAAGGTTCCAGTTCAGACTCGTGTGCCCCATGTCAACCCTCTATCAAAACCCCTCAACCAACCACATTCAACCACCAAATTAAATCGTTCCTGGTATATTATCATAGGGCTTCTGTAACCGTCCAGGGCGACAAGGGACCATCATGTAGAGGGCAAGTGAAGGAACCTCAGAGGTGTAGGTTGCTCTCCATCTGGTGATGGAAAGCAAACCCGGGTTGAGAGCCGCAGCTCCCTGAAATGCAGAGGCCAGCCCCGTTCTCCGGAGTGGCTCCCTCAGTACGGTGACGATTTCAAACATGGAGCAAATTTGGAGTTGTCAGAGGGGAGAGAAGCTCTTTCAGGGCCGTCGAAACTGGATGACGACGCCGGGCTCCCGATTTCGTTGCAAGCTTTCTGTGTTTTCAGTGGCTCCGCGTGGCTGTGCCATTATCATCCTCAACCTTATCACGCCATCAGCACAACAATCACCACCGTCATTCCCACCATCACACTCGTCGTCGTAATCGCCATCATCATCAGCATGGTTTCTTTCATTGTTGCGGTGGTCGGCATACATTCTATCAAGGCGTGTTAATGGGGGGCTCTCTGAGCCTGTGGGAGGTTTCGATCCTGACTTTTGCTAGGCTTTTGCTAGGCGTCTTTGATGAAGTTCAGGAACTCGGGGGCGGTTATTGCGCCCTTCTACGCCCCATACAGTAGGCGTCTAACCGCCTTCTGAAGGCACCGGGATGGCTTGGCCTCCACGGCCTGTACGCCAGAGCGGAGGCGTCCCTCGCGGGACTCCTGATGCCTGGTTCAGCTCCCCACGAGGTGTGGGGGTTTGGGCCAAACGGTTTGGGAAAAGGGCTTTCACTGCTTCCAGCCTGCGCACCCACAGGAGAAGCAGGAGAAGCAGGAGAAGCCAGAGGCTGCTACTAGCACCAGCGACACTGGCGCTGATGCTACCGACGCGCGACATGATGCTGGAGTTGTGGTGGAGACCAGGATTCTGTCCGTCAATAACAACAGGACTTCTGCTGAGAAGCCGGCTATCCAGACGCGGCAATCGACGGGGGAGAGCGGAAATTTCACCGTGCACATGTTGTCGAACGACGTGACGCCCAACAAATCCACCGACCCCAAGGTGAAGGTAGTTCCACGGCCGACCAAAGCTCCCAGCAAGGACGACTTTGTGATTCACATCAAGTCTTTGGAGCGGGTGGATGGGAAGAAGCCTTTCAGGCGATCCAAGTCCAAGAGCACCACAATGCCTTCTGAGAAGCGCGCGGCCACAACAACCAAAGGCAACGTTCAGATCAACGTGTGGACCATCACGGAAGCCCCGCAATCCGAAAGCAAAGTGAAGCCTTCACGCTTGGAGTATGACAACGGTCCATGGGCCAACGATTGGGGCGCAGAGCTCAGTTACTTAACTTGACATGCCAAGTGATCGAACTCGAGCGCTGCCACGAACCAAGGAGATGAGTGGAAATTGGAGGCGGACGAGCCTAAACAGCAACGGAAAGTGAAGGACCCCCTGTCGCTGTTTTATGGAGTATATATGCTATCAGTGTACAAAAGCGAAGGCGCAGAAGCATGCAGAAACTCTTCTTGTACTTCGAGAAATTTGAGAATCAAGCCTCAACTTCCCGCAACCTGGCATCAGGAGCTGCCGGTCTACGAGCAGTCCTTTCAAGGGTGATCACATGTATGCGCTGTGCAGATTGATTGCCGTAGGATGCCGTAGGTAGAACTGGCTACGTCATTCTGAATCAGCGTGGGCGTGTTCACTCGTAGAGAGGCAGCAAAAAGAGGGCTGCCACTGCTCTTTACATTGTTGTTGTTTCGGGCAGGGTTGGGTCATTCCATGGTTCATTGGTGTTCAGTCACTTCTGAGATCAAGTTTCTCCTCAGGTGCAGCATGTTATGCTGTCGTGATACATGTGTAGGATGGGGGCCTGACACGAAGCTGTTCGAGAATTTTCGCTCTGTCTGCTTCTTGTGCCTGCTCTGCCACAATCTGCATGTGGGACTGTTGACGGGGGAGTGTATGTCCCATGGAGCCCTATGGGAGTTTACGAAAACAAGGGACCCAAATATGGACCCCCTAAATAGTAGGATTCTCTTATACAAGGACCCCAAAAGCGTACCCCAAATTTCAGGAGTTCCCCTAATTATTGGTAATCTCGCACGTGCGGTTCAAGCATGCCCTGGTCGCTTTTGCTGTCATGGTCTGTCAGTGCATGGGCCAGCCAGCAGCCCTTTGGATATCATTCACAAGTTGTTTCCAAGTACGTGGACGCCTTGCGAGAAGGGAAGTTCCATTGCTTTGATGGATCCGCTACCCTGCCTGCGACTTCTGTGAACGACGACTTCTGCGATTGCGCCGATGGATCCGATGAACCTGAAACAGCTGGCTGCGCGGGCAGCGGGGGTACCACTTTATTCTACTGTCCAAATGTAAACTCCATCCCCCGGCTCATCTACACGTCACGAGTCGGCGACGGCATCTGTGACTGCTGTGACGGTACCGACGAGAGATTTTCAAGCTGCCCCAACACCTGCAGTCTTGAAGGGCCTACGCTGTATGCTCGGCAGCCACTCGACCGCTTGATGGCTATAAGTTAGAATGCTGCTGCAACCATCACATTGGCTGTGTGGGATGAGAAATCTTCCGCCAAGTAGCAGCAAAGCCTTTCCTTGTTGCTAACACTCTGACTTGACAGCATCGCATTCCCACCTAGCTGAGCAGGGTCGATAGTTGCTGATTGCTTTTTGCAATTGTTTGCTGCACCCCCCCCATGCTGAATGTGCTGGCTCCGCTATCGTCACTCTTTTCTACTACAACAACTGCTGCTGCTGCTGCTGCTGCTCCTGCTCTGCTGCTCCTCCAAGACCTGCGCGTATTGCACTCGTTTTTGTTGTGGGCAGCGCTGTGTCTGCGTACGTGCACAGTTCCGGCACCTCCCTCAGAAACACACTGTGGCTCACGTCCTCTCAGTAGGGCTTCGGAAGGCCTCTTCGTCGCAGCTTCGACTCTCCGGGTTAAACTACGTTATGCTACGTTCGCGTAAGAACTGCAGCAGGCAGGCACGACAAGCGGCTCGGGAGCGGGGCCGAGAAGTGCGCCGAAGTGGCGAGGCGGAAGCCGTTGAGCAGGCCTTAGGGCCTCTGCAAACTTCTGCTAAGGACCCTAAGGGCGCACCAGTGTGTCACTCTGAGGGCTTATAACTTGAGGACATTTTGTGGGTCAAAAGAGACTTTGGCCAGTGCTCAGAAGATATCACCCGATAGTGAGGTTGATTGCCAGCCTAAGCTGTACATCTCCATTCCGGGCCCTGGGCCTTTGTTGGAATTGGAACCCTGAAGTATAAGACTGGAGTGTACCGTAGGTTCCCAGGCAATGGGCAGTTTCAGAGAGCTAACAAGTCGCAGGGGCTTGTTGATCCCTTGGGATTGAACGCGTGTTCGTGGATGTGTCGGGATATTGGGGGCAGACCTAGGTGATAAGGGTTTGGTTCTCACTTGTCGTGTGCTCCTTATAGTTTAGGGCCGTTTAGGGTGCGCAAGATCGCAAATGAAGCACAGCCGGCCTACCCGAGATCACCGTTCAATGTTGGCAGAGTCGGCCTGAGATCAGGTTGCAAAGTGGGAAGAAGAGCGGGAAGGCCTCGGAAATGACCCAGAAAGTGCAGCACCTTAGCCCAGTTTATCTCTCTTCTCCGAAGGGACCCGAGATCTCATGGCAGGTCTGAAGCAGCAGCTGGCTTTGCTGAGCGCTGGCTCGGTGTCCGAAAGCCCGGAGAGTCTACCGAGGCCAGGGGCCTTGGCGCCCTTGGCGCCCTTGGCCTCGGAGACAAAGGGGACCTCGGGCATCTCGGAGTATGCCCAATGGGCCTTGCAGGATGCCTTACAGGATGCCAAGGAAACCTCTAAGCCCACTGTGGATTCTGGTGTCCAGTGTTGGACTGGAGCTTTCGCAAACGCGAAAGACGTCTGCTGTGACAGGAGCCAGGGGCCCACTGGAAGGTCGGACTGCTGGGACGGTGTGTATACCTTCAAGACATGCTGTGACACTGACAGGCCCACCGACATAAGCGGATCACAGAGGCAAGGCACACCTGAAGAGGTGTCGAGGCAATCCCGGAAAGTCAAAGGCAGACTCTTCACCATTGAGAGGAAGCTTGCAGCCATGGAAAGTGGCCTTCGCTGGTTTTCCTTGGTAGAGAGATGTGTGGAAGGGCGCTTCACCGGCAAGGATTTCAAGCTCTGCTTTTTCCAGGATGCACGACAAGCCTCCGTCCACGTGGGCAGTTTCGATGGCTGGGAGGGGAACGCCATGTTATACACTGGAGGCCAGAGGTGCCCAGCCGGGCCGTCAAGGTCAATGAAGGTCTGGCTGACCTGCGCAGGGGATGTGGAGTCCCTCACCCTAGTTCATGTGTGCCATGCTTGCAGCATTTGCACGTGCTCATTCACATTGATGATATTGATGCTTACTGATGTGACCTGTCCGTGCCCGCTGTCATCTCAGGTTGCTGGATGTTTCAGAGGTCTCACTTTGCACCTACGAGGCTGTTGCGAGCACCCCCGGAGCTTGCGAGTTGGTAGACGTTTCGGAAACGAAGGATGAACACATTCTTATGCCTCGTGACGAGTTCTGAGGGGCGGCAAGACATGTGCAGGCTGTCCATGTGTCAGACTTCCCGTTTGAAGCTGTGCCCAGTGCCCGTAGTGGTCCAGTCTGTATAGTTGCATGATGCCGCGCGTAGTTGCGACGACCTACTGATAACTGTGATGCTACATGCGAGTGATGTGACAGCAGAGCTATGCATGACAAGCTTGCGATAGCTCGTGTTGAGGTTTGCGGGCCTTTCGTTTTTATAGTTGCTGCAACAACTCGGCTGGCTGGCAGTTGGATGGAGATCTAGGTCTAGGTAGAGCATGCATCGGCAGATATCGGCAGACACATTATCCTGCAAGCACGTGCCACCCAGCTACTTGATGCGGATAGAAGAATACATTGATCTTAGCTTTGATCTTGTGGGCCCGCATTTGTTTTTGCCAGGTGGGTAAGGCTCTTGGGCACGTACCTGAGTTGAGTTGCAGCACTCTACTCACCCAAGCTTGGCTTTCCCCCATCTCATGTCTTTCTTATCTCCATGACTTCGAGCCATTAGCATCTCCGATGGCGGATGCCGATGAGGACACGCAGCTGCTGGGTTCGGGAAATCATGAGGGGCATGTCAATGTGTGGGGTCTTTGCACTTAGCCATGGCAAGCTGCCTATGAAGGCCAGCATGGAAGCTGAATTGCACTTAGAGGATGTTGATTTGAAAGGAGGAGGACACACTGGGGAAGCTCCGGCAACCGGCACCCCCAAGGCCTTTTCTCAGCAGGGCGTAGATTCCCTGGAAGCAAAGCTGAAGCTGGGGGATTCAGATGTCGCCGTTTCGTCCAGGCCGCCCTCGGAAAGAGCAGACATCTCAGAGAGTGCCCAAAACGAGGACAGGCCCACAGCTGGCGTTGAAGGGCTGGTCTGTCAGAAGCTGCAAGCAAGATTTGCTCGACTGCCCCCTCCCTCCCCTCCTGTGCCCTCCACGCCGGCACCGCACGGCACCGCACGGCACCGCACGGCATCCACACGGCATCCACACGGCATCCACATCAAGTTCAAAAGGTTTTGAACATGGTCCCTTGCACCGGCTCCAAAACGATAAAGCCGAGGCGATGTCGAACAGAACCATAAATTAGGATACAGCAACTACAAAGTTATAAGCACTTTCGCTGAGCAGGCCCCTCATTCATGCCCTCTCCCCCGCAGGGCGGGGTTGGGCGCCAGAACTTGGGACTTCGGGAGTTCTACGTGCCACGATACCACCCAGGGACAGCAGCTTAGGTGTCACCTTTGTATCGCATCATTCAAGAGACAGTCTCCAGGCTGACGCCGACCCGGGGGAGAACCGTGAAGAGCCGAGCCGCCTTGTCCAAGACAACGGCGCCCAGGCGCAGCGTGGCCAGGTTGCCCAAGCAAGCCCAAGTCCCTTGCGTGTGGTTAGTAGTTGTGGTTAGCTACAATGCAAGCTAATCAGGACGACAGCCTGAAGCATCGCTCGGCGCTCGACGAACTTCTGCAAAAAGCAGAGGCCAGGGCATGCAAAAAACGCCGACTGTAGCCTTTCAGTTTCCGATACGCTGAGGTACGGCACAAATGCGGGTGCGTGGGTGGGTGTGTGGGGTGGGTGCGACATGCATCGAAGGGGCATGAAGCAGCAAACTGCCTCATGTCAACCTCGGTGCTCCCGCCCCGCATTGCATGACTAGAGGTCACGGCGACCTTTCCTACTGTCCTGTGCCAAAAACGTATCAACAGAGCTGAAACCCAGCAGGCTTCGTGGAACAAGGCGAGAGGCTTCGATGCTTCGCAACAACTCCCAGCGCATGACATGTTGGGTTCCACTCCTGGACGTATGCCGGAGTCCAATCTCCTTCCATTTGCATTCGGCCACGCGCAATTCGGAGCTTTAGCAGGGACTGCATGTCAGATTGCTTACAGAGTCTTGTAAGTCGAGTTTCACAAGTGTTCGTACGCTTGTCTCATTTCGGTTTGCGCTTCTGTTCCGCCTGCGGCCTCTACTCACGTTCTCTGTGCAGGCTTCGCCCTTGGAGTCGCGAACAAGCGCGGCACCAGACCGCAAGCCTTCAACTCCGAACCTTCTTGACATCTTCGAGAAGGTCCAGCTGGTTGGTGTGTGGAATATTCGTGCTCTCGCACACTGTGCAGGACGTGCCTCGCCGCCCTTCCTTCTCGCCCAGAGTTTCCGAAGATGCGGTGACGGCGTCTCTCCCGGCGTCCCTCTCGACAGCCCTGGTCCAGGCGCGCGAGGCGCGCGCCGCGGCCACCGCAGAGCGTGCCGAGCGCACGGAGCGTGTCAGCGGGAGTCGCAGCACGAGCAAAGACTCTGTGCGAACGGATCTTTCCATGAATGTCGATTGGGCATCCAGCAAAGCCAAGGACGGGTGCTCAAGGGAAGAAGTCCTTTGTTGTCAGCAAGTCCGAGCTCATGGGTTGTGCGAAAAATGCTGCTTTCGCCTGAAGGATATGTTCAGGAAGGGCGTCATGTCGTCCAAAGAGGAAGCACTGAGTCATACTCCACTGGTTGACATTCAGAGGAGCGGGTGCCGAATGAGACTAACCTGTCTTGCTAGGCCGCCGCTCGGTCTTCTTCATCATCTGCTCGTGCCAGGAACCGAGCCATGCGATATGCGAATGGCAAACAAGTGGCAAACATCGGGTTTCGGGACCTGAAGTTTCCTCCAGGCACTATGGGTCCAAGCATTTGTCCATCCAAGCTTTCAGATTCGTGGGTTAGCGAGGCCTTCCCCAAAGAGCAGCTCAAGAAAATTGGCCTGTCCTGCATGTTTGCTGTACCGCTTCGCACGGCTTTGCCATGCCCTGAATCCTCATGAAGAATCCGCAGCATGAGAACCACTCTTGAACCAGCGATGCTAGCCAATCGTTAACGAGAGAGAAAGAGAGAGAAGCCCAGCACGAGAAGAAGAAGAAGAAGAAGAAGAAGAAGAAGAAGAAGAAGAAGAAGAAGAAGAAGGAGAAGACAAAGAGAGAGAAAGAGAGAGGGGGCAAGGGAGGGAGGGTGAGTGAGGGAGTGAGTGAGTGAGTGAGAGAACAGATGCCCCGTTTGTTGGGTGCCGCTTGAAATCTACTAGCCGCTGTAGCCAGGTGATGAGCTCCGCGAGATGAGAGAGCGGTACGAGGCGGCACCGCTCGGCGGTGGCTATTTATCCTGACTCCGACCTGGACACTTTTGTTGCATTTTGTTGCGCCAGTCCATATTTGTGGAGAAGCTGGATTTCTTCTCCGTGGCCGATCGCGTTGCCAGGCTTCGTCGTGTCCCGCAGTCTTAAAGGGTTAGTTATTTTGGCGTCAGGTTGGAGACCTCGTTGGAAGAGCAGCTAGGAAAAGGAGGCCGGGAGTTGTAAGGCTGCTGGACTGCTCTTGCCCAAACTTCCAGCCACAAGAGTCTCAGGCAACTTGCCCACTGCGCTCTCAGCCCTCAGATCGGAGAGCAAGCCAGAGAGCTCAGGGTGTTGTGCGCCGTTGTGGCACGTAAGACGTAAGCTGCAATGGGCACCCGAGAGCGGGAGGCAGCACCTGGTTGATCACCATGACGTCTTGGGAAAGATTGCAGAGATCAGCAAGTGGCTCAGAGATACGCGAGTAGCATGCAGAAATCCTCATCCCGTGTCCTTTGCTCCGTCTGAGCAGCCAGTAGAAGGTAGGCAGTCTCTAGGCAGCACTGTGAACCGCAGGGCCATGGTCTCATGCCAAATGAGTCAATCGCGCCACTTGCAGATGCTGCCACGGTCAACAACACGGCTCGCCTCCGCGATGTCTGCCTGGCTTGTTGTGTCGAAGCTGGTGGAAGCTGACCATCTCGTGCACATTTCCTCGTGTTGGGCAGTGCGACCAGGCATAAACAGAGCCCCTGAACCCCTCCCCTGCCGCTGACAGGAACAACATCGCGTCGAGAATGCCGCAGACCATGCGTTCCGCACGGCCAAGAATCTGGAGCAGGCGACTGGTCAGGTACTGTACTGTAGCCAACGTCTGTCTCCGACTGCGCTGTGCCACGTTCATCAGCCTTCCACGCTAGTGACTAGTGTTGACACCAGTGAAGGTTAGCAACAGTCTCACGTTTACCAGGGAGGCCTGCACTTGCACAGCCTGGCAGCATTCGTTTCACATTTATCACAGCCGATATCAGCCCATGTTTGGGCTTCGGCAACTTGAGAGGCTTTGGGTGAGGACGTGACGCGCATGGCCAAGGCCGTGCAGGCCAGGGCCAGTCGTGTTCGGCCACGCTCGGCCATGGTCGGCGTCTGGATTCTGGATAGCCAGGCCTTAGCCACAGAGGTGAAAACCATCGATCAGGACGCTTGGGACGCTTTGGAAGCTTGCAGGGTATGCATGCGTAGACGCTCCCCAAAAAGGCATGTCCGAGCAACCCCGCGGCCCAGGAGCATCGGACCTTCCTCGCTCAGCAGGCCTCGCCTCAACAAGGGCAGCCAGCCTCGGCATGATTGGATAGCTCAAGCTTTAAGTACTTTGCAAGGCCAACGAAAAGGCGTCCATGGAAGGCCTCGGCAAATGCGGATCTCAATGCCTGAGCATTGGCTAAGCCGGCTAAGCAGTGTAGGAGGCGATGGCTACCGGGGCTGGTTCATCAAGGCAGTGCTTGGCTTTCTGTGACGAACTCTTGTGCCACTTCCTGGTGCTCCTTTGCTGTGTCTGACAGATCAAGCAGCAAATGCAAGACCAGGAGCCGAACCCTCTTTTTGTTCTTCTTCTGTTTCTCTCTCTCTCTCTCTCGCTCTCTCTCTTTTTTGTGCTGCTTGGGAGGAGTATCTGCACTCCGTCATGGTGTGCGGCTCTTGGTCTGCACTTTCCTTCAAGCACCAGAGGCCTTCGAAAACTGGAAAGAAGCCCTAAGTCAACGGAGGAAAGGAGACGAGCTTCTAGACAACCCTTTACCCCTCTTCCATGTGGATCTCCATGAGTGTCGTAGATTCAACATGTTTACAGCCTTCCGAATGTACAAAAAGGTTTCGGGCCACCGAGTGGTTGCAGCATGAACGCTGCAGAATATGCCATATTTCATACCTACGGTTTTATCATAGGTGTGCCAGAATGCGCTGCTTACTCTTGTGCCCCTGAACATTTCCAACTCTCTGAGAGTCCTCGTAGAGATTCTTTCAATGGCCCTGGATCTGCAGATGAGTGCCATTTAAGGCCATTTAGGGTTTATCTCCCAGGCGCGACTTGCAGTATGTCAAGCAGCAGTTCGACTCCTGCGCGACAGAGGCAGAGTTGAGCCATGGTTCCACTGGTGAAGGAGTTCCTAAAGCAGCCGTTGGCCAGGCGGACCTGAAAACAGTCCAGGAGAAGCTGCAAGACCTGGAGGAGGAGAACGGGAGGCCACTGTGCTACACTCTACTCACTTTTTTTGGAACTCTCCACCACCGTTTCAAAGTAGTTCGAGGCTTCAGGAATTCGTGCATGAGAAGTTCTTCGAAGTACAGCCCAGATCCCAGCGCTCGGTCGACAATTGCCAGTTGCCTTGAGCAGTTGAAGAAACTGCTCTGAGGGACCAAGAAAGACGGGAGATGATGGACAAGTTCGCAGCAAAGTGGGATCCGTGCGCCCAGCAGTTCATTGTGCACCAACACCGTAGACACAGCATATCACCGGAGGAGGCAGATCCTTGATCCTTGATGGCGGACAAATAAATCTCTTGCTTGATTGTTCCTCGCAGGTACAACAAAGGTCGCCTGCTTCGAGGAACGCTGGAGCACTGGGCTCTCGCCCAAGTTTATCTCTATAATGAAGCACTTTGATGTGTGCTTAGATTGGAGTGCAAGTGCTGGGTGGACTGTGAGGCCAATTTCGTTCGACACATGAACAAAACAAGAGAGGCCAGCTATTTCATCAGCTCGTCCTGAGAAGCCATTCAGCAATGGATAGCAATGCATGTCTGGATTGCAAGGCTCTGCGACGAGTCAAGCAGGTGTACGTGAAAGGCTTAGTCAGTCGCCTCAACCACATTCAGATCCGCATGAGCTGCATTGCGACGTGTTGCGGGCTACGGTGAGACTGTCCTGACAAGGCCAAGACGCACATCACGTCCCGCTTGAGATCGTGGTGGTGCGTGGCAAGATCTCGCTAGTAAAGAGTCTACAGTCGCAAATCGCATGGGTCGCCTGAGTACGCAGCCGCTGAGCCCTTTCTGTCCAGGATGGCCTGTGTGAGCTTTGTATGAGGTATCTCATGCAGAGGGACCACACGGACAGCCAGTTCCGAAGCCTGTCTGAAAACCTGGAGACGCAGGAGGCACATGGCCCCTCTGGTTTCGATTTACTCAGAGTGTCCCTTTGCAGGCAAAGCTGGAAGGTGCTCGTGGAGCCCTTTTGAGACACGAGAAGGTTACGGCCGAGCAGGCCTGAAGTGTTGCTCCTTCTCTCCCCCTCTCGCTCTCTCTCGCTCTCTCTCGCTCTCTCTTCCCCTCCATCTCTCTGTCGCTCGCCGGTTTCACCGGACAGAGGGCTGTTTGTTGCTCCCTCTTGCTGCCGTGCCGCCAGAGCCGAAGTCTCCAGTACAGAGTTCTTGCAGTCATGCACTCGGGACCGCGTGTTCTTGGGGAATGGACAGTGGAATGCGTGCAACGTCGAATGGACACTGCTTGCCCTCCGCTCGCTGGAGAGCAAGGTCGAAAAGGGCCTCGAGGCCGCCGAACGCGACAAGGTCTGCTGAGAGGGTTTAGGGTTTCGGGTATAGGGTTTAGGGTTTAGGGTTTAGGGTTTGGGGTTTAGGGTTCTGAGAGTGTCCGGAGAGCACGGCACGTTACGTGGAGTGATGACAGTCATGATGCCGAGCTCGAAACACGAGGCCACCAAGGAGGAAATGCACGAGAAGTTCAACGCAATTGAAGACCGATTGCAAAAGGAGACGTGGCAGAAGTGCTTCCATCGCTCCCATGAGACTCAACCCCTTCTAGGCTTCAATATGCCGCGCCCTGAACCCAAAGTCCCTCAAACCCTGGGAATTATACCATCTTACATAGGAACATATTGCCATGTTCTTGTATTCTTATATTACCATTATGTTACTCGTAGTGTGTGTATATTTTAAAGTGTTTGGTGTGGGTGTTTTTTCTTATAGGAGCTCTCCCTTGAGCCGATCCGCCAAGCCTTGGCCGAGCTCCAAGCGGATGTCCGCCGGCTTCAGGTGACTTGGAAAGGGTTTAGGGTTTAGGGTTTAGGGTTTATTGTTTGGGGTTTGGGGTTTAGGGTTTAGGGTTTAGGGTTTAGGGTTTAGGGTTTCGGGGTCTGCGCCCCCTTGCTTTCTTTCAGTTCATAAGAGGGAAATGGGGAGGCGGGGGGGCATGCAGCCCTTGGAGCACCAGAAAAGTCTTCAAAGTTCTTACGGCAGGCCCGTGTCAGCCCCAAAGCCCGAAAGCGAGGCTGTTGGCAAGATACACCGTGATAGACGATGCACGGCATGGGTATCAAAGTGACCGGAAGCTCGAGACAGTGTGGCTTGAGGTCTAGTAATGTTTGGTATGATGTGTAGAGCCCCGGTGTACTTTCATAGACATTTGGCGGCTGCATTTTTTTGCTTCCGGTTTCTATAGATGTTCATTGGTGCCAGGTGCAGAAACACGATGAAGCAGATGCTGCTGTGGACCGCGAGAAGGCCACAGAGTTGCTGCGAAGTCATTAGCAAGAAGAATTGTTCAGCAGAGTCGCATTTTTTTTGCGCGAATAGTGGCATGATGTGGCATGCAAGGCAAGGTCGTGCTGACATTTTGGCTCTTCGGCAAATCTTCGTTGCTAGAATGCTAGAACCGCTTGGAATTTACTCATGCTCCACTGCCGAGCCATGCGTTGGCCACAGTTGGCTGTTGCCCGGTGCCCAGTGAAACGGAGCCGTGCCTCGTGGAGCAACCATCCCGTCTATGCGATTCGTTATCCCGTTGCCCAGACGCTGGCCTTGTCCAGCACAGCTGGTGATGTTGGTGCCGGTGCAGCACGAGGATCCTCTGCAGCGATGCGCGTCGCATTTCTTCTGATCATCTTCCGGTCAGAGTGCTCAGGACTGGGCATCGGGCCTCTGTCACATCTCCTCCAGAATTGCCAAGGATGGCTGCCAGACTCTGCCATGGGAGTGAGAGTCCATGTGAGCATGATTGCCGGACAGGAGGGCTTCGGGAAGCAAGACAGCAGGAGGGGCGGAATAGGGCCTATGCTAAACGGGGGGCTGCGTCGCGGGATTGCAGCGATTTGAAGTAGGCCTATAGAGTATATGATTGCAGCGCAGAGTGCTTTTCGGAAGGTGAGCCTGGCTGTCGACCTAGCGCAACGTGCATCCAGCTGCTGTGCGGAGCTCCCTACGGCCATGCCTGGATGTTTCGGGTTCAGGACTGCGACGGTGCTCTCTGCTTGCGTGGTCTTGCGTGCAGGCCTGGCTGGAGACGCGAAGCCAGAGGCCTCGTCCAGCTTTTTAAGTCGGGAGCATTGTCTTGTTCAGCACCCGCCACCGACGTGTCATATGTAATGGGAGATAATGGGAGTCAATTGGCATCGCACGAGTTGATCAGAGTTGGTCACTACCTCCTTGTCTCGTGCCAGCTGGTGGCAATTCAGCGATGTGGAAAGCCTAGCGATAGCCTAGCGGGCCCGAGCTGTTTCAGGGAAAGAGACCACGAGAGAGCGCGCTAGAGGCATGGCCGCCCCACGTGGCGAAGCTTCTCACCTCTTTGACAGTACGCCGTTCGATGTGTGTGAGAGAGCGTCGCCAGTCTAATTCTTCACAGTGCCGGTTTAGGGGACTTTGATATAGGAGGGGGCGCGAGAAGCCACGGAGACTTGCAAGGCGGGTGTACGGACCTCAGAAGAAAGTGCTGTCAAAGTCCTGTCAAACGGTTGAAAGTGCAAAAAAAACCAGAGCAAATCATAGGTCGCTGCTGCCCTTCGATGGGCGGAAGCTGCTTCGCAGCCGTGTCAGTCTCCAGGCCGCGGCAGCGTGACTGCAGAAGAACGGATACATACGGATGCCTTGGCTCTGCTCAGACCCGATTGCTTGGGAACCTTTTCCCCCATGAGGCACATCAACTTCCGAAGCAGAGGCCCGGACCCTAGGTGCACAGACTGGGTCGAGACTCGCATTCCAGTCTCCCAGGCCACGGCAACTCTGCACGTTGCGCTGGAGGCGGCAGAAACATTGGCAACTGCAAGGACGGAAGCGTGTTGCTTTCAAAGCAGGCACCGACACCCCCAGCCCGACCCAAAGCATGTACTACGATCAGGACCAATCTGATGCTGGTGACAGCAGAGCTGATAGAAAGACACTGGAGCAGCAGGCTGGGCCCCTGGGCCCTGGCCGAACCTTTTGTGGACTTGTCTGAGAAATACTTGATGTATGCTGAAGCGGCTCATGGTTGCTTGGTAACTCGAGGCCGCTTGCTCAACTTCTCCGAAGCCTCTCACTAGGCACGCGTGGCGCCCCAGAGGCATATTCTCACGGCCGCTTGCGATCAGCGTGACCTGACTGTCATGATTGCACCTGATACAACCTGCGAGCCTGCCAGCCAAGACGTGTGACCTGGGCAAGCCAGTTCCAGGACACCGGGGCGATGGCCAGCTGCTGTCTAGTTGCCCTAAGCCAAACAACGAAAGCATGACTGTGTTATTGACGAAAGCTCCGCGAAGCCGGGAACTGGGTGGAACTCGACCTTGTTTCACGCAATGGACTGCCAACAGCAGTGCGGCAGGACTCACGTCAGAGGTTCAGGGTTATCGGATCTATGCTGTATTGGTTACCTCCAAGTCCTCCCACAGCAGTGCAGGAGCACCACCACCAACAACAGCAACAACATCAAAAATGAGAATACACCGCCACCACCAGCAACAACAATTAACAACAACAATAGCAACAACATCAGCAACAACAACATTAGCAACGGCAAACGGCAACAATAGGATCATGCAGTCATTCCAACGATAGTGTGACTACGTCCCATGCCTTGGCAGGCATCAGGCCACATCGTGAGGGTGGCTACTCCGTAGGCCCAAAACATCTGAATGCCCTCAAACATTGCCAGCCAATGTCAACAATGCCTCGTATTTGGCTTGTCTTGCTCCGCAGCAGCTGCCAACTGGACTTAAGACTTGCCGCGGCACAGCGTTTCGAGGATTCTGCCCGCGCGCAGCGGAGCAAAGTTACACCCTTGGTGTCGTCGCGTCGGTTCGAATTCGCAATCGTGCGAATTCGAGTTCACAAAACATAGCTTATTAAGGCACTCGCAGGCGCGTGAGCCGGCCACAGGGCAAGCTCGTCGTTGTCGTTCATCGTCTTCGAAGAGAACCAAGGGCACCTCGCAAGAGCAAAATAAGATAAGACAAGTGAAGATGACGTAAGAAACCCGTTGAGCACGCGCAGCTTCCGAGGACCAGTACAAGGATTAGGCAGCACAAAGCACATTTCCCACCCACAAGTGCCGCAGCGAAGACTACGGAGAGCGCGTTGACCTAAAGACTTGGAGCGGTGAGGCCACTGCAGCTGTTGATAGTCCGTTGATGCGGAAAGTTGAAAACATATCGACCTTCGGAGCTCGGCAAGTTTCGCAACCGCCCCAAAATGCTGGTGAAGGAAAGTTACCATCTAATGCATCGGCCGCATAGGCATTGGCCAGCGCTATCCGACTTCAACTTCCGAGCACCAGGCTTTGATTTCGGAGAAAACCCTGCCCACTTTGCCACACTACGCGTTGGCCAACACCATGAGATTTCATGCATCCCCCGGCTTTTTCTCAGTTTGGGTTTGGAATGTAATTTTTTAGCACATGCGCTTTGCCCATAACGGGGATGATCAGCTCACGAACCGCGTCAGGTGATAGCATCTGTAGACATGCATGTAAAGAAGAGAATCGAGTGCCCTGTTGTGCAAGCCAACGTGATATGGCCATCATGTATTATGCGCAGCTCGCCCAGATTGGGTGTTGTTCTTGAAGTATCTAGGTGCCCTGAGCAGGCCCTGTGAGATTGCTTAACGTGGCCCGCCGGATTGGCGGTGTTCGCCTTGCAAAGCCCTTTGGGCCCCTTCGTGGCGCGCCCCAGCCCAAGCCCTCTCTAAGCGCTCTCCAAGCTCTCCAAGCCCTTTGGGCCCCTTCGTGGCGCGCCCCAGCCCAAGCCCTCTCCAAGCGCTCTCCAAGCTCTCCAAGCCCTTTGGGCCCCTTCGTGGCGCGCCCCAGCCCAAGCCCTCTCCAAGCGCTCTCCAAGCTTTTCAAGCCCTTTTTGGGCCCCTTCGTGGCGCGCCCCAGCCCAAGCCCTCTCCAAGCGCTCTCCAAGCTCACTTTCTGTGCCCTGCACAGGAAGCAGTATGGAGGTTTCCGGACAGCATTGTTGCAACGCGCACAAGGGACCCATTGGCCCATTAGCAGGGTCAACTACACAAAAGGGAGAGCTTGGGGGGCCCTCCGCTAGCTGAGCAAAGGTGGTTTGCGGGCTAAGCAGCGGCAAAAGCAGCAGCAACAACACCAGCAACAACACCAAGGACACCAACAAGCAACAAGACCAAGGACAACAACCTCAGCCAGCAGAAGCAGCAGTGACAGCAACAGCTCCAAACCACGCGGACAGCGACAGCGACAGGGGCAGGCATCAACCTCAACATCACCTAGCATCCACAGCAACAAGCAACTTCCATAGGTAACCCCTTTCGCTTTCATCCACGAATTCAAACCTTATTGATTTCGTTGCCTGGCCTTGGCTCGGCAAGTGGTGCAAGTGGTGCAAGGATGCAGAACCAGCCCTTCTGGTCCGCTTTTTCTGCGCAGCGGCCTCGTCATAAAGAACCCTTGTGCCACGCCGCTGGCGGCGGCCCTCCACACCCCTCCACATAAGTTCACAGACGGTGCCGAGGCCGCCGCATCTACCGCCTTGCTGGAACTGCGCACGATCAATTTGGTGAGATGCTGAGCAGAGCAATAGTAGAGCTGTACAGAGCTGTGCTGCAAGACTGGTGCTTTCTCGATCTTTCTCGGCAGCTTTCACGTCAGGCCGCACACGTGACGTGGATGGGGCACGAGGATGTTGCAGCAGAAGTGCAAGAGCCAGAAGTCATGACGCCCAAGCCTCGGACTGAATCTGACCGAATCTGCGGAAGTCGCACAGCGCGCTACGTCAATTCACAGGGAGATCCGTAGCAGGTACCTGCGTACGGCCGGCAGCTACTTGCAACTTGAGGCCGCCCCGCATCGGTTTGGGAGAGTTCCCGTTGAGTACCTTTAAACGTTGAATGGCTACCGTTGGCTACCTGTCCATGCCGGTCATGAGTAACATTGTGTCATTGTGACATTGAGCAGATTCTGGGTTTTTGTAGGGCTGGTAGTCTACGGCGGTCTCCTGAAAGGGGGTTCATGGCGGGAATCCAAAGCGCAGCCCATTCCTGGAGTTGGGCCCTGAAAAACCCCCCTTTCCCAAGCCCTGGAGAGTTGCATTTAGGGGCCGTCAGACGAGGTCCTGGAGCAGGCTGATGTGTACCGCCGCCTTGAAGAGAGTCGTTGCAGCCTGAGACGTCCTAGATGTTTCGGTGCAGAGCGCTTCTTCTGCCTGCATGGTCGCCTATGAAGACTCTGATCCATTTCGCAGGTGAGCCTAGAGGCAAACATCGCTGAGGTTAAGGTCATATGTGGTTCAATCTAGTGATGTTTAGTCTGGTGGCTACTCAAAGAATAGTGCTCCTGCATGAGTACTGCAGTGCTTTTGCAGAAACAGGTTGCGCTCAAGTCTCTACGCATTACATCCCCTAGGAAAACTAGAAGTGAACCCTCTTTTGAGAGGCTTCGAGAGGCTAAGGCTAAGCCCCAAACAGCAAGAGCGACCTGGGCCTAAAGTCCTTCAGCTTAAGCCGGAAGCCCTCACAGGATGTGTTCTTTGAAAAGTTTGGCTCCGCAGCGTCGCAGCGTGTTTGTTGCTTATTGCAGGGTTTGGCTCAGGTCGTTTTTGTTTCGAAAAGTGTTGCTTTGCTGAAAATCGTGCTCCCTTGTACGCACGGGCTTGATCACTAGGGTCACGTCACGGTTGCCCTCGAAAAGTATTCGTATAAGTCTTGCCAGCAGGGAAGTCGTTTCTCTCAGACTCTTGGATGGGCTTCGTGCGTTCATTTCTCGGGGATCGGTCGGGGCCGTGCAGGTGTGTTTTTGCCTGTTTCTTCGAGTTTCTTTGAAACACTTCAGTTTCATTCTTAAACTTCCAAATCCAATGAACTGATATACTCCAACATTGAAGTGCAGAACTGTCATCGCTGTCGGTCCTTGGATCGTGCTCCGCGTCGTTGCGGTCTTGCACTGTGTGTGCCAGCATCGTCTTCTTTTATGGATGTCCCACTTTCCTTGTAGTGAAGTGGTGAAACAACTGCGCTCAGCAGAACCTCGAAGCACTTGCAATGCAGGCAAGGCGGCGTTAAACATGCGGCGGTGAGCTGTGAAAAGAAGCGTGCGGACATACAACCCTATTCATTCAGGGTTCAGTTTCATCCCACCTGCTTGCAGACATGACCCGGGCAAGCATGTAGGGTCGAGTACAAAGCAGATGGTGTTATGCGAAAAGTTCCAAGCATGCGCAGCTTCTCAAAAAGCCGGCCCCCCACCCCCCAATGGCAACCAAGACGCTTCAAGATGAGGAAACAAGTTAACCGTTTAAAACAAGTGGGGAGGGGTGGGGGGTGTGAGGCGAGCCAGTGCGCTTTAGTACAAAGCAAAGGGTTGTGAGATGGGGGGGGGGGGGGTGAGCACAAGCACCACATGATACAAGAGGAGCAGACCCACACTAGGGGTTGGTTTAGGCATGAGAGGTTTCTGCTTACAGGATTTTTGGTTCGGGGCTTGTTTGAACTGATTATAATTAGGGTTCTCGGATTAGGGACCCCCCGCTGGTTTCCAAAACTCTCGGCTTGATTTCCATTATTTTCAACCCCCCACCTCCATCTCATTTGCAACTTGCCTCCTTCACACGTTACCTGGTTTCTCTTGTGCTCTTTCCGGGTTTCATCTGATGTCCACATCGCACCCCGAGGCGAGCCCGCGTCACTGCGGAGGGCGCGTGCGCTCGGCCAAATTGGGCAGGTCGCAGCCAGCAATGAATCCGGGGAGGCACAGGCAGAGTTGCCACTAGGGTTTAGGGTTTGGGGGTTAGGGTTTGGGGCTTAAGGTGTAGGGTTCAGGGTTTAGGTGGTGCCTGTGTATGGCTATGCGGGTGCAAGAAGATGTCTGGAGGCACTGCTGGTCATTGGCCTATCCCTGCACAACACCTACAGTCAAGCAATGCACTGCAAGGAGGAGGCCAGGCCGGCTCAGCAGTGTTCTGCTGCAAGGAACCTCAGTTTGCCCCATATGCCTGCTTCGTTGCAAGAAGTTGCAACGATAATCTTGATTGAACTTACTTAGTATATGGCCATTGGCCATAGTAAGTTCAGGTGGAGAGTTTCATCTTAAGAAATATATCATCGTGCCCTATCAGTCCAGCCAGACATGGCACAGCCCAGCTTGCAACGCAGCCTGGAGCAAGGTGCGGAGACATCTGCCTACAGAAGGCAGCTCAAATCAGCCAATGTAGGTGGTCGGTGAAATCATGCTGTTGCTCGTATCTGTGCAGGTGTGAAGGTGCTGCTGCTGGAAGACTACTTCTTGAAGATTTCGTTATTGGCTCGGCCGACTTGACATCAAGTTCTAGGTTCACGAAACAATAATCCAGGCCGCAGCTATCGGTCGCCTTCCGTTCCAGCACGACAATAGTCCGCCTAGCTTGGTTGATAGATTCACTGTAAAAAGAAGCGGTGACACATGGGTCGTCTCGACTCTGCCGGGGTCCGGTTGCCAGGATCAGAAAGTCGAGCTGGCCGGCTGCCTAGTCGTAATCTCTCGTACAGCTCCGCAGGCTAAAGTGGCGAAAGCCCAGAGTAGCCTCGTACTGGAGGTGGCCAGGCCGGCATTTGGGTTGCACTTTCGCGACGCAGACCTGTGGGACCAGGTACGGCAGTCCCTGGGGCAAGGCATAGCTGTTGTATCTTTCATGACAGCCAGCATTGTAGCTGAGGCCCCTTCTCTTGCAAGAGTAAAATGTGCCCAGAGCTGAGATCTCGTAACCGAAATATGCCAAAAGTTTCTGCCCCATGCCGCAGAGTCAAGATGGCACCGACTCGGATTCATTTTGAGGTGCAAGCCCGAGTCTGCTGGAGAATGCAACTGCGTGAGGCCACTTCAGGTTGAGGGCTCCTCCTTTGAACCTGTGCCCGTCTGCAGGATGTTCCCGGTGTGCCAAAGACTTGGGCGGTCGCTTCGGAACACTGAAGCATTCTTGACAAAGTGGTCTTGAACATCCCGTGTTCCTGCAAGTTTGCCGCCAAGGTCTCTCGAGACCTCCAGGGGCGACTACCCATCCGACCCAGGCTGTTGGCGAGGGTCCCAGATAGCCTTCAGTGTGCAGCGATGGCCATCCGATGGTTTTGAGTGCATTGAGTTACGTTACTCCGTACAGGATAGTGTCTCAAAAGTTCAAAATCGGTATTACCACGGCCGGCTTCAGGTATCGGCTCCCGAGCGGTTGTCCCACTTCGGCAGCTGCAGCCATAGCTGCCGTCGCTGCCGTCCCTGCGGTCGCTGTTGCGAAGCTGCAAACTTGAGGACCTTCTCTTGCAGCAACGAGACTGGCGCCTCTTTCTGAGCACGTCGCACGGCATGTTGGTGCATGTGTTGCCGTAATACTGCGACATGATATGCTCCCATGCAAAGCTGCAGGCAGAGACACCTGGGGTGAACAGTCCTTTGGAGCTGGCTCTGACGTGAGTTCCTGAGTCGCCCTTTTGTCCCGAGGATGTACGCAACTGCCGCGAAGAAGCAAAACAAAAACAATTGCTCTCAGGCCAGAAGCTGCCTCGAGCTGCGAAGGAACGCCTTCAACCGGTGGTGTGGCATCGAGGATGCGTGCGCCTTTGCGGAGCAGCTTCGGCAGAGCAGTTCTTTGTTGCTTGTGTTCACTGCGCCGTGCTCGCTCCAGCCTGATTAGGTCCAAATGCACTACGTGCCATCAGCTTCCATACCGCAAGCTCCAAGAGGACCGCGTGTTGCGGAGGTGCTGCATCCTCAAAGGGGCAGACCTTATGTGAACATGTGAACACGATCCCTGAAGCTCTGGCAAGCATACTTGCTGCGCCGAGGCTCGATGCGCTGTCCAGGTCAGACATTGCGAGCATAGACGGCGTCGAACGCTTCGAAGCTGAGGTGTTCCGCATTCCACATTGTCTTGTGGCGGTCGTCAGCAAATATTGTAAGCAGTCAGCTCTTGATCTGCCATGTTGAAGCCGAGCATGTCCGCACTGTGTGAATAGGAGATCTGAAAGCAAGTTTGATGGGGCCATTCTTGCCCGCCGCCCGTTTTCTCTCGAGAGGCATGCTTCCAGCCGATATGTCACGGGCAGGGCATGCCCAAAGATGAAACAGATGGGGCTTGCGGCGATTCTCCATGAGACCGCAACGATCAGAAAGGCAGAGCATCTTGATAGCGAGGAGTAGGAGGCCAAGTCGAAGACTTCCCTCCGACTCTGGGTGTGGAAGGAGATGGTCTTGGACGTTCTTCTTCCTGTTATTGGTAGCTGAGGAGTGCATCCTCAGCCATGCATCAGCTCAATCCTTCGTTCCGTCGCATGCAAGCCACATAAGCCACAGCGAGGAATTCAAACGAGGCACGTTCTTTCACAATAGGTCCAACAGTGGCCCTGGTCGACGAGCCGCAGAAGACCTTGTGTTTGTCACTGCAGAAGAGAATGCAATACAGAGTGTCGAAGAGGTTGTTTATTGCACCATATACCTTACGGCCTCCCTCCCAATGGGCTTGATTGGCGAAATCGGCTTACTGCTGAACCGCGCAATTTCCCTGACCTTGGAGCTTAAAACGACCTGGGTCAAGACCACCGACCTCAAGAGCAGCCCTGCCCCTGAAGTTCCAGAAGGAGACACGACAAGTCAGGACTGGCAGAACTTTCAGTTCGACTTTGTGGTGCTACCTCCCCAAAGTGGGAGTGCGGGTGTGACTTACTTGCTTCAAGTTGCATCTGAGGGCTCCCTACTTCAGACATTCAAGGCGTTGGTGCGCGAAAGCCCTTCCATGACAAGCGTGCTCATCAGCCCGTTTTGGGTGCTTCTCATGCCCGTTCCACAGGTTCGTGCAGAGACAGTCACCCGCCCTGCCATCTTCGCCACTTGGTCGTCCACCCAACTGCCACCCATCTACATCCCTGCCATCACCACTACGCCAGTCCCTGTGGCACCCCAAACCTGCACCAGTACCAGTACTCCCTGTACTTGTGCCTTCATTTCGGGGTGTGAGTGGGTCACTGCTGTGGGCGGGGCCTCGTTTTGCCAAGACGGCCGTGGACGGGTGCCGTGCTCTGCATGCAGCGCACAGGAGCACTGCGCTGCGACCTCTTGCGCTGGTTTGACGTCTGCCTGTCCCTGCACTTATTCACCGCTTGGCTGCCATTGGGATGAAGCGAATGTGCGATGTCAGATTGGAACTTCACCTGGAACACCTTGCAGCGCTTGCGCGACTCAGAGACACTGCAACCCACCAGAGATTGTTTCGATAAGCCCAGCCTCAGGCACGCGGCTAAAGGTGCCGGAACACAACAACATCCTGATCAACTTCAACCGAGCTGTGGTGATCACTCAGCTGGGGAGCGTTTCTTTCAAGTGCACGGGGCAACAGCTGCCATTCTTTGTTGCATGGGAGGGTGTTCAGCCAACCGCGTCAGGCACGGCAGGGACGGACCAAACACGTTTGAAGTTTAAACGTTTAACAAACACTTCCGGCGTTTAAACTGTTTGAACAGAGTTGGGGCTTCGGAGCGTGTTGACAGTTTCAACAGTTCGCAAGGCTCACCGTTTAAACATCTGGTGGGGCTCAGTGTGGGGCTCCGGGGCGTTTAAACATGAGAAGTTGTTGCCAAGTGAGTGAGAGGGTTCTCAGGGGGTTGGGAGCGAGGGTCCCTAGACCCCAGACCTAAACCCATAACTCCCAAACCCCCAAGACCCCAAGACCCCCAAACCCGCACTCTTTTGCAGCCACTCTTTGTTTATGTTTAACCACATGTTTAAACATGTGCGCGTTTAAACATTTGACAGTTTAGACACTTTAAAGTTCAAATCACGTTTAAACAGTTCAAACCGTTTAAGCATTCTGCCGCAAGGGCGCTGTTTGTTTCCACATTGTGCGTTTAAACGCCGAAAGTTTAAGCCGGTTCAACACAACGCCCCGCGCAACCCTGAGGCACGGGCATCATGGTCAGCATCTCTGTTTTGTTGAACGCGCAGTTCACAGAGCTGAGGCAGTGCACCCTGGCGATAGGCGCTGGGGTCGTTGTTGACAGGTCGGATGTGCCCTTCACTGGCCTACAGCAAGGACTGTATATCTTCAACTTGGGTGACACGGTGGAGCCACAGCTGGTCCAGTTCGAGCCTTCAAATGGCAAGGCCGATGTGACACCGGGTGCTGCTGTGACCTTCACCTTTGATGAGGAGCTGGTACTGATGAACGGCGCGAAGCTCATCACCCTCTACGAACTAACTCAGGGCGAGTCGGCAGTGCGGGGCGGCGCCATCGCTGAATTCCAGATGTCCTCGCCGCAAGTTTCTGTCTCTTTGCGAGCGCTCAAGATTGAGTTAGTGGACCTCACGAAAGCCGGCATGGAGTACTCAATAGACTTGCCGGATGATGCCCTATCGGACATATCCGGAAACATATTTCCAGGACTGCCATCAGGACTGTACACGTTCAGATGCACAGGCGTCGCCATTGTGCCGAGTCCATTGAATGATGGGAGTTTGCAGGAGTTTTACCCGGTTTTCATGGCAGCGGGTGCAGTGTTCGTAATGGGACCTGTGTGTTTGATGCTGTGGAGACTCTCCCGTCTTCGCAAAGTCAAGCATCTGCACAAGCCCAGTAGCATCAGCCCGCAAACTCTACCACCAGGCTCGCCAAAAGACCTACGGGAAGACGAGGACTTTGAGGACGAGCTAGACCATTCTGCCACATTTGCCTCAACGTGGAGCTTTGGTAACAAATCCGAGCACAGTGGGGTGGATGAGGCACATGAGAGCAGCGGCAGAAGCTGGGCTCAGAAGGTCAAGTCACCGCAATCACCGCAGGCACAGTGGCAGGGAGCATTTGTGAAATCCTCAGTCGCACGGAAAGGCCTTGCAGGTGCAGGTGCCGCTGCTGCAACCTTGAACAAGGATCGCAAGCTTGGCCCAAGATATGGGCCCGGGCCAGCGCCAGGGCCGACGCCAGGGACCGGGCAGACTGGGGACGCCTCTAAGGACCACAAGAAGAGCTTTAGCAAGCAACGGTCTGCTTCCTCAAACAACCTTGGTTCCAGCTCAGCAAAGCCGGGCACTCCATTCAAGGAAGGGACTTCGAACACTTCGAACCAGGCTGGCAATCAGTCGAACAGCCAGTCGGGCAACCAATCGGGTGGCCAATCGAAGAGCAAGCAGGCCAAATCTGATGCTGCTGACTTCAGTGGGGACACAGCAGAAGTGAAAGCCAAGAAGCTTGCCATCGAAAGGAAGCTGCGTGACATGATGCAGTCACCCTTGGCAGACCGAAAGAAGGCTTTGCGAGAGCTTATGCTTGAGTACCACCCTGACAAGAGCGCAGATCCGAATGCGAAAGAGGTGTTTCAATTTATCAACGCATCGCGGGGCTGGTTCGTGGCAGAAACTTAGCCCAGCCCAGCCAAGCACCGCTCATGTTCGCTCTTGGGAGGCATTGTCCTCTAGGATTTCATTCGCCCCTGGCGAATCTTTGTAATTGCTATCAAGGATCCTTCGATGGACTTGTTCATGCAGACTTTTTGTCAGGCACAAAGTGCCTGACGCACGGCACGCGATTGTTTTGCTGTTAGTCAGCTGCCTAAGGCAGCGGTTAGGAGTACAGCGTTGTTCCTCAACAGGTGTGCGAAACTGCTGCGGTCATCATCACTCTTTTTGAAGTCTTGCAGGGTGCGTTGGTACTGAATCATTCATGGGAGGGGCTTCGCTTTGTCTCTGATAGCCATGCATTCTGCTTGTTACACATGATGGCGTGCTTGTTCATGGTTGCCTGAAGCAGTGCTTAGGCACACAGGGGGGGGGGGGGTCATCCACTGCGGTCTGTGTCATCGTCATGAAGGCTTCGGGCAAGTGCAGACTGCAGGCCCATCATCCTGGCCTGCCCCGTGCCTTTGAAAGCTACGTCTGGTGGCATGCAAACACCTTGGCCGTTGCCCTGGAGCCATACAATGGGAGTAGATGCTCTGGCAAAACCTATGCTGACCTCAGGCAAAGCTGAAAGCCCAGGGCTCTGAATTGGCTTCTGAAATCAGAAATGGGTTTCTAGCCCGACATCCCTGACGCGAAGGCGGGCGCTGAGACCAGCGTGAAGTTTCTTGCCGCCGCCTCAGTTCCCTTCGTCTCACAGGCCTTTACTCACAGGCTTGCTTCCATGGCAGCTTTCAGAAAGACCATTACCGCGCACATCCTTCGAGGTCTGGGCATGCCAGCCGTCTCTTCCTTGTGGAGGTCATGGCGATCGGCTAAAGGACTCAACACAAGTGCGAGCGCAGTGCATAACAAGCCGGAAGTGCAGTGAAGTGCAGTGAAGTGCAGTGAAGTGCAGTGAAGTGCAGTGAAGTGCAGTGAAGTGCAGTGAAGGGGAAGAGTAGCGGAGTAAGGACCGTAAGGACCGTCGGCCTGATGCAACTCACCCCCATCGCCAGGGCATACTGGCGACCTTCGTCTTGGCGGTCCTCACTGGCCGCCTTTTCCTGCTGGACCGGGCAAAAACATTCAAAAACCATAAGGCGAGTTCATGCCGGGTTCCTCACGAGGCTGTCCTTACGCATCGCCTGAGAGAGGACTCCCCTGATCCCTGGGACTTGCGTTTGTTCCTGGAGCAAGGCACCCGGAAGCTGCTTAGCTTGGCTTCACGTCCACATGCTTCGCATGTTCTAGCTTCCCACGAAGCCTGGAAGTGTTCAAGATGGATTTCTCAATGCTTTCTCATGCTTTCTCAATCTGGAGTACAACGCGTGCTGCAGCGGCGGTGCTGCAAGGAGGCTGTGCTGTCTCCAGTCTGCCCAGGCCCGCCCTCCTGGACTGGAGGTCTGCTTGCAGCTCAATTTCTCACAACTCACAACTCACAACTCACAACTCGACCCACATCCCGAAGCTTCAATGTCGCTACACGCCCACACATGCTGATCCGAGGTTGGACTAGCCGGGTACGCAGCTGGGAAGCCTGCATCCCAGCAAAAAAATTCACAAGGGCTCGAGCTGGGAAGCTACAGCCTTGAGCCCCAGGCATGTCATCTGGGATCACGATCACTTCGAGGACTGGCGCCTGTTGCTCTTTCTTTTATTTTCTTTTCGGGTTTTCCCATTGCGATTGGCGATGGTCTCTGCGACCTTGGAGGAAACTTACTTGCAGCAGTTGCTGGAGACGGAAGACCCGATCTGGATTATGTACACGAACAAGAAGTCACTACTCGGGCAGCAACCTTACCAAGTCTCCCAGCCTCCTTGCGTGCTTTTGCCCGCAAAACATTAATCCCCTAAGCTCTAAATGCCCTAAACCCTAAAGTTTCTAAAGCACTCATGAAGCCCTCAAGCCCCAAATGCCCTAAAACCCTATAAAAACCCATAAACACCCTATAAAAACCCTATAAACCTTGAACCCCTCAAGCAAGCCCAAAGCCAAGGCCGATCCTTCGCAGCCCATTGCTCACGGAGCGTGCGAAAAGTGTGGGAGTGTTGGAAATCCCGCACTTGACCAAGCAGGTGGGCGAGTTTCATGAGATGGCCTTAAATCATTCTAAAGCCCTACCAGGAACTCAACCCTAGCCTAAAAACCCCCCCAAAAGTCAGGGCCCCTCAGAATCCCAAAGCCCCTTGGTGCCTCGAGTCGAGGTCTGGTCCATCCTCTTCCGGCCCACGCCGGCGCTGGAGAAGCAGTGGAGGAAGCTTCAGGATGAGCTTGGTGAAGGCTGGGCTTATGGGGATTTGGGATGTTGAGATGTTTTTTTTCTCCGAAAGTAGGGGGGTTCCCTTTTTTTGGGGGATCCGTTTAAGGGGGATTCTCTTCTATTTGGGGTGTCGAAGGGGTACCCTGCTCATTAGGTCAGCTGTGGATCGCAATAGCATGTCCAACGCGATGTGTTCGGCGCAGTCTCATGAGGGGATCTGAATGTGGCTTGTCAAGGGTTCTGTAGCGCAATTTCTGGGTCTTGTTCTTCGTGTTTTGTTAGGGGCCTATGAGAGCGGAGGTTGGGTGGCTTCATAGACAGCTTTTACAAAGAATTTGGGTCCCGTTTTGGGCAACCTAAAAATCAGGCACCGCCGAATACAGCAAGGCTAGGATCTGTTTGCGTCAGGCTACATTGCTCTCCATTACCGTGCTGGCGACATCACTGCCGGTTTCGGCATGGTGAACGGAGAGGCGCGCAACATCACGCGGGAAGCGTTCTCACGGGGCACTATGCGAACTCGTCATGTGTCGATGCAGGTGGACATCCGTTCTCCGGGCCACACGGAGGTGCTGAACCTTCTCTCCTGTGCTCACCACCTCGAGCAACTTTTGGAGCTGCCATCCTCGACGAGGCCGCTTGGCCGAAAGTCAAACAGAGCAAAACAGAAAACCCACAAGTCATAGTGAGCCATAGTGAGCCTCACTTAAGCTCAGGTGGTATCTGACTGCAGACACCCCAGCTGTGACGAAAGTGGCGCAGGCACGGAGCGAACAGGGGTCGCTCCAACTTGCCCCCCCCCCAAAGCCCCAAAGGCCAAATGCCACCTGCAGGTGCAGACATGGCAGAGTTCCGGCAAGCTAGTCGTCCGCAACGTCAGCAGGCTGACCTGAAACGGGTCGAACTTGGAGATGCTGCCTTTGGAGAAACGCTGGGGATCGCGACACACACTTCAGCGCGAGGAGAGCACACTTGGTGAAAGAGGGCCTGGTTCCACCGTGTGGTTCCCTGGGAGAAGAGGTGGTCGCCTCAAGTCGACACTTTCCCTAAAAAAAGGATTTGGCGTGTGGGAAGCACCACTGCAATCTATGCTGCAGTCAACATGCTCCGCTTGCCTTTAAAGAGAGCATCTGGCTGAAAAGGCGGGGGTCCAGTGTTTTCCGGATGCCAAGAGCGAAAAAAAAGTCATCAAAGGCCGATGCAGGGCGATCTCCGCTGCCCCCGCCTCAAAGTGCACCACGGGCCAGGATGCCGGTGCAGGGCATGCATTATGCCGAATTATGCCCCATCCATAAATGGGGGTTTCCGAAATTAGGGGTACCCTCTTGTTCGGTCCTGAAAAAAGAAGGGAATCCGACTATTTGAGAGTCTATGTTAGGGGACTAAGGGGTCCCCAGACATCTATAGGATGTTTGTGTGCATGTTTAAGAAGCTGAAGGCATGCTCTTCCAGCTGCGGAGTCCTTGGCTCGTGTTGGCGATGCTTGGGCAGGAGCCTGAGTCTTGGAGCGTAGTCGCCAGACGTAAGGGGCCATCAGTGAAGCCTTTGTAAAAACTGCATGGACTCTTGCAGAAGCTCAAAAGATGTAGAGAAGGTGGACTTCCTCGCCATTTCCCGAGCAGCAGCCGCTGTACTCTCATCAAGTGCATTCAGCACAATGGCAGCTGAGGTCTGTTCGAGTGAGCTTTTTGCATGCCACACACGCGCTGCATCCTTGTGCTTACCTGAAGGCTTCTGGTTTGGAGCATGCCTTCCACTCGCACGGCTGTGTGCTCCAGCCCGATGTCTCTGCCAAACGACATGCTCTCTGAGCCTGAGAGTCAACCTAGTGGCACGAGTTGTCTCTTTCTCAGGTACGCGTCGACTTGCTCATCTGAGAATGACGACTGCAGAGCGCTACAGAGATCGGATTGCCAAGCGCACAAAGGGTGTCGGTGGGCAGTCATGCTGGCTCTCTGGATTCATCAGTAGGTGAGCTTGCAGGCAGCCTTGTTTCAAGCGGATCTGCTGGCTCCATGTGGATTGATGCGAGGTAGGCACACTTTGCTCGGAGTTCCGCAACTGGCTGGTGCGCCACGACGAGTCGCTGAAGCGGAAGGAGTGGGGCTGGATCCCACGACTTCTTGGCTTGACTTTGTCCGTCTAGAAGTTTGCGCAGGCGGAGATCTCTGAAACCGACACCAAAGCGGATGCCCAGCTTGTGGAACAGGCAACTTGTTTTTTTTGAGCCGTGGGCCCTTCTTCTGGGCCATGCATGTACGTACTACTGGGCAGAGGTTTTGTTCACTTCGAGTGGGGCCAGACATGTAGAAACACGGCCTCGCAGTTGCTCACATCTTAGATTCAGACGTTGTCGGCTAGGTGCTGGTCCTCATGGCCAAGCAGGTCTGGGGCGCAGTTGGACTTTCCTCATTCTCCCTCGCCCTGTCTCGCTCCCCTGTCTCTGTCTCCGTCTCTGTCTCTCTCTCTCTCTTTCTCTCTCTCTCTCTCTCTCTCCTGTTGCTTTCCTGAGGCGGATCAATTGGCAACCATGGTGTCGAGCGATCTTGACCAACTGCGGCTGGCCCTCACCAGGTCTGTGAGCCGCAGCCATGACATGGGTCAGATGCACTTAGGGCCTTTGGCATTGAAGCCTTGGGGGATTTAGGGTTGCCTTGTCTTCCTGTCTTCTTCACGACTGATGTCAGCCAAGCAAGCTTTATGGGAGCCCCTAAAAGCTTTAGCTTATATTGCACGTGAAACATGACCTCGCAGTTGTCAGTGTAAAGAGAAATCAGCAAAATTTAGGGCATACAAGCAGACAGCAACCGACCAATCATTTACAGTACCCTTGTTCCAAACATCTCCTCTGCTACGGGGCAGAGTCAGCTTCTGGACTGGAGTTGAAACGCCTCAAAGCAGCTCCTGAGCACGACCCAGCAGCAGCAAATCCCTCTCTCAAGCCTCTGCTTCAGCCGTGGTTCAGGCTGAGCACATCTGGGTTGCTACTCCCACAGCTTTTGCATTGCTGCATGTCTGGAACAAACATACTCTGCCCAAACGGTGGCGGTCGACGCACTGGTCTTCTCTTCTTGAGCTGGGCACTTCACATCGCCTACAGTTCGGGACAATGGCAGAAGAACGGCAAGCCGCTGCAAAAGGATTACCATGCCTTTCCACACGCAAGCTTGCCCTCGCCACAGACCTCTTGCTTGCCAAAAAAGGTGGTACTGGAGTCCAAATCCACACTCAGTGCAGGGAACAACGTTGACCCCAAAAAGGGGCGGCCTGGCTTCGAGTTCAAAGTGATGACTGTTTATTTCGACTTCTGCCTCTAGCACCCCTAGAACGTCACGAGCAAAACAACGACGCTCTCCCAACGCATCTCAACTACCGCCCTCAACGCCCGACCATGCATCTGAAGAACGGAAGTCTCTCACAAGTCTCACCAGATGAGTGCAATGTGGTTTGGATAATTGCACGCCCATGAAGCTACGGCAACTACGGCTGTGGTCGCAGGTTCCTCGAGATCTCCCCTGACTTCCGCAAAGCATCCTTGTCAATAGGCATGGAGCCCCAAGAGCAGCCCCGAGCTCAGAATTCTTGAAGCACCGCAACAGTAACCCAGAGCCATGTCTGTTCCTGTTGCCTCCATGGCATGTCGCCCTGTGTCCGTCACTCGTGGGCTAAGGCTCTGAATCGTAAACCTTGTTACCCTGAGAGTCTCAGGTGTGTCGCGTGCAGAGCCTTGCCCCGCAAAGTCGTCAACGACGCTGCAACAGGCCTGGCACGCAGGGCCAGGGTTCAAAAATGGCTCTTGGCAGCCTCAGGCGGAACGCCCCCAAAATTTCAAAATGTACTCCAAAATATACTCCAAAGTACACCAAAGTATGCCCCCGCAAATATACCCGCCAAATATACCCCAAAATATGCCCCAAAATGTACCCCAAAACCCAAAACGGCCAAGCCCCGAAACCCCAGAACGATAAAGCCAGGCTCAGACGGATCCGTCTACAGGATGGGCGTGGAGACCGTGCTCTCGGCGGCGGCCACTCAAAATCAACAGCCGACATTGAAACGTAGTTTGTTCTGTATCGTGGGGCTTTAGGAAATTTAGAATTTGGGCCTTAGAGCTTTAGGGGCCCAGAGGTTTTGAGGGCTTTGACTGAGAAATTTCTTCTGAAATTTTGTCTGGTGTCGCCCTGATCTCAGGAACAAACCCAGAAGGTGCTGGCTGACAAGCTTCGATTTCCACTCAGCCTCTCCAGCAGTCTGTTTGTGGCCTTCCCGGCAGGATTTCAGACTTCGTTGCATTTACCTTATCGCACCTCGCGAGATTCGTAGTTGTACATACCTAGCACTCTTCCTATAGTCAGATGTAAGGCGGCGGCGCAGAGAGTAGGTCTGAATCAAGTGCTGCTGCCGAAAGCATGGCACTCGTTCCTTTGGTATGCATGATGGCTCAAGTCCGTGCTTGAGCCATGCCAGGGTGTAGGCTTGTATGCCAGGAAACGGTTTGCTGCGGTACCTCTCCTGCTCTACCTCTGTGATGTAGCTGTGGGTCGCAATACTCGCAGTCGCAGTCTCTTGCAGTGCCCAACAACAGCACGAAGCCCCGTCGATCATGCAATGCAGAGTCTGCTGGAACCGGCGGGCTGGCACTGCGGCAACTATGCCCGACTCCCAGATTTCCAGCACGGGCACCCTCTGAGTTTTAACTCGCTTGCAGACATGCATCAAGTGCATTCAGCTCGATGGTCTTACCGGTTTTCGCAGGCAGTCTTTTGCAAGCAGTCAGAATGTAGTAGCACCGACTAGAATGACCAGAAGCATCATTCCCACCGTTGGTCAACTGATCAGACTTGTTCTCACAACTGCAGCTTCTTGGAAGACTGTGCAAGTCTGTGCAGTATGCAAGGCGCTCAATCGCCCGAGCTCTTGCACCTTGCTGGGGCTGCGCCGCTCTCAGCCCACGCCTGACAAGCTCAAACCGTGCCAAGACTGACTGGGAGGGGGGGGGTGTAGGAGCGCATGCAATTGCCAAGTCTATCTGCTGCCTACTGGGAAGACACCCAGTCCGGCAGAGGGCGTGTGACTTGCGCTCAGGATCATCCTCGGCCGAGCTGCGGGAGCCCCGGGGTCGGGCAAGGGTTGAACATGTTCCAAGAATTTTCAACATGCTTTCAACAGCCACCTTTCGGAAGCTGCCGTTCGAGGCCTTGGTCAGTGGCTACTCGGAGTACATACCGCCCCAGGACACACCAGCTTCCTGCACATTGCAGAGTAGAGTCAAAGCTATAGGGAGTTGCTGAGTCGCCGGTCTCTGCAAGAGCACTCGTGCAGATCTACCGCGCGGGTGACTACCGGCCTGCTCGCCACGCATTGTGCGAACACTTGTCGAGCTCCTTCCTTGTATAACATATTCCTATTTTTTGATATAAATTTTTAATCCCGTGATTAGATTTTGTTATTGCATGATAATATTATTTGATCCTCCTTAAGCCACCTTTGCATGTCCCTCCAGGCACTCCTTCGAGCTCCGGGAGGACAAGTCGGATCGGACCTCAGCCCTTCCACGGTCCTAAGCCCTAAACCCTAAGCCCTAAGCCCTAAGCCCTAAACCCTAAACCCTAAACCCTAAACCCTGTGAAGTTAACCTCAGGTTTGGGCGAGGGGTAGAAATGACTTCGGCCAGCTCGGTGATGGAAGTGTCGCTCACCGAGAGACGCCGGTGGAGGCCAGAGCGGTATTCACCGTTGGTAGAGGATTGGAGATTCATCATCACTAAGATTCGGGTTGTTTTTTTTTCGCAGCTGCTGCAGCTCTTTGCGAGGTCTTCATCAATGCGCTGCAAGCTTCTGCTGGTGAATGGCTGTGTCTGAGATAGTCAGATAGCCTGTGTTCCTTGAAGAGTCATCGCTGCTAAGTTCATGAGGCACAGCCTGTTCCTCCGCAATGATGGCGTCTGCCTCTCGGCCACGGCATGCGACGGGAAACTTCACAGCCAATTCCTGGCCATGCGCTGCTCAGGTCGTCTTCGCCTGTGGCAGAAACGACTTCGGACAACTGGGGGAGGGCACCAGGCTCCGATCAGCTAGAGGTTGCTAGACGTCTCGGATCCCTTGTCCCTCAGCTGTGAGGTTTGAAGAACTCCCTAAATCCGGAGGAGTGATCGTGTTTCCTGCCAGGGTCACGCGGATCTTCCCCATGCCACGCTCTCAGTGGTGACATTCTCGGCTTCTTGAACATGCAGCGTTTCCCACCTCCAGGCTGATTGCCAAGTACATCGTTGCTGTCAGCGGGGGTGGCTACCACAGCCTACTGCTTCGAGACGATGGAGTGGCGCAGGCATACGCAGCATGCGGGGAGGGTTCAGTGACCCGACCCGGTGGCAACAGGACATACTCACGGCCATACCCAACACGCCCGTATTCATCTGATATCTTTAGATATCTTTAGATCGTCACTGCTTGTTGCTGATGACAGGGCAGTCGACGCCAGAGTGTGTCCCGAATTATCCGTGAAGATTCGGTGCGCAGTCGCATTAGGCCATGGGGCACAATCGTTATGGACAGCTTGGGGATGACTCCTACGCCTTCGCCTCAATTCGAAAAGCGTTGAGGGGAACAAGTATGAAGAAGTGCTGGTGCAAGTGCAGAAGAATCGCCATCAATGATCATGGCAGTATCGCCATCTTGGCCGAAGGTGTCAAAGACAAAGCCTGTCTCAGCAAGGGGCTCAGGGAGTGGCTCAGAGGCCATGGCATGCCGATGCTACACGGAAACATGAGCGGAGGTCCTCGACAATGTGACTGCGATCGCAGCTGCTGGTCCCGCACCCTACCACTACCATCACCTAACAGACCTAACATCGCCTACCCGCTTGGTGGTTAAGAACTGGCTTGCGGGCAGGACATCACAGCGTGTTCCTTCGTGGAGACGGCAGTGCCTGGACAGTAGGCCAGCATGTCCTGATTTCGAAGCTCGGTCTCATTCATGTAGTGGGCGAAGAACGTCCCCTGTTCGTCAGGACGGAACCACTATGGTCAACTCGGTGACAGGAATGAGCGACAGTTTCATTTGCACTTGCTGACACCATGGGAGAGGAACCACAAACCTTGGGCAGGACAACCATCGACAAAATCACCCCCATCCAGGTCCAGATCCTGACAGAGTGAACTTGATCAAGTGAATCATCTGATTTCGCGCTGCATGGAGGTGCTCACTGATGTGAGTCGCATTCTTGCCAAGGATGATTACAGAACCGCCGGCAAGCTTTCTGGGACCCAGGGCTTAAGACTGAAGCGCTCGGAGAGTTGCGTGGAATGCGTGGAATGCTGCATTAGCCAGGCCTTTTCCTGTTGAACAACGGCAGCCTTGTGGCGGCAGGAGACTTTGAATCAGGCACGCAGGGTAAGAAGATGCTTCAAGATAAAAGAGCCAGCTTCGGCAGGGTAGTGAGACTGAGCACTTGTGCTGAAGAGTTGAGAAGTCTGAAATTGGCGGTTGTTTCTACATCAGCGTCCCTTGCAGGTGTCTAACATAGAACAAGCCACAATTGCAGACCCCTTTGCAGGGCTACCGAGAAGTCTGACAGATTGGTCAGGATCTCGGTCTGAAGCTTTCCTGCCTTTGCCTGTCCTTGCATAGCCCCCAAAGCATGCCAGCGCGGTTTTTTGAGCTACCCGGGTGGTGATCCATCAGCCACCCTGTACCTGGAAAAGCACTTTGAACTAAGCGCGCTTCGATCCATTGAATGCATCAAGAATCAAGATGACTCTCTGGCCAGGGATCCCATCCAAGTCTTCACTCCGGCTGAGGTCCGCAGTCAGACTTGCTGTGTGTGATCAATGCGTTGGCAGTCAGGGTGTGGAAGAGTTACAGATTTACAGTTGGCAGTGGCTGGAGGTTCAGACGATTCCGTTGACTGCTTGAGCTGAGAACAACTCTCTGCCCCGTTGCCTTCTGGAACTTCAAGGTCAAGGAGAGCAAGGCAAAGTAGGTACTGCCAGTGCCTCCAGTAGAGCCCTGTTTCACCCCAACTTGGACAACATCGGCGCTCTGCAGATGGACTCTACTCACCCAGTCAGATCCCAGCTTCGTTTGTTCAGCCAGCTGCCAGTTTGGGTGCACGCGATGCCAGGGATGCACGGGCGGTCCGCAAGCAGCAGAGGCACAGGCCCTCTGCACAATATGTCCATCAGCTTCAAGCATCAATGGTCTGCGCAAAACTGTGCAGTGTGCGACACAATGCGCTTCTTTGATTTCGCTTCAAGGCATCTGCAATACAGCCTCTACCTCTTCTGCGCCAAATGGTGGTTGCAGAATCTGGTTGGTTGACTGGCAAGGTGTGTCGCAGTGTCAGAGACCAACAAGCTGGAGAGTCACCAATTACTCCTACATGCTTGAAGCTGTGTTGCGGTTTGCGTGGCATGTGCTGGGAGCTCCGAAGCCCAAGATACGAAGGATCAAGACAACAGAAAGAAAGCCTTCCAGTTGAACAGCCCAACGTTTTATGATGTTAGGAGAGGATGTATGACATAACGCCGAAATACAGAACCGCACAAGAGGCACAGGAAGAGCCATACAGGCCAGGACCAAGGCGCACATGCTTCTTAAGGCGGTGTATGGAGAAGGACGAGGAGGAAGTAACTCTGATAAGTGAAGACTTGGAGCAGGATCCGAAGGATGTCCCTGCGTTCCTCTGACTTTCAGGAAGTCCCAGACCCACAGTGTATTTCTACAATCTTATTTCATGGGAACGGAATTGGAAATATGTGGCAGAAATTGGCAGCACATAGGTTCATTCTGAAGCTTAGTAGTTCCATCTACTTTGCCTGCAGGAGTCGGGGCAAGAGTCTGAGCGAGCTGGACAGCGCAAGTTGGTGCAGAGCCAGGCAATCTATCCAGTGGTACCTTTAGCCCTCAGCCTTCAGCCTTTAGGGCTTCAGGGTTTTCTGAGGCTAGGGTTATACATGTTCATGTTGTACCAAGTTTAGTATTGTTACCGTTCTACTAAGCGAAGTTCCGGAAGAGTACTTCGGGATACCCCTATTGGAAATGGTTACCCGCAATTGTGCGAAGTTCGCGGCCAGGGGATCCTGATTTGGGGGGAAGAACAGGTTGTGTTAGCTAAACAAAGAAGCTGCAGGATTGTTTCTGTGGTTTTGGCTGGGGCAACTACTACCACTACTACCAGTACTATGCTAGACCCCGTTCCCGTTCATAGAGGGTGAGCAAAAACCCCGAAGTTGTTAGGGGGGGGGGGGGCCTCGATACGAAAGCGAGTGCAACATTACATTGATGATATGCAATCTGGAGTCCGGTCAGATGATGGTCAGACAGGAGATACCAGTGCCGGTGGCCACACCTCGCTCCAAGCGGCGGCCTCCAAGCGCACAAGATCAGGAGTTACCATGGGAGTTTCAATGGAGTTTCAATGAAACATGTTGAGTCTCCAGATCACTTAGACATGTACTCGCAAGGGTCTTAAGGTAAGCTGCAGGAGCCACGCGACCGACCGCAAAGTGTGCGCTCGTGCCCCACTCACGCGCCATGCAGGAGCTGTCAGCAACCTGTCAACTTTTGGAGAGCTCTTTGCTGTTTTCTTTTTGCAAAACCAGCAGGTACTTCCCCGCCGTGGATGTGCGAGGTCGAGAGCGCTGCATGCAATCGTGCAAGCAAGTGAAGAACAGCAACCCGGGCAGGGGCTATTCCCAATGGTCGCAGAAGCCGCTGATGTGAAGGAAGCGGTTATGAAACTGCACTCTCACCTAAACGCGTTCAGGCGATTGTGTTCCCTGTCAGGTCTTCACACGCCAGTGAAATATCCCGAATGTGGAAACCACATCGTGGCTCGAAAAGGGACAATCCATGCAGAGTTTAGACATTCGTTTCGGGGGCATGACGACGTGGATAGAATATTAACGGAAAAGGTGAGTTCTCAAAAAGCATGTTCTGATTTTTTAATAAAGAAGGGCAGACGAACCATGATCTATGCCAACTTCATGTCTTCGTTACGGGCGGCCCCCCAAAGCTATGCCGCGGCAATTGTTATGATAACACCTAAAATACCTCTGTCTCTGTAGCAGAACTCGGATCTCCTCGGCAATTCGAGTTCTATCTGAATTCTAATATATCATTATCTAATATTCGTGAATTGAATTTTCTTATTTCATGGAAAAAATCTAAATCTTTCCAAAAACTAGATAACACGGAATATTGTTTCATACGTCGACAACACTAATATATTGGTATCTCTAAATACAGGGAAACTTCTTCCATCCTTATGAAATGATCGATATGCATGTCTGATTTATAATATAAGGTTCTTCCGAATCTAAAGATTTCGTGAAAAGTATATCCCCATAAAAGGCTACGGGCTCGACCCCTATTTTCGCTCTGCGGCCGCCCTGTCGGATGCCCCGCCTCCTCTTCCGGTCCATTTGGCTGCTTGTGAGGGCCTTGCAGGGGAATCCTGAAAATTCCGGGAATTTTAACCCTTTTTGTCTAAAAATCCTGGGAATTTTGGGAATTACCCGGAGCTGAAAATTCCGGGAATTTTAGGAATTGTCCGGATTGAGGTTTGGGCTTTCCGGGTTGGATTTTAAGGTTCCAACACAACAATGATGACATGGGTGCCCTTTGAAAATTCCGGGAATTTTCGGGACCCGGGGATTTTTCGGTTAAGGTTTTGGGGTTTAATAGAAATGGTATAGGGTTTGTGTCCGGCGTTTTGTCGAGTTGTGGGGGTTTTTGTTTTTTGTTGTAATGGTTTGGGTTTTGTCGGGCGTGGTGGGGGATGGATGGTTTTGGGGGTTTTGTTCTTTCTGATTCATAAATTTAATCTTAAGATTGATCGAGGACCCATCTTTTTTTTTAACCCACCAATTTTTTTCTGACCCCCCTCTTTTTTTGCCCCCCCCCCCGCTCTTTTTTGTTCCCACACCCCCCTCCCCCCGACTGGAGGGGGGGATTTTCGACATCTCCTTTTTGACCCCACCCCTCTCTTGCTCTCCTCCCGACCCCCCTTCTCTCTTTTTCGACTCCCTCCCCAATTGTCGTTTAATCCCCCCGAGCTTGTTTCTGATCCCCCCCCAACTCCTTGTTGACCCCCCCCCCCCCGAACTTTTGTTCGACCCCCCCTCCCCTCTTCTCGGGGTGACCCCCCCCCTCTTTTGACCTAATCCAACTCTTTTTTGCTCCCCCTCCTTTCTTCGTGGGCGAAGGGGATTTGAGGTTAAGGCACTCGGGCTTTCCCAATGGTCGTTATCTCATCCCACTATACGCTTACACGCCATTATTCGACCAGACCGCTTAGTGCTCACCATCTCCAACTTTGCTTGCTCCCATGACTGTAGCCGTCAAATGCCCACTATCGCCAACTACCATCCTTAGATTTCCTTAAACAAGCCCCGACCCGAAACCCGAACCACGATAAACGCTACCCGAAACCTACAAACCAGATAAATGATGGGCTCTTCGCCTTCTTCCATGATGCCGACGTGTCATGTAGAGGTTACATGCCAATGAATCGGGCCTCACAAAAAGCCAGGGGGGATGTCAAGAAGAAGAGTGGCCTGATGAACAATCACCACCGGTGCGATGACATTTGGGTTGAAGTCATGACATGTCTCCCGCCCCTTTTTATCTGACGCCAACTTTTTGTTGACATTGTTCCCATGAACTTCTAACCCCCCCGCCAGCACACCCTGTCCGAGCCTCCCCACCTCTTCCCAAAGCCGTTTTCTAACCCCCCCCCATCTCCTTGTTGACTTCTGTCTCCCGACGGGAGGCCGCTGCTGTTTTTGCGGGGGGATGGGAGGGGAGGGAAGGGAAGGGTTTGATTCGGCTGCGACACGGGCAACCCAGCCCAGCTTGAAATCTGCATCCACAAGGTACACACAATAATATATTCAAAATCCAAATTGATTCCATTGCTGCCGCACTACTGCACTTCAACAGGACTCGGGTGACTGACCCACCCTTGCCCACCACTACCCACCATAGTACCCACCATTACCCGCCATTGTACTATCGCCCACCATTCCCATCATTTCCCACCATTACCCACCATTACCCACTACTCCACCCCCCTGCACCCTTCGTTCCCATTTCCCACCATTACTCACCACTACCCAAAATTACCCACCTTTACCCGCCACTACCCAACATTCCCGCCATCATCCACCATGACCCAAGCATTACGCGCCATTTCCCAGCATTCCTACCACAACTTACGCACCGTTCCCACCATTACCCACCACTACCCACCATTACCCACCTTTACCCACCTTTACCCACCATTGCCCGCAATCGGCCGCCTTGTCGGATGCCCCGCCTCCTCTTCCGGTCCATTTGGCTGCTTGTGAGGGCCTTGCAGGGGAATCCTGAAAATTCCGGGAATTTTAACCCTTTTTGTCTAAAAATCCTGGGAATTTTGGGAATTACCCGGAGCTGAAAGTTCCGGGAATTTTAGGAATTGTCCGGATTGAGGTTTGGGCTTTCCGGGTTGGATTTTAAGGTTCCAACACAACAATGATGACATGGGTGCCCTTTGAAAATTCCGGGAATTTTCGGGACCCGGGGATTTTTCGGTTAAGGTTTTGGGGTTTAATAGAAATGGTATAGGGTTTGTGTCCGGCGTTTTGTCGAGTTGTGGGGGTTTTTGTTTTTTGTTGTAATGGTTTGGGTTTTGTCGGGCGTGGTGGGGGATGGATGGTTTTGGGGGTTTTGTTCTTTCTGATTCATAAATTTAATCTTAAGATTGATCGAGGACCCATCTTTTTTTTTAACCCACCAATTTTTTTCTGACCCCCCTCTTTTTTTGCCCCCCCCCCCGCTCTTTTTTGTTCCCCCCCCCCCCCTGGGGGGGATTTTCGACATCTCCTTTTTGACCCCACCCCTCTCTTGCTCTCCTCCCGACCCCCCTTCTCTCTTTTTCGACTCCCTCCCCAATTGTCGTTTAATCCCCCCGAGCTTGTTTCTGATCCCCCCCCAACTCCTTGTTGACCCCCCCCCCCCGAACTTTTGTTCGACCCCCCCTCCCCTCTTCTCGGGGTGACCCCCCCCCTCTTTTGACCTAATCCAACTCTTTTTTGCTCCCCCTCCTTTCTTCGTGGGCGAAGGGGATTTGAGGTTAAGGCACTCGGGCTTTCCCAATGGTCGTTATCTCATCCCACTATACGCTTACACGCCATTATTCGACCAGACCGCTTAGTGCTCACCATCTCCAACTTTGCTTGCTCCCATGACTGTAGCCGTCAAATGCCCACTATCGCCAACTACCATCCTTAGATTTCCTTAAACAAGCCCCGACCCGAAACCCGAACCACGATAAACGCTACCCGAAACCTACAAACCAGATAAATGATGGGCTCTTCGCCTTCTTCCATGATGCCGACGTGTCATGTAGAGGTTACATGCCAATGAATCGGGCCTCACAAAAAGCCAGGGGGGATGTCAAGAAGAAGAGTGGCCTGATGAACAATCACCACCGGTGCGATGACATTTGGGTTGAAGTCATGACATATCTCCCGCCCCTTTTTATCTGACGCCAATTTTTTGTTGACATTGTTCCCATGAACTTCTAACCCCCCCGCCAGCACACCCTGTCCGAGCCTCCCCACCTCTTCCCAAAGCCGTTTTCTAACCCCCCCCCATCTCCTTGTTGACTTCTGTCTCCCGACGGGAGGCCGCTGCTGTTTTTGCGGGGGGATGGGAGGGGAGGGAAGGGAAGGGTTTGATTCGGCTGCGACACGGGCAACCCAGCCCAGCTTGAAATCTGCATCCACAAGGTACACACAATAATATATTCAAAATCCAAATTGATTCCATTGCTGCCGCACTACTGCACTTCAACAGGACTCGGGTGACTGACCCACCCTTGCCCACCACTACCCACCATAGTACCCACCATTACCCGCCATTGTACTATCGCCCACCATTCCCATCATTTCCCACCATTACCCACCATTATCCACTACTCCACCCCCCTGCACCCTTCGTTCCCATTTCCCTCCATTACTCACCACTACCCAAAATTACCCACCTTTACCCGCCACTACCCAACATTCCCGCCATCATCCACCATGACCCAAGCATTACGCGCCATTTCCCAGCATTCCTACCACAACTTACGCACCGTTCCCACCATTACCCACCACTACCCACCATTACCCACCTTTACCCACCTTTACCCACCATTGCCCGCAATCGCACACCTATTACCTGCCCACCATTTCCCACCATTACCCGCCATTCCTATCACTACCCATTTATGCACCTTTATCCACCATTACCCACCAGGTCTCCATTACCCACCATCATTCCCATCATGGCACGCCATTCCCACGATTACCCACCATCTCCCACCATTACCAATCCCACCGCTACCCACCATGCCCCAGCATTTACCCCCTGCCAGTACCTCCATTTCTACCATTACCTACGCAACATTCCCGCCATTACCCAACGTTCCCCACCAATACACACCGTTTCCCAGCCCACAGAGTGATATCCTCCATTGCACACCATTGATCCACCATTACCCACCACTGACCCAGGCTGCGCCCCCCCCCAACCCCCCCGCTTTATTCTTTTTCGAACCCATCACGCGAGTGTTGTGCTTGCAAATCCCTATGCCCCAAACCCTGAAACCCCCTAACCCCCTAACCCCCAAACCCTAAAAAGCCCTAAACCCTCAACTCTCAAAACCCTTAAATGCTAAACCCTAAACCC